GTCTCATAATTTTAATTTGCATTTATTTTGTGAGTAAGAGTGAACACTTTTCATGTGTTTAAAACCCATTTCCAACACTTTAATAGCTCATTTTTAGCACTTTTTAAAATCAGAGCTCTGCCAGTCTCTCGCAGTCTTCATTTGCTTCCATCGCAAATGAAGCAAATGAAGTGCCTCGGCGTTGTAGGAGTCATCGTGCTCCTGCCGTCGCCGGGGTTGGGGGGCTCATCCCCTCGCTCGGGAGCGTCCTGTCGTGTCATGTGTTCCGGTTTGCCGGCCGGGCCTGGCAGGGCGTTGGGGCTGTGTGCGAGCAGGCCTGTGGAGGGTCGTGGTGCCGTCCTGACGCGGACGTGTCTATGCCGGGCGTGGGCGGAAGTCCTGAGCCACAGGGGATCGCGGGGTCCACTTGGCCAGCTCCCCCAGTGGCTGCATCGGGCTGCCGCCCAGCAGTGCAGGAGGGTGTGCGCTGTGCCGCACGCCCGCCCCGCCCCCGCCATCTCAGGCCAGCCACGCTGAGCGGCAGACGCCCGGGGGTTCACCCTCCACTTTCCAGCTCACTCTTGAAGTTGAGCGCCTCTCCACGGACCTTACTGGCCATCTGTGAAATAGCGGCTCAAGTCTTCTGTTCATGTTTTTGTTAGTTGGTCTGCTTTTTTTCTAACTGATTTTTAAGGTCCTTTAATCTCAGGAAAATTCCAGCAAGAGGCTAAGAATTTAGTCTGTGTTTTGCTCCTTGGGCTTGCCTCAGGGACCCTGTGGGAAATGCACCACCGTTTCTGTTTTCCCTCCCTGTCTGTCCCACCCTGTCTCTGGTCCTCCCGCTGCACGGTCTGGGGTGTGCTTCCTCTCAGGCTTGTGGGTGTCCCTCAGCGGCCTTGCTCGGGGGTGCGACCGCCCCTTCCCTCAGTGCCGGTCTGCCTGCCCCAGCCCCAGGTCCTGGCTGCGGGGGCTGGCCGCTGACCTGTCCTGTCAGTGTTCATGCTGTCACCTGGGTTTTCACTGGCATTTAATTTTTAAGTTGATTTAGTTATGCGAGCTGTTTCTCACCTTACAAATTTGCTTGAAAAATACAGACAGAAAATATTTTTTGGTCTGCAAAGCTTTTTCTGTGTGAAGGCTTGATTTTGGGGATAGTTCTAGATGTTTTCTTCATTCTTGGTTTCTAGCAGTGGCAGTCCAAACAGAGGGACACTCTTATTACTGTATTTTGCTGTGCATAATGTGATCCTGTGCATAATGCGCACCCATGTTTTTGTGCGCATTATACACGGCATTATTATAGCCATTATTATACCTGTGGTGTGTAGTCACTATACATGGCAAAGTATGGTATTCCTGAGAGCTCCCCTCCTGAACCCTGCCTTCCTTTTGCTTTGTGAACTGGGTGAGCGGCCACGAGGGAATAACCTGAAGGGCTCCTCCAGCACCTGCTTCTCTCCTGGGCCCGGCCCTGGCCCCTCTGTCCTCAGAGTCAAGGGACTGAATAGGGAGCCCTGTCTAAGACATCTCTCTGAGAAAGCCTCCCGCTTTCCTCCTGAGAAGGCCCCCCGCCAGCCTCACCGGTCTCACCCTTGGGCCCCAGGGTGTGCAGGGCTGCCTCCGGGGACCCAGGGGAGGTCACGCCTTCCCAGGCGACGCAGTCGTGCCCGGCCTGCAGGTGGCTCTAAGTTATGCAAAATAAAGTATAGTATCTTTCTGAAACTATTTATTACGCTGATAAAAATGTTCAAATATTAAAACTCACCCCACAGTGAATAAAAAGAAGTGTTTGTTGAGCTTTTTATAGTGAAGAAAGTCCTACGACCGGCCATTCTCCAGGCCTGGAAACACGAACTCTTGTCTCGGTGGGCCGGGTGTGATCGGAGAGAGGCAGAGGCCCGTGTGTGTGTGGTGGGTGGGAGTCTTCTGGAACAGTCCTCATGCTGTGGGATGGGGCTCCTGGCCCCAGAACAGTCTCAGGAAGGTGTTCTGGGAGGAGCCTGCAGGAAGTAGCGGAGAACGACCGCTGTGGGAAAAGCACCCTGTGGAGCCCCTGCCCTAACCCACCGCCACAGCATGCTGGGCCGGGGCCTCGCCGTTAGAGGTGGCCCTGCTCTCTGACCAGCAAGTGGAGGCACAGGGAGGGAAGGCAGCCGCGCCAGCTTGCACGGCTTGTCAGGGCTGCAGACCTAGGGGCGTGTCCCCAGCGCTGTGCTGGGCCCTGTGCTTGCTTCTGTCTCCATTTGGCTCCGTTCAGTTAGCAGCCCTATCAGGGAGCTGTGACCATCCCCCTTTCCCAGAAGAGAAATGAAGATGGTGTATCTGCATTTCCCTGCCCGTCAGTGGCTGGGGGTTCAGATCCCAGTCTGTCTCAGGCTTCAGGGGGCACAGGGGCTTCTTAAAAAAGCTGAATACCAGGCTCTTAGCCATTTATCTGTTGGTCGGTGTTTTACTGCCTGTAAGTAACTGCACAGGCTAAGGAAGTGATGCCACTTACCGTTTGCTTCATTAACATCTGTAAACGTAGTGGTTTTGTCTGCGGCGGCTTGCTGCCTGGCGGTGCCCCGCTGCGAGGCTATTTCAGTGACCCCTGCTTCCTTGGGCACGTAGGAGCTGGGGGCCCGAAGCTCCATCTGCGGAGCTCTGGACTAACGTGGGCTCTTTGTCTGTACAGGCTGTCACGGGAGTAGTGGAAACAAGACCCAAAATAGAACAGGACGTGAAAAATCTCATTGTTCTCTTCTGTGAATGTCCTATTGCTCAACTCCTAAAATAAATCTAAGTTATGCAAAATAAAGTATAGTATCTTTCTGAAACTATTTATTACGCTGATAAAAATGTTCAAATATTAAAACTCACCCCACAGTGAATAAAAAGAAGTGTTTGTTGAGCTTTTTATAGTGAAGAAAAGTCCTTAAGCACCGACCCCAGGCCATTGCCCATGGCCCAGCTCTCGCCTGGCCTGGCCTGGCCTGGCCTGCCTACCCTCCAGAGCACCCCGCACGTGACCCCCTTTGTCCTCATGGCACATGTCAGTGTCTGAAATCTCTTGTTCGCCTGTCTCCCCAGGCAAACTGAGTCCTGTGGGATCAGGCGCCCTGGCCTGCCGCGTTGAGCCCGCGCCCCGCCAGCGTTGGCGGGGCGGGAGGAGGCACGGCCAGTGCTGGGAGGGGCTCTTGGTGGTGCGCCTGCCCCCACCCGCCCTCCGCCCTCACTTCTCCAGTCTTGTCTTCTGTCTTGCAGCCTCTGCGCGCCTTACACTGTCTTTGCCTCTGTCTCCAACCCGGCCTGGCCCCTGTGTGTGTTACCCCAGTTGCCCTGGTTACATGAAGGCGCGAACAGCGCTCCTCCTCATCCCAGTTTTCATTATCCTCTCCGTGGTTAAGCTCTGTAGGTGGTTTATGGAAATCACGAAAGAGGCCATCTATAAAACACTGTTTCTGTATTTTCTGAGCTGGAAACCGATCACCTTATCATTAAACTGGGTGTTCCTAAATTGGGTCTTCCTAATATAAATTAAAGCTCTAAGGTGGGCAGAAATCCGTAAGTTAAATAACACTACTGGCGACTTCCTGGGGAAGCATCATTTCCCTAAGGCTGCTGGTGGAACGCAGAACGGCACAGCCCCTGGGGAGGGGAATTTGATGACAGCTGGCAGAGTCACCTGTGCTTTTACTGCGTCAGGGCTGTCCTGGGGATCTCTCCCCCAATACACTGGTAGAATGCAGGAGGTCTGTGTCAAGGCTATACCGCTGCTGCGCCGTTTGATGCACCACAGGCTTTTCAATGCCGTGACACCTGCTAACGGAACAGTTGCACAAGGCTTGGCACCGCCGCAGCACGGGCCAGGGGCGGCCGCCAGGAGGTGGAAGGACCGCTGCTCGTGGCTGCCAGCGTGCGGGCCGAGCCTCGGCCCGGGGAGGAAAGCAGTGGCGGCAGAAGCATCTGTGGGCTCCTGGCGTGAAAGGGGGTGTGAAAGTATTCTTGCATTAGCAGGTGTCTTAAGAATGGAAGGGCAGACTGGAGTTACTTATTTTTTAGGGCCACCTTTGGGGGAGGCAGGAGCTGGGATGGAGGGGAGAGATCCAAAGCTGGACTTTTGCACGTACCTTACGTTGTAGATTTGACTTTGGAACCATGTTGTTATTTTACATCATTATAAAACAAAATTAAGTAAAAGGTTATAACTTTAAAATTTTGGTAGACATGGTCAGTTTTTTCTAAAAAGTTTATATCCCGTTTACTCTTGTCAGTAGTTGAGGAGAACCCTATTCTCCTATGTCTTTGCCATCATGGAATTGCCATCTTTTAACACTTTGCCATCCTGTTAGATAAAATTTTCGTTTGCGTTCCCTGATGACTAGAGTAGTTAAGCATCTTTTTATTTGTGTATTAGCCATTTTGTATTTTTTTCCTCTGAAATGTAAATTTATAGCCTTTTTTCCATAAAAAGGACATCTTCTGTTGATTTGCAAGAACTTTTTATACGCTGTGGATACAGTTTGATTTGTTGATTATCACCAGGTTCATGGCCTCACTCCCAATTAGGCTGCCGGGGCCTGCGTGCCCTAGCGGGCCGTCTCTCAGCTGCCCCCGTTAACAGGCTCTGCGCGGGAGCCTGGACGTGCGGAGCACGTGAGGTGCGCACGCCGCCCTGGGGCGGTTTGGACCAGGCTGTCCCTAACTGCCAGACAGATGGCAGTTTGCGAGCGATTGGAGCAATAGCAGCTGTTTCCTGTCCTTTACATTTTTTTTCCTATGGCTTACTGCTATGTCTGTGCACTCAGTAGTTCATAAATGTCCAGGTAAGTTGGCTTCTAGTAAATGTATAAACTAAATTTGATTGTCGTTTTGGTTTGAGATTGTTCTTGGTTTTTAGTGTTCTGTTCAATAGAATATCTTAACTAAACAGTTGCTTTTCATTAAAATATATGCAGTGAAAGTCAGCTTTAGAGGTATTTTTATGGTTGGTAGCATTTGTACTTTGTTCATGGATATAATGAATACATTCCTTCCTCCAGGTCATCACTCCGTGTAGGAAGCTCATCTTATGTGCTGATAACAGGAAAGAAATGGAAGATTGGATTGCAGCTCTGAAGACTGTCCAGAATCGGGAGCATTTTGAGGTAGAAAAGAAAAAGTCATCTGGTCGCACTTTTCTTAATCCCCTGCCCCCAGGGCACCTCTCATGTGTGGGTTGCGCGGTCCCGGCACTTGATTTCTCAGCGTGCTCCTCGTGCGTTAAGGGTGTCCGCCGTCCCGTGACCGTGCCTTTTATGACCCTTCCCCCTCCCCTCCCCGGACATCACTCGAGTCCTGCGCTTGTCCCGGTGTTTGAGAATGTCAGAGGCCTGCCTTACCTTCGCCGTCTCTCTGTCCTCCTTCCAGCCGACCCAGTACAGCATGGACCACTTCTCAGGGACGCACAACTGGTACGCCTGCTCCCACGCGAGGCCGACCTACTGCAACGTGTGCCGGGAGGCCCTGTCTGGGGTCACGTCCCACGGACTGTCCTGTGAAGGTGCAAACGATGTGTTGCTCTGCTGGGAAAGGTGGCCCGGCCCTAGATGTTCAAACATAGTCACCTCAGATCAGTCAGGAGTAAAGTGATATCCCTGATTACTTATTGTACCTACCGAGGAGTCTTTGATAAATTATTTTCATAGTAGTGGAGCCAAGGAGAGAAAGGAAGCGGTAAGGAGACATGGAGAGGAAACGCAGAGGGTGCAGAGGGAGAGGAGTTGAAACTGTCTGTCGGCCCAGGTGCAGCCGCCCCCTGCCCCCCTCCCCCCAGGGTAAACTGGGCTGTGGATGGGGACACTGAAAACTGCCCTCCACAGCGAGGGGGCGGGGGGCAGAGGCAGGCGGCGGCCACCCTCGGGCCAGTCCCCTGTCGCCTGTGGGTATGCACCTGGGCGGTTGAGAATGGCTCTTCACTTTTAAATGGTGAAAAAGTCAAAAGACAGTGACTATTTTGTGACACAGAAAACCATGTGGAATGGCCATTTCGGTGACCGTACGTGAAGCATGGTCCCTGGCGGCCCTTGGGCTGCGGGGCATGTGGGGCAGCTGGGATGGAGGCTGTGCGTGGCCCGTGGAGCCTGCGCTGGTGACTCCCTGGCCCTTCCCCGAAGCCTGCCGACCCCTGGCAGTGCTGGGGGCCGACTCGCCCCCAGATCGGTCTCTGCGTGTGTCCCAGTAGTTAGTTTCTAACTCGGGAGCGCCGCGCGTGTTCCAGCTGTCCCGGAGGCACGGTGGTTCCCCTGGACTGGCTCCTCGAGCCGGGGAGCAGCTGCCATGACCGAGGCTTGAAGGTGCGTGTGTTCATTCTCTCACAGTGTGCAAGTTCAAGGCCCACAAACGCTGTGCTGTGCGTGCGACCAACAACTGCAAGTGGACCACGCTGGCCTCCATCGGGAAGGACATCATTGAGGACGAGGACGGGGTACACGCGGGGCCCTGGCGGCCCGGCGTGGCCCTCCTCCTAGTGTTCTCGCCCCTGTGGTTCTGACCTGTCCCTGCTGCGGGGTCGGGGGCTCTGTGTGGGCCTCTGGGTGGCATGCTGCACCCAGCCTGGGGCGGGTGTGGCGGCGGGGCTGCCCTGTCCTCCCTCTGCCTGTGCTGAGAAGGGCATCTTGGCCAGGGCCTCGTGGCGCCTGTCGGGGGGTGCTGGGACGCGTCCCGAGTGCGTGCTTCTGCTTGGTCCGCAGATTGCCATGCCTCACCAGTGGCTGGAGGGAAACCTGCCCGTGAGCGCCAAGTGCACGGTGTGCGACAAGACCTGCGGCAGCGTGCTGCGCCTGCAGGACTGGCGCTGCCTGTGGTGCAAGGCCATGGTGAGCACGCAGCCCCTGGCTCCTGTCAGGGCCCCGGTGGGGACAGCAGGCCGGCCCCCGCCTCCCGCAGCTGCAGGCCACGACCCTTTGATGCATGGAATCCCGTTGCAGGTGCACACGGCGTGTAAGGAATCCTTAGTGACCAAATGCCCGCTGGGCCTGTGCAAGGTGTCGGTCATCCCGCCCACGGCTCTCAACAGCATCGATTCTGATGGTGGGTGCCCCGGCTCGCTCTCCGTGCGCGCTTCTTCCCCTCGCTGGACAGGCTGTGTGGTCGGGAGGAGGGCAGGCCCAGTGTCGGGGGAGGGGCTCCTGTACAAAGGTGGTGAATGGTGGCCTGGTGGCCACTGGGAGGGCTTAGGATGTGGGCCGGTACATCTGTTAGGGGCACGAGTAGAAACCGGTCGGAGACTCTTGTCCGTCTCTGATGTGAGCTGTTGAAGTCGTGTCTCCGTCAGCTGGTCTCCACCTAGTGGCAGATATTAGTTCGCATGCTGTCCATGGCTGCAGTCACTTGTCCAGAGGGTATGGGATGACAGGCATTAAAAAGTGTGAGTGGAAAGGCGGGAAACTGGGCCACGCGTCTCAGAGGAAACCAGCTCTTCAGGTTTAGAGCGAGAGGGAAGGACGGAGCCGTGAGGTGCTGGTCCTCCTGAGCTCCCGAGTCCCCGTACAGGTGGTGCCAGACTGGATGGGCTCTCACTCTCTTCCGTGTGGGAAGGTGGCGTGGAAGTGAGCCTGGTGCCTTGGGCTGGGTTTGCAGGCGGCACGGGACCTCGCGGTGATCTCTCCCCGTGTGGTTGAGAGCGTCCTTCTGTCTTCCCTGGTGTCCAGTTTCCCTCTGTCCTTTTCCGTCCTCACCTCCAGGCTTCTGGAAGGCCACGTGTCCTCCATCCTGCACCAGCCCCTTGTTGGTCTTTGTCAATTCAAAGAGTGGGGACAATCAGGGGGTGAAGTTCCTCAGACGATTCAAACAGCTGCTGAACCCTGCCCAGGTCTTTGACCTCATGAACGGGGGACCACACCTCGGGTAAGCCTGCGAAATATATCTTTCCTGGAGTTAAAAAAATTTTTGAAGGTAATGCATGTTTATTTTTAAAAAGATTTTTTTGTAAACATTTTTTAAAGATAGATTTTGTTTATTTATTTTTTAGAGATAAGGGAAGGGAGGGAGAAAAAGAGGGAGAGAGACATTGATGCACGAGAGAAATATCAGTTGGTTGCCTTTTGCACACTGCCAGCTGAGGACCTGGCCTTCAGCCCAGGCATGTGCCCTGACAGGGAATCGAACCTGTGACCTTTCAGTTTGTGGGATGAAGCCCAACCCACTGAGCCACACCAATCAGGCCTCAAACATAAATTTAAAAATAGGAAATAAAGTCTGTGTTTCTTGAACCACCACCTCCTCAAATTCCCACTCTTAAGAGGTACCCACTCTTAATACAGTTGGTTGTCCTTCCAATTTTCAAATGTGTCTCAGGTGTGCACACACACTTGTGAACTGAGTGCGGGCCTGTGTTAACCTGGCGTGGCGCAGCACGCCATTCAGGTATGTCAGTGTGCAATGGCGTGGGCGTTTTCCTGAGCTCAGTGGTTACAGACCTGCCTGGTTTCCATGGCTGCTTAGTACTGAGGAGCCTTTTTCATGCAGTGAGGTCAGGCAAGAGGTTCTTTATTTTGGAGGCACTACAGGTTGCTCACCCTGCAGGTGCAGTGACGCGGACGTGTGAGGGCCTGAGTGTCGGCTCGCTGGAGGGCTGATGTGCGTTCTCGCTGGTTTTGCATGTTTTTGATAGGTTTGCAGAAAACATTTGCCTCTGCAAATTTTGTTATTTGAACTAGCTCCAGTTCAAGGTAGGAGCTCTAAGAGCCTCCCAGCTTGTTAAGAGAGTTGTTCCGGACATTTACGGTGGGAAGCACTGCAGGACCTGTTCTTCGTGCATTGTCCTGGGGGGTGGCTGAGTTTGGAGCAGGGACTGCTGTGGCGGAAGCGGCAGTGGCGCGGAGAGGACACGGGCGGCCCCGGGAGCCCGGGGTGCTGGTTTCCCTCTGGCTGCAGCAGGGCGCCGCCGGAGACAAGTCCCGGGGCCGCTTCCCAGTGGCTTGTTCATGGCCGCACTCGGGAGACTGGCAGCACTCGGGACATGGCCATGGGCAAACTGAGGGACCGAATGACACAGGAGCACGTTTACCGTTGGGTTCAGAAATGAATCATTTTAGTTAAAAAACGGGGCCGGCAAAGGGATCAGACAGCTCTCGTCGCCCTCTGCCCGACAGGCCCCTCGGTGGCAGGGCACGAGGGGTTGGCGGAGCGCTGTGACGGCTGTGGCAGGGACCTGAGGGTGGCCCGGTGCTCCCTCGGGCTGCGTGCAGACTTGCGTTGGAGGTGGCAGCTGAGGAGGGGACAGGACGACTTAGGCCACCCTGCAGAGGCGCGGGGGCGGCTGGGTTAGCAAAACCCCGTCCTGGAGGGCAGCCTCGCTCTCCCATCTCCCAGCGTTAGGACCAGGCGTGGCCATGCTGCTTCGTTTTCCTGGTTCCTGAACTTGACATCCTACCTGACCTCTGGAGGTCGGGAGGCTGGAGGGGTCAGCGCTCAGGGGAGCAGGCTGGCGACAGGCAGCCTTGCCGCTGCAGCGTCCCCTGTCTGCTCCTGCCCCGAGTCCCGCCCGCCGCTCACTCTGGTGGGTCTCCGTAGGCTCAAACTCTGCTAGGTGGCCGGCCTAGGGAGGCAGGGCCCCAGCCTGCGGGGCGCCGCACGCCACGGATGTGCAGGGTTGCAAGATGGGTGCCTGGCATGTGTGGAGAGAGGCGCTGATCCTCCGGGAACCCAGGGAAGGGGCCTACCAGTCAAGCGGCAGGATGGCGTTTGAAGGGGGCTGGCACTGTCATGGCGCGGGCGGCGTGGGGGAGGCTTGTAGCTGGCCCCGGCAGAGGGCGCTGTGTGTGCGGGGGCGGGGGGGGGTGTGTATGAGGAGGCGGGCTGTCTGGGGGAGCGGCAGCTGTGCACCAGGGACGGGCGAGGGCCGTGGGCGCCGGCCAGAGGCGTGACCCTTTCCTGGAAACAAGTGGCAACTTCTTACAGCGAGGCTTGTTTTGGGAAGGTCACACTGGCAGCAGGAATTGGACGGAGGTGTCCGTAGCAGATGTGAGGGTGGGAGCAGGCTCTCAGTGATTATGAGAGATGGACAGTGGCCAGGACAGTGGGGTCTGGCCTGGTGACTGGTTTGACGGTGGCTCTGCCATTTTCCAAGGAAGGGAACCTCAGACAAGGAGGTACCTACCCATGTGACACCTTAGTGGCCCGTTCGGTAAGCAAGTGCAAGTATTGTCCTTTAGGAAAGCCCGGAGGTCATGGTTCAGGGTCATTCAGGTCATTCAAGGTCATCTGCATTTGTGTCACCTCTGAAGCCAAAGCGTGGGTGAGGCCATTCCGAAAGTGGGTGAGAAGTGAGCAGAGGAGGCCGCTGGTGTCTCGAAGGGGACAGTGCATGTGAGGGGCAGGGTGACCACAAAGAGCACAGGAGGGAGAGGGAGATGGAGTTAAGAAGGGGGAGGGGTGGGTCATATCACCTGGGAGGACGTGGTGGCCAAGAGGGAAGGTGACGTGTTGGGAGAGCTGTGCCGTCTGGGCCCCTGTGCCACGTGGCGCGTGCTGGCTGAGTGTGCGGCCGGGCGAGTGGGGAGCGGGCCCCGAGGCTGGGGGCGGGAGGCCTTTGCTCTCAGGTTCCCAGTGGCCCCAGCAGGCCGAGCACCTGGGAGAGGCTTAATGCACAGGAGGGTGCGCAGGTTCTGCATGAGGAGCGCAGGTGGGGCCCCTCGGCCCAGGACTGACTGGCCGTCATTTGTCCCTTAGAATACACCTCATTACATTGACAGTCTTTTTTCTCTGCAGCTTACGGTTATTCCAGAAGTTTGACACATTCCGGATTCTGGTTTGTGGTGGGGATGGCAGCGTTGGCTGGGTCCTTTCCGAAATCGACAGCCTCAACCTTCACAAACAGGTACCTGACCGTGGGGCCGCCGAGCGGGGCCGTGGCACCAGGGTTAGAGGTCAGCTGGGCAGGCTCGAGGAACGCTCCCTGTGTCCGCGGAGCGCTGTTCTGGCCAGGGCCAGGGACCAGTGCAGGTCTGGCAGGCGAGAGCGGGTGGCGCCGTAGCATCCTGGGGCCGGGGCTGTGACTCGGGAACAGGGCCTTCAGTTAGCGGGCAACGGAGCCGCAAAAAGAACCTTCCTCTGCAGGACCGGGCCCAGGTTGGGAGCAGGCCTGGGTGGGGCTGCCGTCCTGCCTTGACCCCACCTGCCCCTTACTGGGTCGTGAAGTAACTTCTTGCCCGATGCCTTTTGCTCTCCAGGAAAGGACAGAGTAGACTTAAACTTCAAGTCACAGTTGGGGCCCCTTTGACTTAATTTTTCTGTATTAAAAGTAGACTTTTCTGATTGTAAAAATCAAGTGCTCATTGAGTTTCCACCCTCTGCACCCCAGTCCCCACCCCCGCCCTCCGCCACCGCTACCCAGTGCTAACACCTCTCCCTGCCGACGCGCACATGCGGCTGCTTGGTCCTAACAGGCCCGTCGCTGTGCTGTTCCTTTCTGCAGCGCGCCCTGCGGGGCGGCCCTGGCCGAGCCCCCCGCCATCCCCCACCCCTCACCACACCCCCCCGCCCGCCATCCTTGAGGACCCCTCGTGGGAGCCATGCCGACGCTTCCTGATTGGCCAGCCCTCTTCAGGGGGCGCCGTGGCTGGACCCTGCGCTGGGCCGCCACACTGCCTTCCTCCAGCCTGCGCCAGCTTCATGCCCCGAGGCTACAAAACTGTCCCCCTCCCCGCCCCCTGCCTGTTGTCTTTTTTTCTGCGCCCAATGAGCAGGCAAAAGAGCGTGTATTGTTTTTATTTCTTTAATACTGGTGAAGTCAAGCATCTCAGTCATGAATTTTTAAATGAACCACCTGTTTATGTATCTTGACGAGTGGCCCTGGTAGGTGGGGCGGACTGTTTTTAGTCCATATTTAGCCACGGTCACTGGAGTGATGATACTGGAAGGTGGACAGTGACTCCTCAGCTCTGGGGAGGCCGCTTGCTCAGGAAATAGAATGCCGCCCCCTAGTGGTGAAGTCGGGGCACTACACCTAGGTCTCGTAAGTTTTGTTGACTTCCAGGATGTCTACAAGTTCATTGTCACTAGTCAGGAAGGCAGGTTTCATGCAGTCGAGGGAACTCAGTGAGCACTTACCTCTTCCGGCCTCCCTGTGGCACTCGATCTTTGCCCCCCTCCTCTGGTTCCCCCGGACCCCACCCTCTCGCTGTCCCTCATCTTCCTGGCAGCCCCACCCCACCTCAAGCCCCGCATTTCTTGCCCTGAGCCCCCACCCCACGAGCCTCGCCCGGCCCACGTTTCTTACCTTAGAATCTGGAAATTATCACCCAGACATCCGAACCAGAGATCTGACAGTTCTTGGTCCTTCCCTCGGCCTCCCTCCTCCTTTCTGTTTCGTTGCTGGGCTCAGTGCTGCCGCCCAGAGTTCCAGGCCACGCCTGTGGACTGCTGAGCCTGGGCCCCCGTCCGTCCAGCTTCCCCGGGGACCTTCCCCACAGCAGTTCTGCTCATGACCCCCCCCCACCCCCGCCATGTCCCTTGCCGGCCCCTCGGCTTTGGGGGAAGTCCAGGCTCCCCAGCAGCTCGCTGGGACTGCAGTTTGTCTTCGCGCCCTCGGCCGCCCTGGCTTTCTCCCCCGCCCTCCTCTTGGTGAAGCCGCAGGCAGGAGGGCCGCTGCTCCTGCCCGATGGCCCCCCGCGGAGCCTTCATGCCCCTGCTCCCGCCTTTTCCTTCAGGGCCCTCTCCTCCTAGCGCTTGGGCGTCCCGGCCCTCCCCTTCCAGCTCGCTGTCCCCAGCAGGGTGGCGGGCCTCCCTCAGGGCTGGGGCGCTGGCCGTGGTCTGGCAGGGCCTGGGGAGGGCCGCGGGTCCTCCCCGCACACTGCGCGTTGTGGTTGGAGCTCCCTGAGCACTGACCTGGCGCCGTGGGAGCTCCAGGGTGGGGATTTGGGGGGCGGGGCCGAGGCCTGAGGAGTGTGGGGGGGGTCCCTCTGGGGAGTGGCAAGTGGAGGGTATCAGCTGAGCACTGGGACGTTCTTGAGTTTGGCGACCAGACTGGGTGTCCTGGTGCCTGGTTGGATGGGACTCAGAAGCCCTCGAAGGTGTTTGTAGAGGAGGAAGCGGCACCAGTGATGCCTTTGGGAGGTGAGCTGGGCCTCAGTGAGTCAGATGGTGAGGATGGGGCGGCGGGGGCGGGGCCCCAGAAGGGTCCTTTGGGGTTCAGGCGCCCAGCAGTCAGGGACAGGACTGAGGCTGTCGCTGTGTAAGTGGGAAGGAAGGGGGTTTGATGAGAGAGATCCCAAAGGGCCGTCCCCAGGTGGCCGTGGGCGAGGTGCGGCCCGGGGCAGAGGGAGGACTTGGCCGTTGGGAGCAGCTCTCGCACTAGAGCCCAGCCGCCATGGGCAGCAGCGAAGAGGGGCTCAAGGCCGTGTCTCCCCGTGTTCCGTCAGTGTCAGCTGGGCGTGCTTCCCCTGGGCACAGGGAACGACCTGGCGCGCGTGCTGGGCTGGGGCTCAGCCTGCGACGACGACACCCAGCTCCCGCAGATCCTGGAGAAGCTGGAGAGAGCCAGCACCAAGATGCTGGACAGGTGCGTGGGCGCGGGGCACTGCCACCTGCCGCGAGGGGGCGGAGAGAGGCTGCCTCCACTGGGGGCTCTGGCTCTGGCTCCCTGGAAACCGTGGGCCCTCTGCACTTAGTTGTGAAAATTATTTTCCTGGTAGTCTTTAACTGTTGACCAAGATTATGAAAAAGCAGACAGGTTAGGAACCGAGTGATCAGATCTTCTCTGGAGGTCAAGTCTGACCCACTGGGGCCACTGGGGAAGGTGGCCCTTTCCCTGTCGGCCATTGCAGCCCTTATCTGACGCCAGGGAGCAGAGTGCTCTTTATCCATAGCCAAGCCATCCCACTTTCTCATGTTCTGTGCCCAGAAGAATCTTAAGGATTGGACACGTAGTCTCTGTATGTTTAAAAACCTGCCGGCATCCTTGTTGGGTGGCCGGCCTTTAGTTCTGAGCTCATGTCCGAAATCCCACCGAACAGAGCCTGTGGCGAGCTGGTGGTGTTGAGAACGCCTCCTGTTCCCTCACAGGACCCTGTGGTTGCCATCAGGAGGGGGGGTCTCAGCTGCCCCCACCGGGCCTTCTCCACTTAGGTGTTGGTGCATTTTGTGTATGTGAAGAGCTGGCTGCTGGCTGAGGCTTGTAGCTCTCTGGTTATGGGGTCCCCTTCCCTCTGTCCCATGGTGGTGCTGTTCTCACCTCCAGGAGGAGCCAAGATGAAGGGCTTTCAGATTGAGTTAGAACTGTTGGGAGATGGGGCCCCAGGCCCCAAGGAGGGGACAGGGGGCCTGCCCAGAGGTGGCGTGAACTGCTGGCAGCTGCATCTGTGTGTGCAGGTGGAGCGTCATGGCCTACGAGACCAAGCTGCCCCGGCAGGCCTCCTCCTCTGCCACTGGCACGGGCACCGAGGACCTCAGCGAGGGCTCCGAGGTTAGTATTTCTGCCCCCTCCCCACCCCCTGCGCTCATGCCTCGCCCTAGGCTGACCCACAGAGGCTCAGGGTCTGCTCAAGGTGGAGCTGGAGCATGTGGGCTCTGACCTTCCCAGGCTTTGAGGTTGTCTGGGGGCTTCCTGGTTGTCACCAGGATTTGGGTCCTTTGTGGTGACAGTCTCCTAGGACTTCCCACTCTCCCCGCACCTGCCGCTGCTCTGTCATCCTCTACGGCGCCTCCCTGTGCAGTCAGCTGTGGCAGCTCAGTGGTCAGCTTTTCTTTCGTTTCATAGTGGTTACTGTGATTTACCAGCTCCGTGGGACCCAGGCTTTGCCTGCCTTATTTCACGCCCTGTGGCAGCGCCGTCCTGGGCACATTGCCACACTCGCCCCCAGTCAGTGCGCTGGCACTGGCTGAGCAGGAGAGAGCACCGCCCAGGGCCACCTGCCCGTCAGCAGGGTGGGGCACAGCGGGCGAGGGCAGCTGCCGGCGGGATGGGCCTGCTGTGGGGGGGGGGGGGGGGGCGGGGGGGGGTTTGGGGGGGTGCATCACATAGGGTTGGGTCTACCCTCGCAGCAGGCAGAGGTGCGTGGGGAGGGGGACATACATGGAGAGGAGGAGAGGGGGGCCGGCCACGTCCCCACCGGGCGGTCAGACATGTCATCCGCTGTGGGGGCACCTCCAGGAAGGAGCGCTGCCTGCAGAGGTGGGGCTGAGGGTCCTGGTTCTGGCCCTCGGGCTGAAAAGGGAAGGAGTCTGAGATAGTGTTAAGTTTGTATTGACTTTTTTTTTTTCTTCAAGGTCCATCTGCCCACATCTTCAGGGAGCCTTTGAGACAGTGCTAGCGGGTCCTGGGTTAGCGAGGGGAGCGAGCTGAAGCCGGGCTGGCAGGGGCAGTGGGTGAGGAGCGCACTGGCTGGGCTGGCAGTCACCCTGCCCTGTCTTGGGGTCATTGTAGGTGCAGCAAATTCTCTTCTATGAAGACTCGGTTGCAGCCCATCTTTCTAAAATCCTGACCTCCGACCAGCACTCGGTGGTGATCTCATCAGCGAAGTGAGTGCCGACGGCCGTGGGGAACTGGGGTCCACCGCGCAGGGCGCCGTCTTCCCAGCCAGAACTCTTTCTCTAGAAGCTTTTTCCGTGCTTCTTCCCGCAGAGTCCTCTGTGAGACGGTGAAGGACTTTGTGGCTCGAGTGGGCAAGGCCCACGAGAAGGCGACCGAGAGCTCGGAGGAGTCGGAGGTCATGGCCAAGAAGGTCTGTCCCCGGGCCCCTGGCTGGGAGGGCGTCAGAGCAGAGAGGCGCTCCATCCCCTCCACCCGACTCTGTGTGTTCCCTGCCCAGTGCTCTGTCCTGAAAGAGAAGCTGGATTCTCTCCTCAAGACCTTGGACGACGAGTCCCAGGCCTCGTCCTCTCTGCCCACCCCGCCGCCCACGATTGCTGAGGAGGCGGAAGATGGCGACGGGGCGGGCAGCGGCTGCGGCTCAACCGTGGACCGCTCGGTGGGGTCTGCGTGCCCGGCCCGGCCGCAGATATTCCGGCCTCGGGAACAGCTCATGCTGCGGGCCAACAGCCTGAAGAAGGCGATTCGTCAGATCATAGAACACACCGAAAAAGGTAGCGGGTCTCTTCATAACAGGGCACTCTCTTCAGGCAAGCCCTGGGCACATGCAGCCTCACCTGAACAGGGCACCAGGAAGGCCTGCGCCGCGCAGGCAGGGCCTGATGGCCTGTGGCCAGGTCTGGCCCGCAGGGCTAACCTCTGGGCGGCCTGTGTGCCACGGTCCCTCCACCTGCTCCCTGCTCGCCTGCTCAGCCTGATGTAGAGGCAGTGCTGTCTGGAGCGGGAGCCTGGGAGGCAGGGCGTGGAGGCAGAGCTGCAAGGGTGCCCTTGGCTGGTGGGAGGGTGCCTTGAAGGCACAGGCAGGGAGTGCGCTGGGGGGGCCGGCCCTGGGCAGACGACCCATCCCTGGAAGGGGCCTAACCTGTGGGACTCTGCCCAACCTTGGAAGCAGCCCTGCAGGGCACGTCCCTGTCCATTTGGAGGTCGGGCTGCCCGGGGCGCGTGCTCTGAGGACACCGGGAGAGGTGGGCCCCCCCAGAGACAGCGGGTAGAAAAAAGAGGCTGGGCCTGGGGGCAGCCACGTCGAGGGGCTGGAGGTGGTCGGAGACGTAGGGGCGGCCACGCGCAGGGGGGTCCTGAGGCAGGGCTGGCTGCAGTGCCGAGGGCACCCAGTGCCTGGACCGGGCACTGGCCTGATGTCCAGGCTGCCGCTGTCGACCGTCCCTGGTCAGCCGGGGCCTGGGGGCGGCAGGTAGGCCCATGTAGGATGAAAGGCACCCCTGGCCGGTCGCTCCCTCCGGCTGGCCTCGGTCTGCTATGCTTTAATGAGAACACTGAAGCCCCGCATTGACCTGCGAACTTCATTGCCTCCCGCCTCGCTGGGACCCGCTCCCTCCTCAGCGAGCTTTTCTTGCCTGGGTCTGTCTGCTCTCTCCTTATCTTCAGAAACCATTTTCTGTGTTCCCCTTGTTTTTGATGCGGTCCCAGCCCTTGCCTTTTTACTCTGAGCAGGTAGACCTGCTTTTTGCCTCAGTGGGAATAACTAGGACCTGATCTCCCATCCACACGCTGGCAGGCTCCCAGGGTGGGAGCCCTTGTCACCTGCCCGGGGACGTTCTGGGCTCTCCGTCCTTCACTTACCTGCCCTGCATGCCTTCCAGCCATGGCCCTCCTCCTCCTCAGGCCGCTGGCACCGGCGCCCCGGCACTCACAGGGCGCGGGGCCCGGGGGGGCAGCGGGATGAGCTGGGAGCGGCAGGGCCTGAGCTGCAGTCAAGAGGACACCTGATGAGAAACGAGACTGGGAGATGGACGGGGGCCCCGGCGGCCGGCATCCCCGGGCTGACCGCACGTGTTCTTGCCTTGCGCAGCGGTCGACGAGCAGAACGCCCAGACCCAGGAGCAGGAGAGGATTGTCCTGGGTCTCCCTGAGTCGGAGGAGAAAAAGGACCTGCCATCAGATGAGCGCGTGTGCCACAGCGGGAGCTGGGGGGTGGCCAAGCCCAGGAGCCCCCGCAAAGGTACACCTGCCGGCCGGCGCGGCCCGCAGTGCCGCAGCCAGGCCCTTGGGGTGCTCAGGCGGCGCGCCGAGAAAGTCTCCGGTGCTTTCTCGTGATTGCTCTGGCCACTCGGCAGCAGAAAAGTCAGGGGCACACAGCCTTTCCTTGCACCACCTGCATGCACGGCTTATCTGGGTCTGGTGACAGGTGGCTGATACTGGGGGAGCCCTTTCCCTGAGAAGTGTGCTTTCCCCGGAACCTCCCTGTCTGTGCACCCCAGATCCTATGGGGCTCAGCGCCTCCCAGCTGCAGCCAGCCGGATGCCACGCACGTACGAGACCTGCTGCGGCCAGAGCCGGCCTTGCCCGGCACTGTGGCCGGGGTACCGCCCAGCCCCACGGGGCGTCCGCCTGGCGACTCTCACCCCAGTACGGGCTCCCGATGTGGAGGATTGTCCCTTCCCACTGGCTGCGTGTGGTACCTCCCTTGTAGCCCGACAGGCCACTGGGAGGTACCTTCCTTGGAAGTCACTCCATGATCATTACTAGTCAGAGCTCCTCTTGGCTTGGGCTCCTTAGCCCTTGGCATGATTAGGGCTTAGCCCTTCTGTGCCCCACCCCAGTCTCACCCTTGGTGGCCTTTGTCACCCTTTAGATGGCATTCAAACCCACCTGCCTCTCCTCACGTGCTCCGCACCTCTCTTTCTCGGTTCCAGCCTTTGTCTTGCCCGCCCCGCCCCGGGCTGCCCAGAGGCCTGGGAGCACCTCATGTCCCCGGCCTCTGCCTGGCGTTTCTCTAGTGAGCTCTCCCAGCGGCCAGTCATGGTCTCTTTGGGACTGTCTTACGGCTTTGTGTCCTGTTTTTATAGTGTCCAAGTCCCCATGTGAGAAGCTGATAAGCAAAGGAAGTTTGTCACTGGGCAGTTCTGCCTCTCTTCCTACCCAGTCAGGAAACCGAGACGGCCTGCCTGCACTGAACACGAAGATCCTGTTCCCCAGTGAGTGTCCCCGCCCCCCGGTGGGCCAGGTGCAGCGGCCGGGGCGTGTGTGGGATGGAGTTGGGGGTGCTCACCTGCTGACCAGCCAGGGTCCCGGGCCTGTTCGGAATAATGAGACCCGGTCCCTGTCCTCCACAGGAAGGTAGAAGGGCTTTCAGAGTTAGGTCACGGTGTGAAAGTGCCCTTATGCATGACAAAGGGCAGACAGCACCCATGTCGCTGCCTTCTTCGCTGCCTGGGGGCTCCAGGAAGGTGGCTGGAGCAGGCGACCCCCTAGCTGGGTGGGGGGAGGGTGGTTGGAGAGTTACCCGGAGGGAAGAGGGGACGGGGTGGGGGTGGGCAGGCTGCTCGGGGAGCGGGGTCGCAGCAGCCGGGAGGGCTGGCCCCGGCCTCTCCCCCCACACCCCTGCTCGCTCTGCGGCCAGGCTGAAGCGGGGGCAGCTCCCGTGCGCCCTCCCTCGGGGAGCTGTGGTGGGATTGGCGTTGTCGGAGGAGGGGTGCAGGTCAGACTCCCCGACAGAGCCCTCAGCCCTCGGCCGCGCCGTCAGCTCCTACACGGGATTTGGTGCTCTCTGGCGGTTCGGCTGGATGGAAAGAGAACTCCAGAAGCCTCTTGGAAAGGGGGCCCTTGGACATGAGAAGCGCTGGGTTAACCAGTGACACAGACACCACTGGGAGGCGTGGAGGGTGGAGCGTCCCAACGCAGGGCTTCCTCTCGGCCTTCCCGCTTGATTTAAAGGCTCTCAGGGGGTGCATGTGCTTTTGTCACCGGGAGCACCCCTGAATTCCTCTCTGACTGCGGCCCCTCAGGCTGGGCGGCTGGATGGCAGAGATCAGTCAGGTGGAGCTTTTTACATTCAGTGAGGCTGTCTTCACAGGCCGCTCTTTACATCTCATAGCTGTTGACTTCTACCACCCAGGGTGTTTATTTTTGTTTCATGAAGATAGGTTGATGATGGTAATTTTTGACCCGAAACTATTCACTGTCAGTATTTGGACACGTTTATTACACATTATTGTAGAAACGTTTAGTTGCAATGTTTTGCAAGACGTGTCTGTCAGCCCGAGTGCCGCGCGCTCCCCCCGCCTGGGGCTCCTGACCAGGCCGGCACCTCCCGCTGTCCCCCCACAGACGTGCGCGCCGGGATGTCCGGCTCCTTGCCTGGCAGCTCAGTCATCAGTCGCTTACTAATAAACGCCGATCCCTTCAACTCTGAACCGGAAAACCTGTGAGTACGCGTGACCCACGGGGGACGGGGGTGCAGTGGGGAAGGAGCGTGGGCCCTTGGGGCTAACTAGAGAGCTTGGGGAGCCATGGCCACGGACCCCGCCCTCCGCTGGTGGCTGCTGAGGGGAAGCCTGGGAATGGGAAGCCTCGGCGAGGGAGCAAGCGGAAAGTTCCTGCGGCGGGACGATGGCCCGGAGCCTGCCCTGGCTCACCCCCAAGTCCCCGATGGCCGCGAGTCAGCGTCCCCTGGACAGACGTCTTGTCTGAGGTCCAGGCGCTCCTGCCGGCATCTGGCTCTGTGCTTGTTCTTCGCTGCCACTCCCGGGTGCCCTTGGCTGGCCCCATGTTGGTGCCTCTCCCCAACCGCCTTCCTCCTCCCCGTCGCTGCTCTGCGGCTCTCCCACACGGTCCGGCCCCTCAGTGCCACAGTCCCTGGGCCGGACCCTCCTTCTGGCGGTCCCCAGGGAGATGCTGTCTGGGCTTAGACGCGGGGGGAGGGAAGTTCTGGGCTGCCCTGTGCCCTGCGAGGTCCCGAGGCGGCGAGGCCACAGCAGCAGTTGATCTGAGTCCGTCCTGGTGCGGGTACGTGCGGTCACGGACAGCGTGTGGAGACCCCTTCTTCCTCTGGGCTTTCCTTCCGGCCGGCTGAGAGCGGGTTCCGGGCAGCTCGTAGCGGCGGCAGTGGGTTACAGGTTGCCGACCCTGTGTCTGCTGTGGTGGGGAGAGCGGCTGAGACAGGCGCGGGAGCGGGAGCTCTGGGTGTGGGGGCGCCGGGGCCAGAAGTGTGCTGAGCGGCAGCCCCGCCAGGCCTGTGTGCTGGGAGCGGGGAGCGGGGGGCTCAGCGCAGACACCTGCTGCCAGGCGCTGGCCTGTCCGATGCCTGGCACCCCTTCCGGCCCCGACGCTGCCACCCGCCTGTCTGCTGCTCCCTGCAGGCCCCTCCGGGGGCTGCCAGGGCTCTGGCCTTGGCCCTTCCTGCTGTTTCCTCACAAAGAGCAGGTCTGACGTCCTCTAGGAGCGGTGCCCAGGGCCTCCCGAACTCAGCATTTCATTTGTTCACTTGTTCCTTCCCCCAAGATCCCTGCTGTTCCGTGGCGGGCAACCACGGCCACTGGCTTCTCTTCATTCTCTCCCCTTCGGGCAGGGGAGACCAACGTTCCCCTCCTCTACCCAGGCCGGGGCCCCAGGCCATTGCCTGTCACCTCAGGTCTCGGCCGTTCTGCCTTTGCCCGCGGTGGCCTCCCGGCGCCTGCCCAGCCCACTCCCGGGCCCTGGGCCTGGCCTCCCTGCCCTCTCCTCTCACCCCCCGCCGCTCTCCAGCTCGGCTCCCTCTCGTTCCCAGGGCCCATAAGCACTGGATGGCGCGTGGTCTCAGTTTTCTCCAGAGCTTTGCTCTCACCCAGCTCTTAGGTGCTTGGACTGAGTGTGTCATAAAACACGCACGTGCAGTAGTTAATCTGAGGTCAGGCTGCAAACGCCTGTTCGCCTGAAAGGTAGCAGAACTCGGGCCCAAGCCGCAGTCCGAGCCCACTCGCCCTATGGCGCTTCCTTGGGAGCTTCCGCTGGGGATGCCAGGAACGCACTCTCCTTGCTGCCTCCTCGGGTGGCAGGCCCAGGGCCAGCCCCCTTCACCCACGTGCCCAGGGGGGGACCCAGGGCCTTGGCGCTCCAGGCCGGATGCCTGCGGCCAGACGGGGCCAGAAGCTGGGCCAGTTCTTGCCCGCAGTGGGCCTCGGGAAGGGGAGTGCTGCTGTGGGCCGAGGGTGGCGTTTCCCGATTCGGAGGCGCGTTAGCTGGGCCCAGGGGACGGAGGGGTGTGTTGAGAGCCAGGGCCTGTGCGCCCCAGAATCACCGGGGGTGACGTTGCCGGCGGGCAGGCCGGTTGGGCGGCCACTTTGGAAGACAGTCCGGCCGGTCCTCAGAGCCGAGGGTCTCCACGTGGCCCAGCAGTTCCACTCCGGGGCTGTGCCCCCGAGAGGGACGAGACTCGTCCATGCTGAAGCGTGTGGATGAGTGCGGACAAATAATTCCCCGCGTGGAACAGCCCAGATGTCCGGACCGATGAGTAGACACGCAAAGTGGGGTCAACCCTACAGTGGGGTGACACTTGGCCATTAAGGGGGATGAAACACGCAGACGGAAGAACCCTGAAAACACTGTGTTCAGTGAAGGGAGCTGGAGGCAGGGGCTCCGTGTTGCGGGATCCCGTTTGTAGGAAGTGTCCAGTGGCGGCAGCTCCATGGAGACGGGAGGCGGATTGGAGGCGGATGCGTGGTTGTCAGGGGCTGGGGGCGGGGGTGGGGACTGCTGGCTAATCGGTGTGATAACACCCTTTCTTTTGGGGGGACATAGTAGTTCTAAAAGTGGTTGTAGTGATGGTTACGTGATTCTGAGTGCATTAAAAATCGTGTTGTACATTTTAAATGAAATTATATGGCATATGGATTATATCTCAATAAAACTGCTACTGGAAAAAAAATGGTGGGCTTTGCCCTCGGGAAGGAATGCTTAGAGGCTGGGAGGCGGGGGGCCGGGGTGCTGGAGCTGCCCTGAACCCTTCTGCAGGGAGTACTACACGGAGAAGTGTGTCATGAACAACTACTTTGGCATTGGCCTGGACGCGAAGATCTCCCTGGACTTCAACAACAAGCGGGATGAGCACCCCGAGAAGTGCAGGTGGGTGGCGCCGTGCCTGTGCAGCCTCCGTCGCGGCTCCCTCGTCTCTCCTCTGGCCCAAAAGGCCGTTCCAGGAGTTAGCGGGTACGCGGGGCGCCCTGTGCTGAGGTGGGAGGCCGACTCGGAGCCTGAATGCCTGGGCGGACGCGGGCGGAAGTCCGAGAGAGGCCAGCACGGGGCGGGTCCTCGGGGTGGGCCAGGCTGGGGTGAAGTCTGCGTGAGGAAACCAGTGGCCCTAGGTGAGGGGCGTAGGAGCCAAGTCTCTCAGGAGAGTCGCCTCCTGTGCGTCTGCCGTAAAGGAGCTGAATGTGAAATGTGCTAAGGAGTTGCTGTGCGGGAGTCCCCAGCGTCGGTAGGCATGCCTGTGTGTCACAGGCCCAGCCCGGCAGCTCGGCCTCTCGCTTGGGCGGGGGCAGGGCCCCGAGCTCACACCCTCTGGAAGAAGAGGGCCACCAGAGAGGTCCCGAGGGCTTTCGCTGGGGACATTCCGTTTCTTCCCTGAAATACCATCCACCTGCCCCTGCCCCCTAGCCTGGGGACAGAGTGGAGGAAGCGGGGAGCCATCCTCCTGGGCTGATGTAGAAATCCCCTGCGAGCTGGGGAGTTAGCTCCTCCCACTCTGCCCACCTTGCCCCCAGGAACCTCCTGGAGGAGGAGGAGGAGGAGGTCGCCTGGGCGCAAGGGTCTGCGAGCACAGGGAGGGGAAGCCGGTGCGCCCTTGGGCCCAGAGGGGCTGTTACCACAGGGCTTGGGGGCCCTTGCAGAGACTGGCCCTGGGCACGGCCCCCTGGGGGCCACCGTCACTTGAAGCTGCTGGGGAGCTGGATAGGAGGAAGTCACACTCACACCCAAGGAGTTGTGCGCATTTTGTGTATTTGGGGTTTTCTAGGAAAACTAGATCATGCTCAAAAATTTAGAAAAACCTTTGCACCCTGGGGCTCCCTGTGTAGAGGAGGGTGTGCCCAAGTCATTCAGAAGGCGCTGCACAAGGTGCCACAGTGTGCGCAGCTCAGCAGAGTGAGACTGGAGAGGAAGGCGCAATGTCTGGCCCGCTGTCAGGGCCTCTGGACCTGGCCTCACCGCCTGAGTCTGAGCTTTGAAGCCGTGCTCCTCGAGGGGTTCAGCCCGCACCTCTGCCCTGAGCAGGGCGGGGAGCTGGCCAGGAGGCTGCCGCGGAGCCATCAGAGCTTGGGAGCGGGGCGGGCCGAGCCCGTCATGGGGGTTCATTCAGGAAGTGACCCGGGAAGCGCCCATGGAGAGGAGCCGTGTCTCCGGAGACAGCGGCGCACTCCATGCAGGGCGCGGCGGGCAGAGTGGGTCAGGAGGCCTTGTGGGCCAGGCACTCCACCTGTAGCTCACACGCAGGACAGATGGGAGGCACACGGAAGCATCTGTCATCAACACGGATAGATGTGGGGGTGACGAAGATTGTTTTCTCCTTTGCGTGTCCTGTACTTTTCAAACTTTGTGTGGTAAGCCTAATTTTACAGTCAGAAGAACTCACGATTTATAAACTTACGGTGAGGTTCTTCAGTGCCTTAGCCTTTTCACCTTTCAGGGTGTGATTATTTTCTTGAGAAACACTGCTTTTCCTGTGTATGGGCAGATCTCTGTGCGTACCTCTCATGGACATGTAACAGGAACAGGTCCTTCCTGAAGGTCACTGCCGTAGGGAGTTGCCAAGTCCGACCGTTAGTGAGCGGGTGCCCCGACGTGTCACAGCAGCTGCAGTGACCTGTGGGAAGTGGACACGGCCACGCCCCTCCTTTGCTTCCCATGTCCAGGAGCCGGACCAAGAACATGATGTGGTACGGGGTCCTCGGGACCAAAGAGCTGCTGCACAGGACCTACAGGAACCTGGAGCAGAAGGTCCTGCTGGAGGTGAGCGGGGTGCCGCCCACGCTGCCGGCGGCTGGGGGCCCGTCGGACACCCTGGCCCTTCGGCCCCTGGGCCCCGCGTGGGCGCCAGCTGCGGCCCTGCGGCCTCAGCCCGGCGGTTGCTGGTGAGGGCCTAACAGTGCCCCATGTCTCTCCTGCCCTTGCCTGCGTGTCCGCTGCTCAGTGCGACGGGAGGCCCATCCCGCTCCCCAGTCTGCAGGGCATCGCTGTCCTCAACATCCCCAGCTATGCCGGAGGGACCAACTTCTGGGGAGGCACCAAAGAAGACGATGTACGTACAGGGCGCTGGGCGGCAGGGGCCCGGGCTCGGGGCAGGGGTGGCGACCACAGGGCTGGCCCCTCCAAGGAGTGTCAGCCCCTCGGGGCCCTGATGGAGCCGTGGTGCTTGGGGGGCTCTGTCAGCGGAACAGACGGATGGATGCACGCCCCTTCTCGTACTGCCACTGGGGGGTAGAATGGCGAGCAAGATGCAAGGGGACCCCACTCACAAGATTGGGGCTGAGGAGAACAGGTGCGGTCCGAGGCACAGGTGGCGTGGGAAGCCGGGCCCAGCCCTGAGGGGCTGAGTGGGGATGGTTCTGGGAGGAGAGGACGCCTGTGCTGAGACCTGGAGGAAGACTCGGGGTCCGCCGGGGCGGGGCGGGGGGGCTGTTCTGGGCAGAGGGAGCAGCTGACAAAGGCGCAGTGGCCAGAGGCAAGGCGGGGAGAAGTTCTCAGACCGCGGGCGGGGTGCAGGGAGGTGAGCACTCCAGGGGGGGGGGGCTGTGTGCGCCAGGAGCAGCCCTAGAATTCATGCCAGGAGCTTGGGGAGGCAGGGGCAGGTGGGAGCCAGGCCAGGCTTCCTTGGCCCGTGAGAGCGGGTAGTTAGCGCTAGTCGGACACCCCACACGTGCCAGCCACGGCTCTGAGGCTGCACGTGCCAACTCCGTCCTGACAACCCCGTGAGGTACAGACCAGTGTCAGCGCGCTTCACAGGTGAGGAAGCTGAGGACCAGGGAAACGGAGAGACTTGCCCGCGGCCGTGAGGCCAGTAAGTGGCAGGTGTGGGGTTTGACCGCAGGCAGCTGGTTTCAGGATCTCAGTAACGAGTTCACCCCACAGCTGCTGCTTCTGTTGGGACGCTGGGGTGCCCACCCCCGCAGGGAGGAGAGGGGCGTGGCGGTGCGTTCAGCGGAGGGGAGCCCAGTTCAGCTCTGACTCGGGCCTTTCAGACGTTCGCGGCGCCGTCGTTCGATGACAAGATCTTGGAGGTGGTCGCGGTGTTTGGCAGCATGCAGATGGCTGTCTCTCGGGTCATTAAGCTGCAGCATCACCGGATTGCCCAGGTACCGGCCCCGTCCTGGAGGTGGGGGTGGGGGGCCCTGGAGGCCATCTGTCTGGCACCGCTGGGAGAGGCGGGCCTGGCCAGAACTGCAGCCTCACGCCGCGCCTGCGCCCGCTGCTGCGTCTTGGCGCAGGGCCCGGGGGCGCGGGCGGGCACTCAGGTTGCAGCCAACGACACTGGCCGCTGCCTCCCCCAAGCCCCAGCCCGACCCTCTCCTGCGGGAGCCGCTTGAGTCCTAGCGCCTCTCACTGAGGCGGGACGAGGTGAGGCAGGCTTGGCCTGGACTCGGACCCGGGCCTGCGGCTTTCGGAGCAGCACCCTGAGTGTGGGAACAGGGGCTGGCCCTCGTGGCCGGCGGAGAAAGTGTGGCCTCGCCCGGTTGCTCTCGGCCCGGCTCGGGGGTGGAGGGCCAGGCGCCCCGTTACTTATTTCTAGCCCTGGGCTGGGAAGGGTCTGCCTGCGGGGTCGGGAGGGTGGTGCTCTTAACGCACAAAGACCTGGGGGACCTGACGCCCCAGCTGACCTGGCCCCCAGGCTGCGCTGTCCAGTCTGTCCCCACAGTGGGCCGCTTGAGTTTCACAGTTCTGAGTCTTTGGCAGCATGATTTTGTTAAAAGAGGGCAGCGCATCCATAACCACTTGCCGGCTGTGTGCTCTGTTCTGGGCGTGTTCGCATGGGCCCAGGGACTCGGCGGCTCTTGGCAGCCGTGAGTCCCCCCGACCCCCGCCCCTGTGGGCGGTGCTGGTGTCCGGTTACCTGGATCTACTCACTTTGGTCACAGATGCAGTGCTGGGTGAGGGGACGCTGGGGAACACAGACCCTCTGCTCCATGAGCTTCACACTGGGCGGGGTGTGGGTGTGGGTTCTGTCGCACCCGAGGGCAGCTGGCGTGAGCAGGGTGCGCAGGGCAGGCTGCCGCTGTGAGGCTCTGTGGCTGAGCTCCGTCCACGAGGAATGGCTGTGCTGTTTGCTCAGTGTCGCACGGTGAAGATTTCCATCCTGGGGGACGAGGGCGTACCAGTGCAGGTGGACGGAGAGGCCTGGGTCCAGCCCCCGGGATACATCCGGATTATCCACAAGAACCGGGCACAGATGCTCACCCGGGACAGGGTAAGGGGCTGCCGGGGGGCGGGGCTACCTGCCGGCACGCCTGCGCCGCTTCTGCGAGAAGTCAGGGTTTTTAGTGCCCAGTGCTAGGGACTGTTTCCTTTTTTGGCTGTAAGAATTAAGCCAGTGGGACGTTCCCAGGACCATTTCTCTTCCCCAATGTGGAAGAGAGTCCAGTCCCTCTCTCTCTGTCAGCTTGAGGGCATGCCAGCTCTGTCTGGTCGGTGGACGCGCGCTCGCCTCTCGAGAGCAGCAGGAGGTGTAACCTGGGTTCTCGCGCCCTAGGCGTTTGAGAACACGCTGAAGTCCTGGGAGGACAAGCAGAAATGTGAACTGCTACGCCCGCCGTCCTTCTCCCTGCACCCAGAGATCCTGTCCGAGGAAGAGGCCACCCAGATGGACCAGTTTGGGCAGGCGGCGGGGGCCCTTATCCACAGGTCAGCCTCCTCGCCCCCGCCCCGCTGTGCCAGGGCTCCGCATCCTTCGCTGGGACGCAGGCATGGTGTTCCTCCCCCCAGACCCCTCGCCAGGCTGAGCGGAGTCTCCGCTTCCTCTTGGCTGTGGTTTATGTCCACTAATCGTCCTCCAGAGGTTGCTCAGAGTTTACGTAGATGGGAACCGAAAACCCACGGGTGTCTTCAGAGCCAGCTCACAGATCCGAGAACCTCCCCTGGGGTGTCCCAGGGACAGTCCACTCACTGCCCCTGCTTCGTGCCAGAGGGAGGGGATGCCCAGCCCCCCCTTCGTCTGGCCTGATGCGTGTGTGTTCCTCGTTCTCCCCAGCATCCGGGAGATAGCACAGTCCCACCGGGACATGGAGCAGGAGCTCGCGCACGCCGTCAACGCCAGCACCAAGTCCATGGACCGCGTGTACAGCAAGCCCAGAGCCGCAGAGGTGCCTGCCCCCTCCGCCCTTGGTCCTCTGGACACGGGTGGCCCTTGGGCCTCCTCCATGGTGTGTGTCCTGTCCCCTAGGGGCTGACCTGCAGCTTTGTGCTGGAGATGGTGAGCAACGTGAAGGCCCTGCGCAGTGAGACGGAGCTGCTGCTGGCCGGGAAGATGGCCCTGGTGAGTGGGGAGCCGGGCTCCTGCTGTGGGACGCGGGCGTTGCTGCACAGAACGCAGCGCGTTTTAGGCCAGGTTTCCTGGCCTTAAGACTCTAGGTTCATTGTTGGGAGGAGCATCAGAGGTCATGTGATCTGACCACATGTTTGGTGCGCACGCCGCTCAGGCCACAGCGTAGCCTGTCCTCTCTAGTGTGTCAGACGCCTGCAGTGGGGAGCGCCGTCCTCACAGACAGGATTCTCCCCCGGGCGTCTGAGCTGGGGCCACCGAGGGCGCTGGGAGCCCTTGGGGTGGGGGTGGGGGTGAGGGTTTACTGAGTCCTGGGAGCCAGAGCAGAGAGGGCCTGGCAACCTTCTTTTAAAAAAGGAGGATGTAGAAGGCCAAGGAGGTGAAAGGACTTGCTAAAAATTGCACGCTGAGGGATGGCCCCAAAAGGCTCGTCTTTCTACTCCCTCTTCTTTCCTCCAAAGTGCCACGCTGCGGGGACAGGGTGGCGCTTCCTGCACAGCGTGCGGCGGCCAGCAGCCGGCCCTGCCCCCTCCCCAGCAGAGGGCCCCGAGCGGCAGAGGCAGGTGGAGCGGCAGAGGCAGGTGAAGCGGCGGGGCCTGCCAGCGTGACTGTCAGGCGGCCCGGCTTGCCCGCTGCTTACGGCAGGAGTTGTGGTTCTCTCACCCGACTCTCCTTCGATGGGGAGGTTTCTGAGTTTGACCCCTTAGCCAGTGCTCTGCGACTCAGTTTCCAGAAGCCTTCATAGGAGCTCTCTGAGTGGGTCCCAGCGCCCGGGGACCGGGCTGTGGCCCCAGCTCCTCACTACTAATGACTGGCCATGTCCGTCTCCCCGCCCCCCCCACCCCACGCCACGGGAGCAGCAGTTGGACCCCCCTCAGAAGGAGCGGCTCGGGGCTGCTCTTGCCGAGATGGACCGACAGCTCAGGAGGCTGGCGGACACCCCCTGGCTGTGCCCGCCCACGGAGCCCAGTGACGAAGAGGTATAGCGTGGGTGCCCCCGGGCGCAGGGGCCCACCCCGGTGCCGATGTTCAGTGTGTTCTGCACGGCTCCCAGGTTAGGGTGGGGTCAGGCTCGCAGCCCCTGATGTGGCTTCTTGAGACTTCTCAAATGAAATGCCTCTAATGAAATGCCTTCAAGGCAGGGAGAGCCAGTGGCAGGGTGAGCGCGTGAGCATCGAGGCCGACCCTGGTGACCGGGCACGTGCTGCCCAGGACACAGGCAGAAGGCGGACTGAGCCCGCCCCTGTCTGCCCAGCCAGGAGGCACGCCGGCCCCGTCAGACGGCAGCTTCCGAGAAGCGCGCGTCTGACAGGCACGGAGCTGTTTGGCTCGCACGCGCGCTCCCCTTCTACCTGCACTTGGAGGCCCCCCAGCCTGGCGCAGGTCCTCGGGCCGGGGTGGAGGGACCAGGCGCGCCGCGCCCCAGGGGGCAGCCCCTCCTGCAGCCCGAGAGGAGGCAGCGAGCGCCCAGGCGAGGGGCTGGTCTCTCTGCGTCTCTTATCCACGGGGGCCCCAGGCCCTGGTGAGCTGCGTCTGACTGTCGGTGTCTCTCACTTTGCACTGCAGAACGTGACCATGGATCTTTCCAAACGCAGCCGCAGCGGGAAGTTCCGCTTGGTGCCCAAGTTCAAGAAGGAGAAGAACAGCAAGAACAGAGACGCCCACAGCAGCCTGGGAGCGCCGGGTACCTGCCCTCCTCTCGGCCGCGTGCGCCGCTGTGCGCGCCCCCGTCTCTGCTCTCTCCCGTGCCGTGTGGCTCCTCCCCGAGGCCCCGTGGCCTCTGCAGAGTGTCTTGCTTTCCCGCTCTGCTCTGCGTGCTGACCATTGTCATCCCCTGCCCCTGACTTAGTCCCTGTGAGGACCCTGGGCAGCTGCCCGCCAAGCTGCCTGCCTGACGTGACTGGGGGTGTGAGGTAGGGAGGGCAGCAGAGGCGACGAGACAGAGACCCAGAGCGCACACTCAGGCCTGCTTCCTCGGAGGGGCTGCTGGTCGCCTTCTAATCAGTCACCGATCAGGGCCGCCGCGCCCCTGGGAACCTGGGCCACCAGCCACTGGGCGGTGAAATCAGTGGAAAAGGACACTGAAGGACATTTTTCCTGTGTCAGGAGGTTGGAGCCTAAAACTCCTCTCCGGAGGGTCGACCCTGAGCGCAGCGGTCCCTGCGCTCCCCGTGCCGGTGGCCCGGCCTGGGTTTGCGCGGCGTTGGCACCAGGGGGGGCGGTGCCCTTTGATTTTTCTTCTCTGCACATTTGTCCAGAAATCGGGTTTCTGTCAATGAGGGTGGCTCTGAGTCCGTGAGATCTCTGCGCGCCTCCCTTCCTGCTGGGGCCCCCACGGGAACGGACCTCCTAGGGCAGCGACTTCCCTCCCGTGACCAGCAGGCGTGTTTAGCACGTGCGCCGCCTGGCCTCTCCTTAGGAGGTCAAGTGAAAAATGACAACGGCCAGCACAACAGTGGTTGTCTGCTGTGAATGAATCCAACTTAATGCTTATTTTTTGTCAGATGAGCAAGTAGCGCTCATTTGGGTGGGCCGCAGAGTCAGCGACTTTTGCTGTGAGCCCTGAGCGCAGAGAGGTGGGAGGTCGCTGCTCTGGAAGGTGGCAGGGGAGCTGGTGTCAGTTGCACAGCCAGACCCACGGCCCCCTTGGGTTTGGTGCCACCTGGTCCCGCTGGGGACAGGGGGCGCCTGCTGCCGGGGTGCCTAGGGTGCCGCGGGTGTGAGGTGCTTGCTGCTGCCGGGGCGTCCGGGCGCCTGGGGTGCTGCGGGGTGTCGGGTGCCTGCTGCTGCCAGGGCGTCCGGGCGCCTGGGGTGCTGCGGGGTGTCGGGTGCCTGCTGCTGCCTGGGTGTTCGGGTGCCGGGGGGTGTCGGGTGCCACGGGGTGTCGGGTGCCTGCTGCTGCCTGGGCGTCCGGGCGCCTGGGGTGCCGCGGGGTGTCGGGTGCCTGCTGCTGCCTGGGCGTCCGGGCGCCTGGGGTGCCGCGGGTGTCGGGTGCCTGCTGCTGCCGGGCGTCCGGGCGCCTGGGGTGCCGCGGGGTGTCGGGTGCCTGCTGCTGCCTGGGCGTCCGGGCGCCTGGGGTGCTGCGGGGTGTCGGGTGCCTGCTGCTGCCTGGGCGTCCGGGCGCCTGGGGTGCTGCGGGGTGTCGGGTGCCTGCTGCTGCCGGGGCGTCCGGGCGCCTGGGGTGCTGCGGGGTGTCGGGTGCCTGCTGCTGCCTGGGCGTCCGGGCGCCTGGGGTGCCGCGGGGTGTCGGGTGCCTGCTGCTGCCTGGGCGTCCGGGCGCCTGGGGTGCCGCGGGGTGTCGGGTGCCTGCTGCTGCCTGGGCGTCCGGGCGCCTGGGGTGCCGCGGGGTGTCGGGTGCCTGCTGCTGCCGGGGCGTCCGGGCGCCTGGGGTGCTGCGGGGTGTCGGGTGCTTGCTGCTGCCGGGGCGCCCGGGGTGCTGGCCGCTGCCTGCCGGGTGCTGGGTGTGGGCACTCACGCGCTCCTGCGTTTCCGTCTCCGACAGTTCACCTCTGGGGGACAGAGGAGGTTGCTGCCTGGCTGGAGCACCTCAGTCTCTGTGAGTATAAGGACATCTTCATGCGGCACGACATCCGGGGCTCTGAGCTCCTGCACCTGGAGCGGAGGGACCTCAAGGTACTTCCACGTCCGGGCCTCCCCCACGCCCTCTCTGTCCCGTCCCTCTGACCTGGCCGTGTCCCAGCACCAGGGTTCTCAGTCCTTTGCGCACGACTTGGGTGACGTGTGGCAGGTGGCAGTGACGTCTCCAGTCCCCCCAGCCAGATCCAACCAGAGCAGACATGCAGGCAGAGCCTTGCTTTGCTCAGCCTTGTCAGACAGCGGGCCGGGCGGCCGGGAGCGCTGCGCAGTGAAGGAGACCGGCACGCGAGGCTGCCTCCGTTGGCGACGGAGGTGGTTTGAGCCCGGGGGGCCCCATGGCCGCCGGGTGCGTGGGGGCCTCTGCAGCGCAGTCCCATGTGCCTGTGTCTACGGCGCCCCCCTCCTCTTATGGGAGGGACGCAGCGTCAGCAACACACTCGGCTCAGGTGGCACTGTCGCTGGGCCCTGTCCCGGGCACCTACGCTTAGGGGGCTGGTGGCATTTGCCACCGGCCTATGTGGTCTTTGTGTTGTTAGTGACTGGACCACAGGAGGGTATGCGAGACGTCTGCATGCTTGTCATTTCTGACACCATTTCTTTCCACCCAGTGTCGCTGTCACGTCCCCTCATTTGTGTGCCATCGCGGGCCGGTCCGCGGCGGCGCCGGTTGCCGGCTCTGCCCAGCATCGGGGGGCTCTGCTCTCGTTGCAGGACCTCGGCGTGACCAAGGTGGGGCACGTGAAGAGGATCCTGTGCGGCATCAGGGAGCTGAGCCGCAGCCCTCCGGCCGCCGAGGCCTAGCCTCCGCCCTCTCCGCCTGCGCCCTGCGCCTGTGTGACTGAGGGCGCGGGCGCCCGGCCTGCGGCCCTTCTCATGGTGCTACTTCTTGCCCTGCCTGCGGGACAGGAAGCCCCGCAGCCACCCTGCCCGGCCAGCCCCCGGGCCCGGGGCTCGGGACTCGCCAACACAGCCGCCTTTGGACTCGCGCCCCTCTGGCCGGCGGCGTGTGGGCGGCCTTGCTGGGCACATGAGTGTCCCTGTGTGCCCTGCCATCCACACGTCGTGTCGCACCATGTCCTGGCTGACTCTGCAGAGGGGGCGCGGCCCAGGCCATGCGTCCCCCCCCGGGAGGTCCGGAGCCCCGGCCGCTCTTGTCCCTCACGGCAGCCCGGAGGCCACTGCTCAGTGACAAGGCCCTGCCGCGCCGGCTCTGCAGGCACCAAGGGTGCACCTCCAGGCCTGTTCGTTTCAGCCGGACGGAGGAGAAAGGAAACGCGCTCCCCCCGGGGCCGGGCACTGGAAGCCACGTCCTCGGGCCGACAAGCCCCGCCCCACGTGTCTCCGGTCCTTCCTGAGCGGCAGGCGTGGGGACACGGTCTCGTCTGTCCAGGACACAGCAGCCTCCAAATGCTGCCCGGGGCCAGAAGCTCCGGGTGGCCGGTGGCCTCCCTGTGACAGAGGCTGTGTTTGCACTGGGCCGGGATTCCCGTGGAGACGGTGTCCGCTCTGCTGGACAGTAAGCCGCCGTCCCGGCAGAGCGGCCGCGGGGGGCAGCCTGGGCCGCCCCGAGAGCCTTGGACCCTGCGGGGCTTCTCGTCCGCACCGCTGGGCCCGGGGCCCTGGAGGCGTCGGCGCGGCCCGGCCTCACCGGGCCCTCACTGCCTTTGTGCCCTGTGCTGCGCTTCCAGGGTCAGCCGTGCCTCACAGGGCTGCTCCTGTCCGCCCTGGAGAGCGGGCTCTGCAACCCCCACCCCAGCCTTTGGGTGCATCTGCGGAGGGGGCTGAGCGGGAGGCCTCAGGGTGCTGTCCCGAGTCATCGTAGAGGCCCCTTGGGGACTTGGAGCTGAACAGCATTTACCTGCCATTTGCTTTGCAGATGCTCCCCCTGCTATCAGCCCCTCTGACCAGTGTGCCCCACAGGTCCCCTCCTTGGGCCTGGCCAGGCGCCTGCCTCTGGTTTGGGGGTGCTTCCACGAGTGGGCCTTCTGGGGGCCCACGTGTGGCGGGGCAGGGCGGTGTCGGGGTTTGGGGTGAGAGCCCTGTGTTGTGCATGTGCCCTCAGCCTCCCCGTAAGGGTCTGACCGGGCAGTGGCGTGCGACCTTTCTTGCCCGGGATTCTCTTCCCTGTCAGAAGGGCCATCTCAGGTGGGGGAAGGCGGGGAGAGAGGGAACCGAGCCCGGAAGTCGCCGATTTCAAGGGAGAGATCACAGGGTCCCAGAGGGAGCTGCCCTGGTGTTCGAGGTGGGGCACCTGGGTCCCAGGGCCTCTGGCTGGGACAGGGCAGGACAGGACAGGCTGGAGCTCTGGTGGGGAGGGTGCAGGGGGCTGCCCCCGGGGCCACCCTGTGCCTCCGCCCCCACCCTTGGGCAAGGCTTAAGTTTGGGTCAAGCATGGTGTTTAAAATTAACGTGTGTCAGTGACTGAAGCAACGTTGTTTACGTAAAAGCCATTTTTCTAATTCTTGTAAGTTAGAAGCAAAAAGAATGAGCGCGACTTCTGCATGGACGCGCATCGGTGAGGGGCCGGCGCCCCGCTCCTCGTGACGTCCTTGTTGCTGCACGCGGGGCCGCGCCTCCTCCCGCCCTGGTGCCCCCGCGTCCCGGGGTGGGGCGGGAGGATCCCTGGAGAGTCCTGGAGAAAGGCTTTGTCCCCTCGGGTGAGGCTCACCCTCGTATTTATGATCTTAATTTATACAGTGCCCACTGTGGGAGCAAACGCCCCGTGTTGCTGCGTACATAGTACGTCTGGGGCTGTACATAATTGTTCTGTGTGTAAATAAAGCCGGCCTGTTTTGGATCTCCCATTGTCAGGTTTCTTGTTCTCATTCCTGTGCTTTGACATAAAGTATTCGTTACCCAAGTCCTTCCGAACTGGATTCAGAATGACATTTTTCAGCTGCTCTAAAAATAAGTGGAATTGCTGGTGGCTGAGAAGCAGAAGAGAATGCCGCTGTATTTCTTAGGGTGTGGGTTCTAGGATCCATTGAGTGAAAAACTCAGCAAGGTCGTGGGGCCCTGGGGAGAGCGGACGTTCTCAGGGTGAACCCCAGGCTGCCTCGGCCCAGCTGCCTGCTGAGGGTGGGCATTTTAGCCAATATTCCAGCTGAAGTCTGTATAAAAACAGACTGGCAGCTCTTCTCTGTTCACTCATAGTATCCTTATTCCAAGGTCACTTTAATATCCACCCCCCGTTCCGAGGGGTGAGGACTGGGACCGTGGAATTGAAAACGAGGCCGGCAGGGTGAGGAGGGCTGCGTCCCCGGTGGGTGGGGAGGCTGCGTCCCCCAGTCCCTGGTCCCTCCTTCCTTGGGAGCAGAGCCGTATTGTCTGGTGCACACCCTCCTCCCATGCGGCCACCCAGCAGCGGCCCCATGGTTACAAGTGGCTGCTACTGTTCCGGGCATCACATTGACACTTGACCATGCCCAGCATAAGGTGTGTGTGAGCAGGTGGTTGTCTTTACTCTTTCTTTTTTAATCCTCACCAAGGACATGCTTATTGACTTTAGAGAGGGGGGCGGAGGCGGGGGGAGAGGAGAAACATCGATCAGTTGCCTCTTGTCGTGCCCCGACCTGGGACCGAACCTGCAACCTGGTTTATGGGATGACGCTCCGCACTGGCCAGGGCTTCTGCGTCCCTTCTTGGGATAAAGGGCACCGTGTCAGAGGCTCTGGCTTTTGCGGGCCTCCCCTAATGTCTCGGCGTCTAGAGTTGCGTCGCATACCCATGGCTGAGTCGGTGCAGAGGAAGTGGGGGCCTTGCTGACAGTGGCTGATCGTGGTGCTGGTGATTAGCACATTTATAAAATTTTCTTAACGTATTCACTTCTCTGTTCCTACCAGGTGGGCATCTACATTTTACAGGTGAGGAAAAGGTGCAGAGTTCACAGCCTGCCCTGTGCCATGCAGCCAGCATGTGCGGAGACGGGACACGTAGGGCACTGGGGCGCCGGGATCATACCTTGAGTGCTGTGACCCAGGCCTGGCACCCAGCCCCGCCCCCACGGCAGACGGGGCGGCAGGAGCCCAGGCTTCCGCGGAGGGCAGTGTGGGCCCAGCCGGCCACCAGCCTCCGCTCCTGCCGGCCTGGCTCCCTGGCCTGGGCCTGGCTCCAGCTGTCAGAGAGCAGGCAGGAGGGGGAGGGCCCGCGCGCGGCGCGGTAACAGTGCCGTTCCCTGTGAAGAAACCACCCACCCCGCACACAGGCAAGTGCTCGCAGCTCACGCTGGGCCTGGTCTGCTGACATGGGTGTTCGTGACTTGGGGCAAACTAAGCTGCTTTAACAAGGAGACCTCCAGTGTCACAGCTCTAACAGAATGCAGTCTGTGTTCTTCCCAGAGCGATCCAGGCCTGGTGTGTGTCAGGCATTCGGGGACCTCCCATGTGGCCATGGGGGCTCTGGCCCCTCCTTCCTCGCTGGGGTCAGGGGCAGGGGCCTGGAGGACTGTGCAGAGGTTTCCTGGGCCTACCCGGCGTAGCAGGGCCAGAAATGAAAACTCGCCAGAGGGACCCGGCCGCATGGGGCTGGCAAAGGAGGCTGGGAAGTGCCCCCTGGCCCCGAGGTGCGGAAGAGAGGGCCACGGCTGTAACCCCTCCAGGGCGAGGGGGAAACACTGTGTTGGCTAAAAAGTCTGTTGTGTTTTTTTCTATGAAAAAAGACACATTTTTCATTTTCACCAATAACTTGATTTTGACATTTTGAGTGCGTCTATAATCTCTGGCTATTGGCTTCCAGTGAGTAGAGGCCAGGTGTTGCTGAACATCTTCCGAAGCATGAGACAGCCCCACAGCAAAGAATTTTTTGGCCAAAAAGGCAACAGTACCAAGAAACTTCACAAACCAAGAAACTTTTGACATGTTTGGTCAGTCACAGTGTCTTCTCCATACACTGCACACATCCTTTTTTGTCTTTCAGATGTTTTTACTTTTCTTGAAATAATAAAGCATAATATGCCAAAAATGTTGATTTTTCCATCTTCAGTATGAAAATGGCTGCACAATTTTTTTTTTAAATGCACACTGATATGATAGCTGTCCCAATATAATCTAACAAAGTTGTTTCAAATGAAGTTAAAGACAACAAGCACTTCTAGAGCCACTGTGCGGAGAAATCTAAATGGCCTTCTTGGTCAGCCCAGCGATCACCCAGGTAACACCCTGCCCTGTTCTCCTCCAGGTGGTTTCTGGGTATTTGGGAGGAGGGAGTGGTGTGTCTGAGGGGAGCAGCAGGGAAGGGAGCCCCCGCGTCTCCTGCTGTCCCTTGGTACTGTCTGGCCGGCTGTGTTCCCTCTGCCACGTGGTCTTCCCCTGCCCCTGGGACGCTGACCCGGCACCAGGCACCGCCCGCGGCCTCAGGCCGCCTTCCTGGCGGGGCACGCTCCGTGGCCCTGGAGGTCCCGTGTCCTGGTGGTGGGCTTCAGCCACAGAAGCCAGGCCGCTCTACTCGCCCCTGGCTCGGCGTCTGCGCTGCGTCACGGCCGAGGGCGGCTTGCGCAGATGGGACTTTGGGGCACGGGGGCTGGGGGGCGGGCGGTGAGGGCGACGTCTGACCAGGGTGCTCTCCTCCCTTCTCACGCAGCCTTGCCCGAGGGGGAGGCCTTTCGGCCTGTGCTGTTCCCCCTTCTGACCCCCGCAGCCGCCTGAGGGCGGTGTGGATGGGCTTCCTGACTGCAAAAGGGGCTTCGGAAGGCCTTTTCTAGATAACATCCAGGCTGGCCTGTGGGCGTGTTGCTATTTTTGTTTATTGTAGCCTTTTCTGCATTGATTCTCGTTTCTAAGAATACGGTACTGAAAAATGATCTGGCTTGCTTACTATTTGGGTGCCTTTAAATTGTGCGCCCAAGGCCTCACGTCCTAGTACTGGCCCTGTGCTGTCATCGAACTTTGAATGTTGGAACCTCAGGCTCGCGCTGGCCTCCTGCGGGAGCGCCTGCTCGGTGCCTGTAAATGTCGGTTCTCTCCTTTCCCTCCTGCCTCACCGGTGGGAGGGGCGCTGTGCCCCTGCAAACGTGACTGGCTTCTCCAGTCTCTTCTGCAGCTTTAGTGATGTGACTTGCTTTTGGTCAACAAGATACAAGTATTAACAGAGATTTCCAGAAAGTTCCCTCTCTGCTGCTGCTGGCCTGGAGGGTGGACATGATGGCTGGACCTCCAGCAGCCACCTCGGGCCACGGGGAGTCCGTGAGACGGGAAGCACGTCAGGGGTGGCAGAGAGAGAAGGCACTCCTTTTGCCGTCTCCATAGAGTCCTGGGTCGCCCCCTGCATTGTACATTTTTTGTGAGTGGAAACTATATGCCTTGTTTTCTCACAGTCTAACAATCCCTCAGTCCTCCCGTAACAACTCTCCTGATGGAAGAATTGGGCGGTGATTTTGTGTGGCAAAAGCAGAAAGGCACACAGACATGAGTTACACCCGTTATGCAGGTGTGAGGCCAGGGACCCCCGCAAGCGATGAGTGAACTGATGCAGAGAAAACAGCCGAGCAGACTGGGGCACGTCTGGGCCGACAGGTGCGGTGTGAGGTGCGGTCTGAGCGCCGAGGGGGGCCGCACAGGGGAGCTGCCCGCGCCTGCATCCGGCCAGAGCCGGGGAGCAGCCTCATGGTTTTGATGGTGGAAGCACGAACAGGCTGTGTACATGGGGGCGGGGGCTCTCCTGCTGACGGTGTGGATGGAGGCAGGCCCAGCGGGGCGTCCCCTGAACTTTGAGGGAAATCACGTGGGCAGCCAGCCCCGAAGCTGGTGAACAAAAGCCTGTGCTCACTTGGCTCCAAGCAGGTTGGTCCCCAGGCCACCAGGCCACGCACGTCAGGGGCGCCCACAGGACAATGGGTGTGCGAGGCATTCTGGAGCAGGGCAGGGTGGCCACCAAGGGGAGTTCCAGGGACTGGGGAGCTGCTTGGGCCGTGACCCCCGCATTTGTCGTCCGTTTCCCGGGCGACAGGTCTTGTTGCGGCCACGCCCACCCCATCGTCCCGGTTCCAGCCCGGGGTCTGCGCGTGTCACCGTGCCGCAGCGTGAACCGAGAGGGGTGCGCCCCGTGGGACCCAGCGGGCGCAGGGCTGCTGGGCCTGGGCGTTGCTGCCTTTGGAGAGGGATCCAGGCAGGCGGTCGGTGTGCTGGCTGTGTTGCCGGAATTCCTGTCCGCCTCCTCCCCACCCCCCGCCCTCGGCAGGGAAACACCGCGGCTGAGTAGCCGTGGCTGCTGCAACAAGGCCCCGTGGCCAGTTCTAGTTCCCTAGACGGAGGAGCCAGAGCACTGCCAGTTCCTTCCAGCACAGACTTCCCCAGGAGCCTGGTCTTGCTTAAAACCCAAACCTGCTTCTGTTACTTCTGAAGGGGTCCTGATCCGCCGTTTCTAAATATGACCCATGTTTATTCAACAGCCGACATGCGCTCGGGAAGAAAGGCCACGTGGGACCGAAGCAGTCAGCCTACAATAGGAACTGGACAGCCTGGAGAACGGTTTATTTTTGCTTTAACAAAACTGGACGGCCCTCCCTCTGTGGCCCCAGCCCAATCCCGCGTTTAACGAGGAGGAAGGAAGGGGGCAAGCTGAGCGGCACAGGCCACCGGGAGGCCTCGGGCATGGTGGGCCCACTGCGGGCACCGAGGCCCCTCGCCAGCCTTGCCTGGATAAGTCCTGTGCGGTGAGGCCTCCGGCTTCTCCAGAGCAAAGCTTTTTATTACATTAATATGTCATCACCTTAAAATGCCACAACAGGGCACAGCCAAGACACTCCCGTCACAGTCAATGGAACAGAGGGGCGGTTGTACAGAGAGCTGCGTTTCAGACACACCCAGCGCCCACGTGTGCGTGTCCCCAGACGGGCGGAGCGTCGGAGGACGTGAGGGCAGCTGGCTTGTCCGAGCCCCGCTTCCTCCGATGCGCCATAGAGGCGAAGGTTTCTAGCTGGCTCTGATGGGGCTGGCAGGGGGACAAGAGGCAAAAGCTGGCCCTCTGCACCGAGCATCACGCTCCACGGACAAGCCGCGTGGGTGCGGGATTAACTTCCTCCCGGCAGAGGGTAGGTCAGCCAAGACTCAGGGCCCGTCTGCTCACGTTTCCCGTCCGCCTCTTAACGTGTAGGTGCTGGGGGAATACCAGTGAGGACGCGCCGGTGAGAAATTGGTGGGAAACCGTAACTGCACAAAGCCTGGTTGGAGGTAAGTGAAGGATTTACTATCTTCTTAGGAATCCCACTGTGGACCGAGTTTAAAGTGGCTCACCCGAGTGTCCTGCGTCAGTCGATTCAGTAACCGAGATGCTGCATGTGCCACAGCTACCAGTTAAGCCTTTTCAATCCGATGGTTGGCCACGCCCCATGAGGTGGTGAGGCATCTTTGTGTTTCCTTTGTCTGTTTTCATCACGGCCCCTCACGACTGTTAGCACAGCATCTGAGGCTTGTGGGCCCCAGGCCGGCCTCGGCTTCCGGCCCCAGCAGCGGGAATGTTGTGACCGCAGACGTGGGGACCAGGACACAGACGAACCTGGCCCGCTCCCACCCGCCCTTCGGGCAGCGCAGACCCCAAGCCTGAACACTGGGGAGGGCAGGCCGTGCACGCTCCACCGCCGACTGCTCAGCGGTCAGTGCGGTCAGTGTGTGCCTCCTGGGCCGGGCCGCCTGCCGCCGCTGCAGAGCTCGGACCTTCCTCACGGCGGCGCTGGGGTCAGGAGCGGTGTGGGGCGGCGCCCAACGGGCACCTGCAGGCAGGGCCCGATCTGCGCAGGCCCCGTGGGTGGAAGTGCTGCGTGGCGCAGGGGCGGCGTGCACTCGCCCTGAGACCATTCTCTGACCGCAACAAGCCGAGGCCTGGGGTCCGGGTGGGCCCTGGGTGGCAGCCTACAAGCCTGCTCTCGTGGATCTGATGAGCGAGGGCTGAGCCCTGCACCTGCTGCTGACCCGCCCTGGGATGTCAGCGGCTCCGGTACCAGCTCTGACGAGGTGCTGTGCCCGTGGGGACCTCGGCGGGGGCTGGCGCTATCTGAAGCTCCCGACGTGGATGGAGAGAGAGGCTTCTGGTCTGTGGGGCCGGTCCGGTGTCTCTGCACTGGAGGAAACGTTGCTGCTCTGCACACGAAGGGGCTCCTGTCTGCAGGAGACACAGAGGCAGTCACCGACTCACAGTGACAGGCACAGGGTCCACCCAGGGCAGGTGGCCCAAGCAGGGAGCCGGGAAGGAGGACATGGCGCCACCGGTGTGGCCTGTGGGGGTGACGACGTGGACCGCGGTGGTGAGAGCCGGCTCCGGGCACTTGGGGCCTGGAGTGTGGGTGTCGGAGGGCGCTCCGGGCGATCCGGGGGCCCCGAGAGCAAGCCAGCCTCACAGAGCCGGGTGGGGGGAGTCTCCCCAGGGCGAAGGGCTCAGGGCTCGGGGCTCGGGTGGTGTGTGCAGAGTGGCCGAGAGCAGGGTAGGGGGGTCCCACGCAGGAAGACAGAGGGTTGGGAGCTAGGAGGGTCTGAGCCTCCTGTGGGGGGAGGTGAGGCAGCCCAGGGCGTAGCCGCCAGCTGACTCTGGGTGGCAGGGGACAGAGAGCGGTGAGGGGCGGGCACTGCTTCTGTTTCCAGGTGGCTGAGGCCTGTGTCGGAAGGAAAGACCCAGAAAGTGTGCCTTCAACGAGGAGCGCCCACGTTTCAGAATGAGGAGGAAGACGGCAAGCAGAGGCCCCAGTGGCGGAGGGATGGGGCGGGAGGCGGCAAGAGAGGCTCACCACCGAAGGCCAGGAACCCCGCTGCTGCTCTGCCCCAGGCCCCGCCCTGCGGGAGCCAGTCCTCGGCAGGGCTCTGTGCTCCCTGGCGAGAGCGGGCGCCAGCCGTGCGGCGGCCTCGAGGGGCAGCCGTGGCAGCGGGAACCCCAATGTTACCTTGTCCTTGTCCCCAGAGAGAGCTGTGTCTGGCTTTCTTTTCCAGCGTCATCTCTGACTGTTCCGAAATCGTCGTCATCTTCAACCAGGAGATTCTACATTTCAAAATAAGGAAAGAGCTGTGTGTCCAGACATCTTTTTAGCCTACATTTAAATGTAAGGTGCGTAAGTTTATATGGAAACTTAGATAATGTATATAAAAAAATTACCTACATCAACATAAGGAGACATCCATATTTACATAAACTAGACTAACAACCGACAGGACACCTCCAGTGCTTGATGACATACTGAACGAGTGGCAGGCGGGGCACAAGGGACTGCAGTCACCTGACCTCTGCAGTCACCGTGGCTGCAGGTGCTCCCGTGGGAGGCCCCCCGGCCCCCCCGCCCCCGCACAGGGCCGAGGGCGGGCGCAGCTCTCCTGCGGTTTCCTCTCGTCCGTGGTGGGGTTCTCTTTGGGACTCTGTCTACCCCAAAGCCACTGTCACCTAATGCTGGGCAGGCCAAGGACCCTGACCAGGCTCTTCATCAAAACCGCCTCGGCTCTCGTGCCCGAGCTTCCCGCACCCTCCTCTTCAGGCCGCGCTGTCCGGCCCCCGCTGGGACAGCACCTCCGCACGCTCGGGGAGGCGCCCCTCGCAGGGGCGGGCGCAGGGCTCTGCTTCTCCCTGCAGCGGTGTTCTCCGGACAGCTCTGCGATGCCCTTTTGTTGGATGGGGTCCTAGGTACCTTATAATTTCACAAATACTAACCCTCTCATCTTCTGAACTCTTAATACATCTAATGATTTACCTGTAGTCTTTTGAATCTCCTTTCTAGCAGGTACCAAAAAAAAAAAAGTTTTGTATTTTCCTTTTAGAATTTTTCTTACCTATCTTTAAATTTTTTATTTACTTTTCTTTTGCGGGGGGAGGAGGATCATATTTTGTTGGTCACATTGTCTAGTCCCAATGTTGACTAGAAGTGGTGATCAAGGGAATCCTTACCCCTTAATACAAAAATATTAATTACTAAACCAAGAACTGTATTAAATCAGTAACTTATTATCAGTAAGTTAATTCAAGGATTGAATTTATTTACTGACCTTCATATAAAAAAATACTACTACATGACAACAAATGAGGTCTGTCCGTGGCCAGCGAGGATGGCCCATGTCAAGCGTGTGTTCACGGAGTAGGGCCACGCCGCCCGACTCACGGAGGAAAACCATAGGGCTGAGTCCACAGGGACAGAAAACGCGCAGGATAAAGCTTGGTGTTAGGAATCCAGAGTTCATGTGTGATTTAAGAAGGGACTCGGGGCAAACTAGGAGTGGAAGGAAACGTCTTACCCTAACCCGGGCCCCTACTCAGAACCCACAGCACCCGCACAGCGCTGACGAAGCTCCGAAGGTGCTCACGTCAGGCCTGAGGTCACGGTTCTGGTGTTGCGGGCCTACTGGCCTCTTGATCCGAGCCGTCTGGCTTTCCCTCCTTTTCCATTCTCTGCGACCATTTATATAAAAGGGGGTCATCTGCGTGTGCCTGGAAGACTTGCTGAGTCATCTGATCCTGGTGTTCTGTCAAAGTGGTAAATCTGCTGTTAACAACTTACCTTGATACCAATAGTGTCTCCATCCTTCAGGTAATAAGGCGGCCCCTGCAAATTATCTTGCTTTTTCTTCTTTTTCCTCTTGGTTATTTGCTGATTCTATGGAAAAACCAAGCATCTTGAATAGAGAAAACAAGCCCAAGTCCTTATCAAGCTCCCTGTCTGTGAACAACCGGAGTGAAGCTGCTCACTAGGCCAGGAAGGTGCGGCTTCTCTGAGGGTGCCCCACAGCCTTACCCAGCTGGATACTGGGAGCCACTCAAACTTGTCTGGAAAGTATTTGGCAATTTCGATTTTCTCCACAGGAAGGGAATAGAAATCAGCCACGCGCTGCCGCAAGGAGCTGGCCGTGCCCCGGGAGGCGTCCCACACCATGTCCACGGGCGGGGCGTATGCCCGCTCGCCAGGGAGGCGCATCCGCGTCCTCAGCAGCATGTCCCGGGGGCTGCACCAGAAAGCAGGCACGTGTCAGACTTAAAACCAATGAAACGAGAGATGCCCGACAGCTAGGAGGGGGCGTGATGGGCGAAGCTTCCCCTCCAGCCCATCTTGTTTTTCTAAGGGAAAACTAAACCCTAAACTTTCCCCTAAACCCTAAGTGCTAGTGGGGAACCCTCTCTATTCCCATTCCGTTCACTTCTGACCCAGATGGAGGGGCAGCTCCCTCCGAGCCCACAGTGGGGTCCTTTGGGGGGTGGGGGGCGCGGAGGTGAGCCAAGGGCTTCCAGCTGGGAAGAGGGAGGGAGCTGGAGAGACGGGTGGGCGGTGACAGCTGCGAGGACAAAGGGAACCTTCGCGGGAGGAGGGACCAGGAGAGGGCCTTTGACAGCCTTGTGGGTTCGGTGCGCCTTTGGGACTTAGTGAGCAATTAATTCTCGTTATCACTCAGCACTAAGGTGTAACTTTGTATGAGGTGTAGGATGACTTACCCTAAGAATTCTTCTTCCGGCAGGGGCTCTAAGCAGATCTCGGCTCTCCTTCCCAGTTTATGTTCCCTGATAATAAATGACACAAAGTAATAGTGAGGGACATCATTTAAGTTTTTAAAACATTTTTTTGTCAAATTTAACCTTCTTCAGCCAAATATCGTACACTAACACTCAAAACTTAGAGGTCATGAACAATTATACTCCAACAAATTGGACAACTTACAACAAGTGGATAAATTCCTAGGAACATGCAAACTACCAAAGATGAATTTTGAAGAAACAGAAAATGTGAACAGACCAATTACTGGTAAGGAGATGGAATCAGAAATCAAAAATCTCCCAACTAAGAAAAGTCCAGGACCAGATGGTCTTCACTGATGAATTTACCCAACATTTAAAAAAGGACGCCAATCCTTCTCAGACTCTTCCAAATGGAAGTAGCGAGAATACTTCCAAACTTACTTTATGAGGCCAGCACCTCCCTGGTATCAGACCGGACAAGGACCCTCTAAGAAAATTACAGGCTGATATCCCTGAGGAGCACAGACAGAAAAATCCTCAACCATATATTCGCAAACTGACTTCAACAAATGCCGTCACAGGGTCGCACGCCACGGTCAAGAGGGGTCTATGCCGGGGGTGCGAGGGTGGGTCACATATCTGCACATCGGTTCGTGGAGACCCCACATCAACAGAATGAAGGATTAAAACGATATGATCACCTCAACAGATGCAGGAAAAACACTGGACAAAATCTGACATCTCTTCATGTTGAAAACAAATGATACAGAGTACATGTGCGTTAGAAAGGTCACACAGGATAAGCCCACAGCTAACGTCATTCTCAATGGGGAAAAGCTGGAAGCTTTTCCTCTTAAGATCAAGAACCGGACAAGGGTGCCCACTCACTCCATGCATATTCAGTAGTACGGGAAGTCCTGGTCAGAGCAGTTGGGTGAAAGAAAGAAAGAAAAGGCACTTGGATCAGGAAGGAAAAAGTAAAAATGTTCCTATTTGCAAATGACATGATGGTATATTTAGAAAACCTTAAAGATTACACCAAAAAACTATTCGAACCAAAAAATGTATTCAGTAAACTTTTAGGATACAAAACCAATATACAGAAATCAGCTGTACTTTATACATTAATAACTATCAGAAAGTAAAAGTAAAAAAAAATTCTATTTACAACAGCATCAAAAAGAACAAAGTACTTAGGAATGCATTTAACCAAGGAGGTGAAAGATGTCCACTGAAAACTGTAAGAAATTGATGAAGGAAATAGACAAAGACACAAATAAATGTAAAGATATTCCATATTCATGGACTAGAATATTGTTAAAATGTTCATACTACCCAAAGTAATCTACAGGTAAAATGCAAACCCTATTAAAATGTCAGTGACATTTTTCACAGAAATAGGAAAAACAATCCAAAATTTGTATGGAACCACAGAAATACCCTGAGTAACCAAAGCAATCTTAAGAAGAACAAAACTGGAGGCATCACATGCCCTGACTTTAAATTAGGTTATAAAGCTATAGTAATCAAAGCAGCATGGTATTGGCACTAAAACAGACACACAGATCAATGATAGAACACAACAGTGACCCCAGAAATAAACCTACACCTACATGGTCGATTAACTTATGACAAAGGCACCAAGAACATAATGGGGGAAGGACAGTATCTCCAATAAACAGTGTAGGGAAAATCAAAGCCCCAAGCAAGAGAACAGACCTGGGCTGCTGTCTTACCACACCGCGCACAAAAAAGCCTTGAACCTGAGACCCAAAACCATAAAACTAGAAAAAAACATAGCAGGTAAGCTCCTCAGCTCCTTGACCTTGGTCTTGGCAATTATTCTTTGGATTAGATACCATAAGCAAAGGCAACAAAAACAAAAATACACAAGTGGGATCACATCAAATTAAAAAGCTACACAACAAAGAAAACAACCAAATGAAAAGGCAACCTATGAAATGGGAGAAAGTTACTTGCGAATCATATACCTGGCAAGGGGTTAAGTGTATAAAGAATTCATACAACTCAACAGTGGAAACCCCAAAAATCTGATTAAAAAATGGACAGAGGGAGCAAACATTTTCCCAAAGACAGACTGACCAAAGACCAACAGGTACTTGGACAGGCGCCCACCATCAGTAACCATGAGGGAAATGCACACCAAAGCCGCGAGTGTTCACCCCGCACGGGTCAGGAAGGCTGTCACCGATGAATCCACCAATGACAAGTGCTGGTGAGGGTGTGGAGGGAGGGGAGCCCTCGTGTATTGCTGGTGGGAATGGAAGCGGGTGCAGTCACAATGGAAAACAGTATGAGGGTTTTTCAAAAAATCACAAACAGAACTACCGAGTGATCCAGCAATCCCACGGCTTCAGGCTATCAGAGACACCCCCGCACGCCCACGTCCCACTGCAGCATATTCACAACAGCGAAGATACAGGGGCGACCTCCCTGTCCGTCAGCGAACGAGTGGACACAGAGGAGGTGCACCGGGGCGCGCGCACGCACGCACAGACAGGGCGAACTCAGCTACGAGAAAGGACGTGCCGCTGCTGGCGACTGCACGGGGGGACCCGGCGGGCACTGTGATAAGATTAAGCCAGACAGAGAAAGACAAATACTGTATGACATTTACTTAAATGTCGAATCTGAGGTCACAGCAACAAAGAGTAGAACGGTGGTTCCCAGGCGCTGGCAGGGGGAAGGGGAGGGCTGGCCACAGGGCACGGATCCGTGGTAGCAAGAGAGGTGGGCTCTGGGGCTCTAACGTGCAGCACGTGACCACGGCTGACACCACCGTCTCCTATACGAGGGGGAGGCAATGCAGGTGTCCGCGGACGCTGTGGTGGCGACCACTTTGCAATAATATACGTGTACCAATGAATAGACTGTGTGTCTTAAACCCACACGGTGGTGTATCAGCTGTAGCTCAATAAAGTTAAGAAAAAAACACTCAAAATTTTGTTCAGTTTCCAGAGCATAGTGAAAATACATGGAGCTCCATTTTAAACTTAACACGGAAAACGGAGGGCGTCCCAGAGTTTGACTGACGAGGCAAGGTACTGCCCCCGACGCGGGCTCCCCGGGGTGGGCCTTCCCGGGCCGGCGCGCAGCCTACCTGAGCTGCTGCCGGCTGTCGCGCAGGAGCCTGCCGGGGCGCTGGCTGTCCACCGTCCAGGCTCTGAGGAAGGCCGGGCACGGGATGAAGAGCCCCGACAGCGAGGGCAGGGTCATGGCCTGGGCGAGGAGCAGACAGTTGTCCAAGGGTGAGCGAAAGTGCCCTCCGAAAGTGCTGCTTTAGGGGAACCTGCAGCACTGCAGGAGGGCGGCTGAGGGAAGGGTGTCCTGAGTAACAACAGCTGCTCAGCAGCCCCAGGAGTGTCTCTGAAATGAAGTTAATTCTGTATTTCTCTGTACGAACATCAGCTGGAGAGAGAAGTCCGTTTTCAACTTCTAAATCTGAGCCAAAAGCTCCTTTTGAGTCTCGGTGTTTTGGAAAATGGCACCCCGACGGGGACTCCCGCGTGCCAGCGCCGAGCACCGAGCAGCGGCCGCTCCGGCAGAGGCGGGGCCGCGCCCGCCCTGCGCTTCTCCCGCAGCCTGGGCTCCGCCGAGGAAATGGCTTTTGATTTCCAAATACTTCAAAATGCCTGGATCCTACCGCTAAGCGCAAACAGCTGAACTGATTCTGGAGCAGATAACTTATTAGGATGTAGTGTATAAAATAGCTAATATTCACCCATTTTTCACCTAAAAAGAGCAATTTTGTATCTTTCAACCCAACATCAGAAAAGTCTTCCCACTTGTTCTCATGAGAATAAAACTTTTTTTTTTTAGCAAGGTCACTGTAATACATGAAGAGCACACAGGTTGAATGTCAGTAACTGAGATCTTATTACCTGCCCCCACATTTTTTCCTTTAAGAGGAAGAAGGGGTGTCCCTTTCAGTTCCACAATAGTAAGAGGCTTCTGAAGCACTTAGTGTTTTATTCAGTCCGGCCTTTCCACCGGGACAAAACACTCTTTCTCTGTGAATGTTAATGTATAAGAAAATGCTATACTATCTAGCCTAATACCCTAACATGAAGCTGATATTCTGACCTCCTGGGAAATTGATTAACACCTCTTTTAACTAACAACATATACCATGGATTACAATGATACAAATACGATGTAAATAAAGGGATAAACTGAAGCTTTACAAATGTTTCAATAAATCATGTTTCCCTAAACTAAAAATAAACAGAAAGCTGCAGGTCACTGAGGACGTGCTCAGGTGAAAGCACAGCATGCCTGGCTGAGGGAGAAACGAAGGCCGCCAGGACCGCCAGCAGAAAAGGCGGCCAGCAGCCATCCGAGCCACCACACGGCCCTTACCGCTCAGCACACGGCACAGCAGCAGAGCAGACCGTGAGGGAGGGAGCAGGAAACAGGAGGAAAGACGGACTCCCCACGGGCAGAAACCGGCCCGGCACCCTGGTGCGCCCGCCGCGGGGGGTCTGACCTGAGCCTTGAGCTCCGCCAAGGTGGCGTCTTCCGAGATTTCCACGTCTCCCAGGTAGCGGAGGGAAGCGTCCGCTGGCCCATCACCAGGAGCTCCTGCGAAGGACAGAAGGACACAGCGGGATGTGTGACAGGGCTGGTCGTGCGTTTTAGCTGCTGTTCCTGAGACACAGGCCGTGCTGTGATGCCTTGTGCTTTCAGAGCAGCTGCGGTCAGGACACTTGGATTCCGATGTCCTCGAACTCGTGCCCCCCAACTCTGGAGGGGAGAAGCCCCGCCCTGTCCCTCAGCAGCCATGGAGCCTGCCTTGGGCACAAAGCCAGGGCTGTCTCACTGTCACGGGTTCGAGGAGCTTTACACTTGTGCTGCCTTTGCCGGCAGGATGCCCTGCCCTGTTCATACCGCCTTCCTGTTTCCTTCTCTCGTCCCATTAGCCGACCTGTCCCTTCTCTGTGTCCTTGGGTAGATACAGGAGAACAGGACTGTCAGGAGAGGATGGGCCGTGGCTTTTACTGTTTGTCCAGTGCCTGGTTGGGGGGATGTCACATAGTAAATGTTTAGTGACTAAAAGATTCCTTGACAGTATAGAAGGCCACCTACATTTGTTTCAAAAAGGGGAAAAAGAAAATGCTCTCTCATCTAAAATTCTGGATATAAAAGTTAGCAATTATATTTAAAATTCAGAATAACTCATTTTTGCTTTACTTAAATCTCTCTTTATTGCTGGGCACACTGTTAATATATAATAAAATTTGTTATAAATTAAATGAAAAAGCTTCATGTTGTTACAAAGAAGGACTATCAAAACAAGCCTGGTTCTTCCCTTTCCATGGAGAAAACATACCGAATAGACATGCTGTTTAGGTTTGCAGCCAACTTTGTGTGTAATTATTATTCTGTTACCAAACCATTTTTACAATCAGTTAACATATCTAATAACAAAACATTTTTAGAATCAGTTAACATATCTAATCCAGCCAAAAAATAATGCCAATTTCATAACTAATTCACCATGAAAATATTTTATTGCTCTAAACATATATTCCTAACTTCAATGATTAAGGAGATAAGAATTTGATTCATTTTTAGTAATTTCAATGATGAGGTTTAAAAAATAAAAAAGAAACATAAGTATAGAATACTCTAAGGCCCCCAAAAGCTAAATAATTAAATAAAGCATGATTTAAAGTTATATAAAGAGTTGGTCCTACTAAAATTACATCTACAGTTACAGAGGAGACTGACCGGGGTTCATAATGAAGTGGAAATCCACTTTTTACAACGGAAATTCAAATACCCTGCTAGTGGCTCCTTGGTCAACACGACAGGCGGACTGAAATCTGTCTGCGGAGAAGCAACTCAGAAGCGGCGCAGTTTGCCCGGTCCTGGAAGGCAGTAGGGGGTGCAACGCCCTGGGCCGCTCCAGGGCGGTAGTGGCCGCAGCAGAAAGAACCGGAACAGGAGCAGGGGCGGGGCGGGCGGGGCGGGCAGGGTGGGGGGCGCAGGGCAGAACCCCTCACTCTGCCCTGGGGCTGCAGTGACGTCCCTGTGAGGGGCCTCAGCGTCCTAGTCTAGCATGACAAATGCGGCCACGAGTCATATCGCCAGGAGAACCTTGAGAGGTGACACAAAAATTCCTTGAAAACCTTTAAATGCTTGTGTAAGAGAAAGACTTCCACAGGTTGTGCCTGACAGAGGTCAGAGCACTGGGTAAGAGCAGGGTGGCTCTCGCTGTTACGGGATGACCTGTGGACTAAACAGGTTCTGATTCCCGGCTGTGCATTTTTTAAAACCGTGTCATGTGCCCCGCAGAGAAGAAGCAGTCCTTTCCCTTCTCTCTGCGACGCACCGGCTGCTGGGGCCCACTGTGCCTCACCTGGGGCGGCAGCAGCTCTCCAGGCTCCACGCGGAGAAGGGGTGCAGCTCGTCCAGTCCTGATGGCTCTTCCCCGGAGCCGCGGGCCCCCGAGGCGGGTACCACCACATGGGCACCTTCAGGAAACCCTGAAGAATGGAGCATTGCTAACTGTTGTGATGCACAGAGTGAGCTTCCACTTTTCCTTTCATAGAAAGAAACACCTTGATAACAAAACACGTTCCCAGTTTTATTGGTTTTCCTTTTAGATGTGTAACTGCCACACGCGGCCTGTTTGGGAGAATATCCAGCCATTGCTAACACAGTGACAATGGTTTGTGCGACATCACTGTAACCTGGCAGCCAAGGAGAGGGGACTGGAAGGTGCATGTGTGAACAACGATGGCTTCGCGGTACTAGTCAGTGGGGACGACAGAGTGAGCGTGTGTGGCCGCTGCATTCAAAATGACTGAGGGAAAAGAGCAACAAATCTGCATCCACTTTGCGTTAAGCTCGAACAGTCCTCTGCAGAAACTGTTCAGATGATTCAGAGGCCGCAGCTGGAGATGGGCAGCTTCATCCCAACAACACCCCCGCTCATGCATCACGTCTTGTGCAGTTTTTTTGGCGAAATACCAAATCACCCAGATGACTTAGCCCCGCTACAGCCCAGATGTGGCGCCTTGAGACTTCTGGGTTTTCCCAAAACTAAAATCACCTTTGAAACGGAAGAGATTTCAGACCATTGATGAGATTCAGGAAAATACGACAGGGCAGCTGATGGCGACTGGGAGACTGCGTGAGGCCCCAGGTGCCTACTTCAATGGGTACTGAGGTGTCACTGTGCCATGTATAACGTTTCTTGTACCTTCTTCAATAAATGTCTCTATTTTTCATATTACATGGCTGGATACCTTCTGGACAGACCTCGTATATTATACTTGGTCCTTGTTTTTACAATCAAAAGTTTAAGTAATAAAAACCAGACTAAATGTTCTTTGCTCAAAAGTATCTCAATAGCTACAATGAATGAAAAGTATAAACAAAACAACGAAACATGTGGCAGAACTGACTGTGGGAAGGGGCGCGGGTACCGCACGAGCGGCGGGAACAGAGCGGTGCTCGTTCGCAGCGGCTCCGGGCTGGCAAAGGGCCGGCCACCTGCCGACCTCAGCCGGGTGCCCCTGCGCAGCCCGCGTGGGTGAACCCATTTCCTTAAACAAGCCCTGTCATTCCCGTGCTACTAACGTAACTGGTTCTCCTCCACCCCTTTTTTTCAGTTAGTAAAGAACTTTAATAAGATTTATTAGGGATTAAAGATGCCGTTTCAGTGCTCAATTTCCAACAGAAGATGAGAATGTGAAAAAAAAATTGTAAAATTTTTTGAATACGTATTTCAGGAAATGCATATTGAAGTGAGAATATTTTTGTGTATTAAATAGATGAAGATTAATAAATACTCAACCTCCATTCAATTAGTAAGTGTAAATCAGAAAAACAAAATTCTATTTTTTCATCTGTCGGGCTGTCAAAAACTAGAAAGTCTAGCAATATTCTCTATGTCGTTGAAACTACGGGTAAGTTGGTGGCAGGACTATAAACTGCTGCAAAATTTTTGGAGAGTACTTTGACATGGTCACAATCTAAGTGCCTGAGCCCTTGATGTGGCTGTTCCACGGTTAGGAGTGCACCTTCTGAGAGACTGTCCCCCGGGGCGAAGCCACAGGAGCAAAGACAGTCACTGCAAGTGGTTCACGGGAGCAGAACACAGTGGGAGGGCTAGGAACTTATTCTGTAGACACGTACATGCAAAATGGCCCAGTTGTGGTATTTTCTGCAGTGTTATTTCTATCAATAAAAAAGGAAACCACCTACTGTATTTTTCTGTGTAGAATGTGCACGTTTTTGCCCAAATTTTTGAGGGAAAAATAAGGATGTGTGTTATACATGGGTAGTACCTGAAATAAATACCTTGTATCTGTTCTTATGTTTTGTAATTATTTGTTATATAAAAGTTCTTGTACCATAATATATGGTACAAAATATATGGTTCAAAAATAAATGCTAAAATCCCTTTATAATACAAAAAAAAATCTAAACATAAATAAAAAATTGAATTAAAAAATTAAAAGATTTTTTTCCTGAAAGTTTGGTCAAAAAACGTGGGTGCACGTTATACATGGGAGCGCAGTATACACAGCAAAATATGGGAAACCTTCAAGAAGAGGTTGGTTAAATAAATTACAGTCCCTCCATGTAACGGAAGGTACACAGAGCCGTCGAACAAAGTGAGCTACCTTTATGTGCACCGGCAGAGCGTACACATACACGGGGGAAGACTGTACATACATACGTGTGTGCTGCGCACATACACGTGCGCCGACACACAGGACTCTGGCTGCCTGCGGATGGGCGCACCGAGTCACTGGGGACAGGGGACACCTGCTTTTCCTTGCCCAACTTTTTACACACTTTGAATTTTGTATCCTGAGTATTAATAATTCAGAAATTAACTTTAAAGAGTGGGGCATAAAATACCACAGAATTCCAGGAAGTCATGAAAGAGACTAAGGTATGTGCTGGTATGAGGAGACTCTAAAGATATATTAAGGGAACAAACACACTAAACAACAGGTGTAAAATACCTGTCTAGAATATAGTGCCCCTTGTGGAAACTTTAAAAAAACATGCATATGCTGACATCTGGCATACAAACAGGCATCCTTTTTCTTGGAAGCATATACAAAGAAAAATAATTTAATTGTGGCTTTTTCTGGGGAGAAAGACATGAGAGAAACTTTGTTTTTCATTTTATAGCCTCCTATGCTGTGTGACTTCTGCAATCATAAGCAAATGGTTATGTGAGTACTGGAATTTTGGGTCACTTTTTAAAAAAAATCTTTACATGTATCCACATGAAAAAAACCCAATAAACAGCCGTAGCAAGTGGTAATACGCAGCATTTATGCAAGAGCAGGGACTGGGCCCTCTCAGGTCCTGCTGATCGGGCGGTGAACTTGGCAAGCTCTTTGGGAAAATAATTTGGCAACAGATATTGTCGAGTCTTTAAAAAGTTTTGACTTATTAATTCCATCTTTAGAACTATCTTAAAATGGATTTGTTTTTAAGTACTATTATAGGAAAAAAATTTAAAATAAGTTACATTCCTAACAATGGGGATAAAGTGAATTAAACTGATAAATCATACACTGGATATAATAACTATTTTTGGATTTTATGGTTGGGTTAAAAAGTTAAATATGAACAGTAGAAAATAAAATTGCATATACAGTTGCCTGTATAGGAAGGAGACACATAAAGATGCGCGGCAGCTGTGTCTCTGGTGGGCTTTGGGGAGGGTTCTGTGTTCTCTGTCTGGTTGTCGCAAGGCCTCGCTGTCCCGTGGTGAGCGTCTACCCCTTTTGTAATCAGACAACAGTAACTGTTATTCACAAAATGTCTATTTAGAAGCAAAATCTTACCGGAGGAAGAAGTTTTCCTTCGACTAAAAGCAAAGTGTCTCCAGAACGTATCATAAGCTCTTTCAGTGTTGCATCCTGGGAATACAGAAATGCTTTTTGTCACGCGTAGCCTCTGCAGGGCCCAGAGAGACCACGGGGCCCTTTTTTTTTTTTTGAACCTATGCCTCTATTACCCTTGAAATAAATAAATGAATAATAAAGCGGATGTCGAAGAGTAGGAAATAAGCTGGCCGACCAACCTGTGTGCCACCGTACATTAAATGATGGGCATAAACCCTAAGTGCCCTGAAAGGTGAGGGGGAAGGGAGACAGATGAGGTGAGAAATGACGGGAGGCTGCTTCAGAGAGCTGAAGTGTTAGGTGACCCTAAACAGACGGGCTGCACCTGGAAAGCTGGAGGAGCCGGGGGAGGGATTTCTCACGGAAGGGAGACGAGAGCGAAGCCAAGCTACGTCAAGAGTAAACACGGCTTGTTTGGAGGAAGAGCTCAGGGACTACACTGCTCAGGATGGGCAGTATCAGTCGGAGAGAAACAGAAAAAAAAAGAAACTGGGTTGAAAAGGTGGCCACAGATGGTAGGGATATGGAAGAGGAAAAGGAAAGGCGTGTTTAGTTCCCTTGAAAAAAGCCCCTCAAGACTTTGGAGGAGGGTTTTGAGGAGTCAGCCTGGCTGCTCACGCGCGGCACACAGGGGGAGCCCCGGGCTCAGGGCGGCCAGGGCAGTGATTCGGGTCAGAGGCGGACACCAGGCTCGAGGCAGGCGGCCAGCCGAGGGTGGTCGGGAAGGAGTAGCTCCACCGACGGGCCTCCGAAGGCCGAGCCCAGATCTGAAGGGTGGCGGGTGAGCAGGCGCGCCGGCCTCATTTCAGGCTGAAAGAGGCCAGGGTGGGAGACAGATGGCAAATCTGGGAAGACGAACCAGTTTCGAAGGTGATGAGTTTGCTCTACATAGTTTTAGAATTGTTTGATATCAACTTGGGACTTAATAGAGAAGACAACGTGGAAACCGTACTATCTTCGGACATCCAAACCGCATGTCCTGAGGATTCTTTGAGGTTTTCTTACTCTAGGCAGTCAAATTCCTGGCCAAGACTCAAGAGGGCCCTCCCTATATTGCTACTGCTACACAGCAGAGCGCTCCAGGGGACGAGCCCAGTACACCTGCTCTAATCAGCCGCTGTGGGTGTCCAGCGCCACTGCCAACCCCTGAACAGGAGCAGGCAGAGCGCGGGAGGGGCGGCTGGCCTCGACTGCCCACACGTTCTCACAGAGCTTCATTCTGGGGGTCATTCTAAGGCCGTGGCTTGAATGAGGGGGGCTGGGGGGGTTGATGCCATTTGGATCAAGAGTGAGATGAAGCACCCCCGCCCCCCCGATACAGCTGCGCCCAAGGCCGCCCTGGGGCCTCGCTGGGTCCACAGGTGGTTTGGATCAGAGCCCACATGACTGGCTGGTAAGACGGATTCTGCTGTCAACTGACAGAAACTCTGAGATTCAAATATTCAGGTTCCAAAATTCAGAGTGTATCTTCAAATTCCTTCATTAGTTAAAATGTCTTTTGTTCTCTCAAGATCTCTGCCTCCTAATGAAGAACTCCTGCTCCTGGGGACACATTCTCTACTCCAAGGGGACTTGACACGGATGTCAGGGTCATGCCCCCTGGGCCGAGACTTGCTCTCTGGACGCTCTCGGGAAGGAGAAAGGGAAGGTGGACCCACACACAACGTCCTGTGTGCTAAAAATAGTAAGGCTTTCCCTAGAATTAGGAGTAAGGTGGGTATCCTGTATGAAAATACCTAAGGAACACAGTCATTTTAAAGGGATGAAATGTATAAAAATAATCTTACTTCCTCACATAAAGGCTCCCCAGCTTCATAGCACCAATCCATTTTCCGTAAGTGCCATGTGTCCCCTATGAAAGAATCAGAATTGGAATGAAAAAAAATTCAGAAGAATGTGTTTTAAGAGTTTGTCTGGAATAACCCTTCAGGGTAAATGAATTTTCAAATGGGATTTGATCTAATAGTTATTAATCTAATTTTATTTAAAAATTTTCTCTAAAAATTTTCGAGCATGAAAAAAACCTGTTTTCCCAATTTGCTTAATTTTCTCTCTAGTCCATCAAGAGATGTATAATTGTATATAATTAATGCATACATGCAAATAAAAATTATGCTTGCTATTCTACGATAGCACATTATGCCTTTATTATTTACATGTACACACATCACACGAGTGTATACCATATATGTACATATATTTAAGTGTAGAATTTCCTCAAAAATGATGAAGTTGAGTTCCATTTCACTGTCTTAACTGAAGCAAATGCTAACATTGCTCAGCTACTGATAAACTGCACCACAACCCTGGCCCAATCCAATCAGTGGTTAATCTAACAAAAAACAGTACTTTTGGAATAGTGCACTCAGTGAAGTTGGCATAAACGAACATTTATAAATGGCACACAGCCCTTAATTAGATTTCTGGTTTCCACACGCTCGCTGCGCTGAGGAGACGGGAGGCGGTTTCTGGCGGAGCGGGAGCCGTGTGGAGCTGAAGGTGGAACACCGGCGACAATCAGCTGCCCCCCACGCAAAGAAACTGCTGCTGCAGGAACAAGCCTACATTGCCTACTGATGCCGCACAGCCACAGGTTTGAATCCCACACTCTCCTTTGCAGAGCCTTTTTGTCCTTAGCCCTAGATACAGTAATACTAATGTGGGTATCTACCTTATTCTAACTACGTTTTTTAAAAGACCACCGCCAGCAAGTTGAAAGTGAACACCACTCCTTCGCAGCGCAGCAAGGTGGGAAGAGCTCGGGCTTGGAATCAGAGGGGCCGCCCCCACAGAGCCATCCTCAGCCGGCCCGTCCTCCGTAAAAGGGGACAGGCGATGAGCCTGCGCCGGAGGACGGGCGTCCAGAGGACGCGGCTCCACAGGGGGCGCCACGGCTCCTTACGTCCTCCCGGACAGCGAGTGAGGCCGAGCATAGAGGACAGCACAGCCCTCGAGTAGCTCCTTCCGACACCCTGGCGGATGTTCTCACTCATGTGCCCGGCCCTAATGGACACCTCCCTACTGGCATGAGCCACAGTCCCTGAAACTCCCATCGAGGGCTGGAAAGCAAGCGGCGAGGTGCCTGGGTGATCCCAGAGAGCACACACGCTGACTTCCTCCCTCCTGTGCTTCTGCGGGACCCTGCCAGGCGTCCTCGCTCAGCAGCAGCCAGCTCGGCCCGGTCTTTCAGCTGCCAACATGAAGGGGGTTCAGTGTGTCTGCACGGATGCGAAGCGCGATGGCAGCCCTGGGGCAAAGTCTGAGGCATCTGCATTAGGCTCCTACATAAACACTTTCGTACCAGCAGAGGATGCGGTGAGAGTATCTACCTTTCGTGGCCTGTAACGTACCTGCAAGGCCAAGTTTCTCCAGCATTGTCTTTAAACACTGCAAAAAAAAAAAAAAAAAAAAAAAAAAAGTATGTTCATTGCTTTTCTGTTTCTGAGTGACAGTATTGAGAGAAACAACCTTTCTGGTCCCTGGGCCTATTTAACCTCAATGGTTTTAAATGGTTCTCGACTAGATAAAGGTGAACTTAGCTAAGAAGAGGGCTGAGTAAGCCCTCCTTCCTAAGAGCCGGTGGGGCCGGCTCAGGAGGGACAAATGGCTGCCTCCTGTGACTGCAAGCAGGACTTAATTCAAAGTTTTGCCCACCCACTTGCAGGTTTATATATATGCCTTTCCTTGTACAAAGACTAATATTTTGATTAGTTGGGCTGATTTCACAGACACACATTAAATTTTGAAGCCCATAAAAGGGGCTTAGCCTCTACTGGCACCCACGCAACCCAACTGGTCACGTGCACACGCCCACGGAAAGAGTTGTGCAAGCTGCGACCTCACGGACCACGGTAGCAAACAAGGCACGATGACAGAAGTTTAAATAAAACAACGATCATTAAGCACTCCCAGCTTCTTGAGTGGAAAAACATTCTTAAATAAACCTGGGGAAGAAGAGTAAACAACACCTGGTTTTTGACACACAAGAGCAGCAGAGCACAAGGCTTAGGGCCATCGGTGCTGTGCCGCTTGGAATAAGAAAAAAGGCAAATAAAATATCCTTTAATGGGAATGTTTCAATAAACCATGAAGAGTCTTAAAACAATGAAAAAGATAAAACAGGTTTATATGTACTCATCTAAAAGATCTTTAAAATACTTAAGGCGAAACCGAGCTCTAGTACGCTTCATGCAGCACAGTACCGTCATGGTGTCAAGGTCCTCACCCCCGTGCGCACACGCGTGTCCACATGTGGGCACACGAGGGCAAAGCACGGAAGGGTGCACATTCCACTGAGGCCATCGGATTCCACCGTGTCATCTGATGACATCAGTGACTGCTGGGGAAGCGACCAGAACAGGGTGGCGACCACGGGGGAGTGTTTAGCCCCTCTCTGAAGTTTAAAAAATAAAAATAAATCCTCAATTACTTGTATGACTAAAAATAAAAGACAACTTTAAAAGCCTTCTTATAATATATTTTATAATTAAAAGTTGTTTAGAGAATGATGGCAATGAGAACACAATAGGTTAAAACATAGGAATGAGACCAAAGCTGTACTCAAGGGAAACTGCAGGCTCAGGGCTCCCATTATTTAAGAAAAACCAACCCCTGAGCACTCAGCTCAGGTGTGTTCTAGGTGGAGCCAACAGCCAGGGCCCAGGCCGGCCCGAGGGGCGGCACGGAGGCCGGGGCAGCTGGTGTAGAGGGAGGGGGCGGCGGGGTGGGGAGCCTGGCTGTACGGGGCGCTGCGCGTCCTGTGGGGACCTGGGCCCTCGCTCCGCACGTGCTGGGCAAGCACGGGGGGCGGGGGGGGCTGCACTGACTCACGCCTCACAGTGTCCTCAACGTCCGTCTAAGAACTGACCCTGGGAGGTGCAAGGGTGGAAGGAAGACCAGTTAGGAAGCTCCTGGAATAACCCAGACCAGACGACCAGGGTGACAGAGAGGAGAGAATGAAGTGAATCTTGATGGTAGAACCAAAAGGACTTCCTGAGAAACTGGATGTGAGGTAGAAAGAAGAGAATCAAGGATGACTCAAGGTTCCGGCTGCAGCAAGCAGAACAACGGAGCCGCCGGCCGTGAGAAGGGGAAAGCGAGGGGAGGCCTGCCGGAGAGACCCGCAGTGCCGCTGCGGGCGCTGTGACTTGGGACCCCAGGGAGCCGCCGGGCATGTACGTGTGGAGTTCGGGGGCGAGGCCCGGCCGAAGACTTGAGCACTGAGGCCGGGAGTCGAGGACACGGCAAACTGAGGGGGCGGGAGGGCAGCCGTGCAGAGCGGCGGCCCCGGAGGCGAGCGACCAGCGCTGCGGAGAATGCCCGCTGCTCTCGGTGAGAGCTTCCGACGGCGTCTGCCGCCATGGGTTCAAAGAAAACAGAAGGAGAGATTACACATCACTGCTTTGGAAAGTTTTGTGGTTTTCTTTCTCTGAAATTTAAAAAAATACAAAATACTAAAAATCAAAGGCAAATGGAAAACTCCAAAAATACTTGCAGCATGTAACAAAGGCAGGGGGAAACTTAGTATAAAGTGTTTTCTCACGGGAGACTTCAAACACATGCAGAGGGCGGTAACACGCCTGTGAGGTCTCGGCCGCCGAGCCCCTGCCGCAGCCCGTCCTGTTGGTCTGCCCCGCCGCGCACCTGCCCGCCTGGCACGCCCGACGTCAGAGCGCCGCGTTTATTAATACTCACAGAAAGAGAAAGGTTCTTGTAAAAAACATAACCCTAAAGCACTGATGACATTTTTTAAAAATTAAGAATTCTTTAATAACAAATATCCAGTCAGCATTCCAATTTCCTTACTTGCTCCCCTTAACTATTACTCAAGTTCTTGTGGTTTGAATCAAAGGCCAAACGAAAGCCACAGTGTTCCTCCTGGACTCCACCCCCACCCTCCCAAAGCTACTCACACCTCTGTGTATATGATGATGTGTGTATGTCAAGCGAAAACACAAAGGAAATATGTCAAAATGTTGATATTAGAGAGATAAAGGATAATGAGGGGTTTTAATTTTTTTCTTTAAATCCATTTCTACATATCCCAAATTTCTACAATCAACAACTATTATTGATAATAAATAAAAAATAATGATCTAACTTAAAAATTCCAGTGGTGCACCAAATTTCAAGCTCCCAAAGCTACTCCTTTAGTGAGTACATAGGATTCTTTAGAGTACAAGGGGGGACCCAAAAGGCACTGGAATTACCCTCTGGAGGGCAGGCCCCTTGTAGCGCAGGCTTCCCCTGTTGGGTGAGTGTTCTGGGAACCCGTCTGTACCAGTGCCCCAGCTGGTGCTGTTGTGAGAGGCTGCATTCGGCTGCCGTGAATTTTTTTTGAAGACTCTTTCAATGCAGTTGCTCATTTCCTGATGGGTGATTTACGAGCGCACCTGCCCGCACCGCACTGCATGTTCGAGCAGTTTTTAACCAAAAACGGCCTGACCCCGTGCCTCACCCTCCCTATTCACCCAATCTCACCCTCAACGACTTTTTTTGTTTCCCCCAATGAAAAAAGTCCTCAAAGGGAAACATTTTGCCCATGTGGAAGAGGTGAAACAAAAACGGGCAGAAACACTAGAAGGAATCAAAATCAAGTTCAAAAATTGTTTTGAGCAGTGGAAAAAAAGTCTTGATAGGTGTAGTGCATCAAATGGAGAGGATTTTGACGGTGACTGGAGTTTAAACATGTAAGAACACATTTTAGAAATAAATTCCCTTTTTTTGGGTCTCCCCTTGTATACTGGGTAAACTCTAGCCGTAGGACCTCAAAACCCTACCACAGGTTACCACTGTTCCCCAAATACCTGCAGACCCCAAAGGAAGATTACTCACGTCTCGCACTGATACTGTTTCTTCTACGATGACTTCCATCTCTGTCCCAGGCTGAAAGTCACTGCCCACGGCGAAAAACAGGAACAACTAAGATCAAGAGAGAAGTATGGATGCAACTTAATTGAAATTTTAAAAATTACTCCCAAGAAAGAGCCAATACAATCCATGAAACTTTATGTAAAGACAAGACTACATGAGATAATTTAATGTTACAATTTAAACAATGATCTCGACCACCCAGAAACGCAAGAGGCGCCACCACCGACGTTTTCACTCCTGCACACACCTCTCGACTGGCCACTCCTCACAGGGGATGTGCAATCTCTGCACTCTGTGAGCGCTGGCTGTGTGGTTTGAGACATTTGGTTGTGACCTTATTTTCTGTCCTTGTCCTCTAATTCTCAAGGCCCCACAGGAGAAATGCAGGTCTGATCTCTCATCAGATCGGCTCCTGGAGTCCTGCTTCCCCTTCTAGCTCAATGCCACACGTCACATTTTCCTGCTCTCAGCCTGCCGTGCACTGTTTGCTAGAGACCAGGGAAGAACAACTGAACAGAGAGCTGGCTGGGAAACTAATGAAAGGGACCTAGAACCAGGGATCCTGCTATGAACCTAGCTGACCTTGATAGTGGTAAGGACATGAGGACAACTTTGGGACAGTAGTGAAAGTTTACTAAGTAGGTAGAGCTTCTGGCAAAGGTCAACCCGATGGAATTTACACAGGAAATGAATACTGATAAAGACAACGCTGCTGTGAGGCTATGATATTACTGCAGAGCAATTAAATCCAAAATTAATATACTGCCTTTCATTAAATTCAACATGCTGCTGGTTGCTACCAATTACTTTATGGACCACAAAGAAACAAAACAGCACCCGGTACAGCCGCAGGACGCCGCGGACAGACAGGTGCGGGCCGGTGGCAGAGGTTAATAGTGGGGGAGGCACTGTTCAGAGTTTCTGAGATGCGGGTGACACTGGCAGCCACTCGGCTTTGAAGCGCCTCCTTAACCACAGAATCTTCAGAGAAAAAGAGCCTCGTGAGTACGCTCTGACATAATATTGTTTACTTAAAACCACAGACCTCTACGGGTATGTTCCTGAAATAAAGGTACCTGAGAGGAAGCCGGCGCTCTCCCAGGACAGAGCCCCAGCAAGCTTCCCGTCTGCAGGTCCGCCTCCTTCCAGGTGTAGCTGTCTGGCACTAGGAGTGATTTTGATAAAATAATGAATGTTAGTGATTCCTACCTGTTTGGGCAAAACAATACAATGAAACCCGTTTTCCTCTGAAAATCAAGAATGTCAGGAACGAAGAGGCTGCATTCCATGCAAAGGGACTGCATGTTTTAGTTACGTTTGATTTCCAATTTCCACACTCTGGACTGTATTGTTCTTGTTATTGGAACAGCAATGTGAAGGCGTAGGAGGCAGCTGCGAATATTCTAGCGTCATATTTATAAAAATCAAAAAGCTGTTGTTTATAGATAAGAAGATCGATATTCCAAACTATTCATGGTGGACTTGGGTGGTTTCAAGTTTTAAAGCAGCTTTGGTGACAACCATTAATAATTAGACTCAATTGCGTCTAATGACAAGATGTGTTACAGAGGTGAAAACGAAGACTCTATTCTATAACAGATACCTCAACAAGGCCAGCAAATAAAACGCTGACAATAAATTTAGAAAGATATGCCTAGATTATAACCATGACTCAATGAAGATCAGCTCATCAGAAACACAGGTGTTTCACTTTAGAAAACTGAAAGGTTTGAATTTTTGGTTCAGATATTCTGTAATACAAGAGGAAGACACCTGAATGACAATGAGCTAATATTTAAAGTAAAGGTGTTAAAAAAGTTAGATAGCAGGTAAAAGTGTCAGCTTTTGAGGGCTACCAAAAAGATTTACCTGGACAAAGAAGCTTCCCATTTCTGTCAATAGGTCTCAAACAGCTGTTGTCAGCTACAAGTGAAAAGAGGCTAGTTAGCACGGCAGACAAAGAAAACTAAAGAGACATTCTCTGCTGTGTCCATCAGCAGGGAGCTAGGATGAGCTACACGCAATGAGCTCCCGGCAGGCTTCACGGAGCACAGGAGCGCAGGCCCGCAAGGCCTGTGCCACCTGCAAAGCAATCTAAACAACAGTGAGAACACGACTGTTTTCTTGACCTTTAAATTTTTTTTGTCAAAACATTTAAAACTCTGTCAGTTATACATGTATAGTGAAATGAAAAAAAAGTAAAACTAATATTTACCCTGTAATTTAAACAATAGAAACACTGATGATTAAAATGTTTTACTTCTTTATGAAAAATCTACCAACAACAGTTCACACAGGGCTTGCTTCCTTCTTCTCGTTGTGCAGCTGAGCATCTTTTCTATCTCCCAGTGAACTGTCATACTCAGATTTCTAAGTTTGGATCAGCTTCCCGTATTTTACATTTTGTGCTTTCAACCTCATGAAGTATCTCCAGGAGCTCCCCATAAGGTGAAGTTTTTTGCCAGCGTCACTTCTCCTGGGAGAGCCTCATCCTTTTCGTCACAGCCACTGTCCTCACTCCTGTGGCTAAGTTCACGTTCTTACATCACTGGGCTAACCCCCGGGAGAGGAGGCGGCAATGGACCACACCCTGCGCCGTCTGAGCGGCGACGGAGCAGCCAGGCACCCTTACTCCCGCAGCGCGCTGCGGCCTGGAGCTGGCGTAGCCAGCCTGTGCTGCATGCAGCGGCTCACTCACGGCCAGTGGTGGCTGAAATGTGGGCCGTGCTGCTGGGCAGCTGATGCAATAGGATAAACGGTGATAACTGAGGTGTCTAAAATGAGACGTGGTTTTTTATGCCCATGAAATGGATTAGGGCCACGTGCCCTACTGCAGGGGATGCAAGGATTCCTGCCTTGCGGGAGGCTGAGCCTGAACAGAACGCTGACAGAGCAGCCGAGAGGCGGGCGCCGGGAGTGGGGCCTCTGAGAGGGCGGGAGCGGCATGGGTCTTAGGGCTGTAACTTGGTCGGCCCTGGCAGAATCTCTAAGGCTCCCGAGTTCTCTATCTCGCGTTACAGGCGTATGACACTAGCAAGTAACTCTAATATAAAATTCTTGACAACTCAATCAGCTGATGAAAGAATTCTCCCATTAAAAAGGACATTTTAAATACGGTCTCCTTGAATTTCTGTCCCCTTTCCTCCAGAAAGCACGGTGTGTCTCCTACGTGCCAGGCACTGCATGAGAAGCTGACTGCACAGCGGTGCGCGAACTGCCCCAGGCTCGGCCTCAGCACCTCGGCGAGGGGGAGGTGCACGTTCACCACACAGACGCACGGTGCTCACAGCAGCAGTGCGATGAAGAGACGCACAGGGTGTTATGAGAGTAAAAGACTAAGCGAGACTGCGAGGGCAGGGGTGGCAGAAGTCCAACTTCCGCTGTGGCCTGGTGCATGACTGGTCAGGAGAGGAAGCGCGGGGGGCGGTGGTTCGGAGAGAGGTGAGCGCTGAGATCTGGGGGTGGCAGAGGGCCTGCGCCCCAGAAAGTCACAGAGGGTGAGCCTGGGAGGTGGGCTGTGAAGACGCAGAGGGGACTGCAGGGGGCGGGGGCCGGGGGCTGGAGGGAGGAGGCTTGGGCAGGCTGGGCTCCGGAGGGACCGGGCTGCGAGCGGGGCGGCGGGGTCTGACTCGTACACATTTCGGAAGATCACCTGCCACAAGAACGGTTTGCAGGGGAGACCTGTTACACGGGGACGCAAACTATTCATTTTAATACGCCATATACTTTTAATCAACTTTGAGGTAAAATTTACTTATAATAAAACGTATCCGTTTTAGCTGTACAGTGCAAAGTGTCTGATACATATACTTGGCAACCACCAGCAAATCGAGATGGAACTTGCATCTCCCCCAGCGCCCTTCATGCCTCTCCTGGTCAGCCCTCCGCCCACCGACCTGGATCTGCCTCTGTGACGAGAGCTCAGGGGTACTTTAAAAAAATGTCATGTAAGTGCAAGAGTAAGAGTGTGCCCTGTTGTGTCTAGCTTCTTTTGCTTGGCATAAGGTCTCAGATTCATTCATGTTTTGTATGTGGTGGCAGTTCACTGCTTTCATTCACCAGGAGTAGTGACCCATGGTACGAATGACACGGTTTGGTCATTCATCCACCTACCCAAGGACATTCGGATGGCTTCTAGGTTTTGGTTATGCACAATTTGTGTACAGTATGTGTAAGGACACATGTTTTAATTTTTCTTGGGTGAATATCTAGAATTGGGAAGCGAATGTTTAAATTAATAAGAAACAGGCTGACTCTACCAACGTGACTATCATTTTCCACTCCCAGCGGCCACGCACGAGCGTTGCAGTTGCTCGTGTCTGCGCTACCCCTTGGTGGTGTCAGTATTTAAACCGTCAGCCAACCGTTCTGTGGAGTGTGGAGCAGGCATCACCATGGTTTTAGTTTGGTGGCTACTGACATGGACCATTTTCCCAGCATTCTGGCCACGTACAGGTCGGTTTTCCTTGGCAGAGTGCCCTCCCATTTGGGGTCGAATTAGGGTACAAGTATTTTTGGTATATTCTGATATAAGTCTATTGCCAAATACATTTTATCACTTTTTCCCTCCCAGTTCGTCGTTTGCCTTTTCAAATGCCTTTTGAAGAACAAGCGTTCTAAATTTTGAGGTAGTTTAATTTATTGGTTTTCTCTTTCATCGTTTGTACTTTTTGAGTCTTTTCAAACAAAATCTTTTCCTTATGGTAAATGTAACAAATGTTTTCTCCCAGACATTTTAGTTTTAGGTTTTAACATTTAGGCCTATGATCCATTTTAAATTCGTTTTTTACATGATGTAAAGCAAAGCTGGAGACTCACTTTTGCATTTATGGGTATCTAATTGGTCCAGCACTTATGCTGAAAATATGTTCTTTCCCCATGGAAACACCTTGGTGTTTCTGTTGACAGTAAACTGACTAAATTTATGTGTGCATGTTATTTTTGGATTCTCAATGCAGTTCTGTTGTATATATTTTAGGCTTCAAAAACAAGTTATGATCCCCGTTGCACATTCTTCTTAAAAGGGACCTTTTAAAAATATAAAAACTATCCTTCATTCACTGGCTATACAGAAGCAGGCTGTAGGCAGACCATGCTTGCTGACCCCTGGTCTGTTGTGTCTACTCGTGTGCCAATGCTCACTGACTTGATGGGAACAGCTTTAGAGTGAGTCTTGAAATCAGACTGTGTAACTCTTCCAATTCTGCTTTTCTTCCCCAAACTGTTAGTTATGGATGTTTACGTACTTTGGATTTTCATATAAAGAATCAACCTCTCAATTTCTCTTTCTCTCTCTCTTGCTCACATACAACCTGCTAGGATTTTGAGTGAGACTGCAATAAATCTACAAAGTAATTTTGAGAGAACTATCCTCTTAATGATATTGTGTCTTCTGACCCAAGAACATGGTACATCACTTCATGTGTTCAGGTCTTTTTAAATTTTTCACAAGCCAAGTTTTCTGGTTTTCAGTGTACATGTCTTGCATATGTTTTGTTAAATTTATCCCTGAGTATTTCATGATATCTTATTCTAAGTGTTTTCTTAATTTCTAGTAGATAAACATACAGTAGATTTTTGCGTATTGATTTGAATGCCTGTTAAACTCATTTACGTTTTTAGTAGTGTTTTGACGGAACCCTTAGGACACACAGACAGACCCCACGCACACTGGCAGTGCTCGCCACCGCTGCATACGGAGAACGCGTTAAATACACCACGATGCCAGTTCGTCGTCACTCGAATGGCCATAATAAAAAATACAATTACAGCTATTGCCAGGGATACAGCTAGTGCCAGGGAGAAACTATAACCCTAATATATGGCTAGTTCAGCTGCTTGGGAAAATAGCAGGGCAGTTTCTTATAAAACTAAACATAAATTTGCGATTTGACCCAGCAATTCCAATCCTGTACCCAAGAGAACAAAAACACATGTCCACACAAAGACAATGTTTGTAGCACACTATTCATAAAAGCCAAAAAAGTGAATGTATCAGTCGACTGGTGAATGAATAAACAAAATGTGATATATTTATACAGTCAGCATAACAGAAAGGAAGCTTAATACGTCATGCTCCATCATGGATGAACCCCAAGTGAAATCCCAAGTGAAAGAAGCCAGACACAAAAGACAACGCAGTCTATGGTCCCATTTGCATGATGTGCCCAGAAAGGCAAATCTAGACAGAAAGTAGAGAGGCGGTGGCCCGGGGCTCGGAATGCAAATATGAATGAGGGAGCACAATGGAGTGACGTAAATGTTCTAAAACTCAACTACAGTGATGGCTGCACAATTCTATACATTCACTAGTAATCACTGAACTATACTTCAGATGTGTAGTTGATGGTAAGTAAATTAACCTCAACAAGATTATTAAAGAAAATCCAATGCTGAGAGAACAGTAAATCTGCAGAATGCTCTATGCAGTGTGATAATTTATGTAACTGGAAAAATACAACACATGCATAAACATATATATGGAAGCAATGACATATACAATATGAATACATAGACTAGACACACACCCAAACCAGATGCACTGGTTGCATCTGGGGACAGGGAAAGAGTAGGACTGAGAGGAGGAGGCACAGGGGACTTCACAATGTCCCAAACAAAAACAAACACATGGCAAAATGTTAACATCTGTCCATTTTGGGTGGTAGGTGCATGAGTTTTCCCTAAATTATTTTTTGTACTCTCCCATAATTTTTCAATTAAAAATTAAAACTAAATCGAACCAAAAAACCAAAAGCAAACATAAATGATTACCTAGTTCCTTCATTAATTTTAATTCCTTTATGGCTTTAATTCGAGTATCAAACACCACCTAAAATAGAGAAATAAACTATGACTGTGTAAAGTTGAAAATGATGGGAGGAGCAGAAAAGGGAGACTGTCAGTACGCGCACATGCAGGCTGTGCTATGAATTACCTAGCCTTTGGCAGTTTTTGCCTACTTGAAAAACATTTTTTTCCATCACTGAAATTCATTTTCTCTCTTCTACAAAAATCAAAATCAAAACATAGATCTTAACAGTTAAGTTTTTACCAAAATGATGTTAACTGGAACAGAAAGGACTCCTACAGAAAACAAAAGAAACAATTCTAGCTAGAAAAGCAAAAATTGACAACCACGAACCTTTTTGATGAGAGGAAACTTCATCCTCTGCTTTGAAACTTCAGGTAATCACATTTCTTTTTGTTAAAAATGATGAATTCAGTTCTAATAACCATAAACAACATAAAAATGTACAATACTAATCCAAGGGCACTATTTAAAATGGCTGTTTAAATTACTTTATTTTAAAACTGTTTTTCTTTTTAGTTTAGGCTACTTGCCTCTAGGGCATAAAATTATGGAAATTTAGGGGGAAGAGCGATGTCAGAGAGCCACCCTCCCCTCCCACCAGGGCCGACGCTGCGCTAGTGGGGCCGGGGGACCTCACCACGGCCTCCCACGCAGGCTCGGGGTGGAGGCCTCCTGAGCCTGAGTGCGCTGGCCTTACACTGTCCCCTCTGCTGTGCCAACAGACAGTCATGCGCCTTCAGAAACGACAACGCTCACAGAAGAGAAATCATTGTAATGTTTAACGTTATAGAAAAAACTTAATGAATTGAGACTACCTAAATATAAAAGGAAGTTTTCTGAAATAATGTTTAAGGAAAGCAGTATCACAGCCTTCAAATGGAAGACTGGAGGAAGGACTCCCTTTTCAAAGGAAGTGGGCTTTCTATACAGCACAGGGCATAATGTAGAGCAATTTCAGTTAAACTTAAAAAAACAAAAACAAAAACACCACAACACAGAAACAAAACATATATACCTGGTTTAAACAATATGAAAAAGACCCATGAAATAGCATTTTGTATATTGATATATTTTGAAAAATATAAATATATATTTGCATTTTGATATAACATTATATATTTGACCAACAAAGCTAGAGGACTCCATGTACTAATTAAAGAGCTAACTCCCACATTCTATTCTAGGCTTTGGGCGGGGGGGGAAAGGAACATTTTCTTGAGACATGTTAAGGATATGCTGAAATAGGTAAATAACCGATAATCAAGTATTAAAAATAAAAGTTAATTTCTTAAGATTTAGAAGTCCACTGAAACTTTCCCGAAAGAGTACAGTATTGGTTTCTAAGTACAATTCTGTTAACTAAAACACTGTCAACTAAACTTTAATTATAATCTACTCACTGTGTTAACAGTTGCCGATATTGTAACTTGCTCCTCTTCAGGTTCTAATTGACATAAATTTTTAACTTGGACCCAGTCGACCTCATTTACACTAGTGATCCATTTCCCTTGTTTGGTCAACAAACTGTAGGTAAAAAAAGGTTTAAAAAAAAAAGTGTCTTTACACAGAACTTTTGTGAATCAGGAAGGATCAGAAAAGCAATACTTTTCCTTAGGCACCACTTCTAAAATTCTGCATGTGCCCCTTAATGTGACTAATTAGAGGTGACCAACTTCTACTGAGCTAGTGTTAGGCAGTGCACTATGGAGTCTATATTCATGACTCAAGTATTCTTTGACTTAGAGAAATAATTCATTGCCATACTTTCCAAAGAGAACTGTTGCAGTGGACAACCAGCTCGGGCTTGCGCCCGCACGCTGGACTCACAGGGCCTGGGGAAGAGCAGCCAGGCCCCAAGCCCGCCGCGGGATCACGAGCTTAACGGCAGGGCGGCCGTGTCCAGGCCGACGCGGCACCAAGCGCCACAGCTGAGGGGCATGACGACACCACACACACCGCGTGTGCGCCTTCTCCAACTGAGGGCTATTTCGTGATGCAGGTGGCGGCAGAGGGCCTTGTTCTAACAAACTCCCCTGGGGTAGCAGCGAAGGACCTTGAGGAAGGAGTGGCGTCCTTCTGACTCACAGAGATACTGAGGGGCTGGCGGGGCCCTCTCTGGGACGGTGTATCGGAGCCCTAGGACACAATTCTACCCTTTATTTCAGTCATTCCTATCTGGGACTGCACTGAAGTTCACAACCCTACATACAGCAAAGTTTTAAGCACAAAGATGTTCCCTAAAGACACCATTAAAGTGGTAAAGAGCTGGATGATAGCCCACCAGCTTACACCGCACACCAGAATAGACTCAACATGGGTAAAAGACTTAAATACAAGTCGTGATGCCACAAAAGTCCTAGAGAACATAGGCAGGAAAATTTCAGATATCCTACGCAGCAATAATTTTCCAATGTATCTCCTACGACAAGGGATATAAAGGAAAAAGTAATAAACAAATGGGATTACATCAAACTAAAAAGCTTCTGCATGGCTAAAGAAAACATCATCAAAATGAAAACAGAACTGACTACATGGGAGACCATATTTGCCAATGATACATCGGACACGGGTTTGATCTTCAAAACATATAAAGAACCCATATGTGTCAACACCAGTTTTGACTGGAATCAAGACAGTTTTGTCTAGACAGGAAGACAAATAATACAATTAAAAAATGGGCAGAGGACCTGAACAGATACCTCTCCAAGGAGGACATAACAGAGGGCCCAGAGACATAATCAGCATCACTAGCCACCAGAGAGATGCAAATTAAAACCACAATGAGATACTACCTCACACCTGTCAGAATGGCCACCATTAATAAATCAACAAACAACAGGTGCTGGAGAGGCTGTGGAGAAAAAGGAACCCTAGTGCACAGAGTTCCTGGGTGGCAATGCAGACTGGTGCAGCCACTCTGGAAAAGAATGTGGAATTTCCTCAAAAAACTAAAAGTGGAACTGCCTTGTGGCCCAGTAATTCTGCTGCTGGGAACATACCCTAAGAATCCTGAAACACCAATTCAAAAGAACTTAAGCACCCCAATGTTCATAGCAGCATTATTTACCATAGCCAAGTGCTGGAAACAGCCTAAGTGCCCATCAGTAGATGAGTGGATCAAAAAGCTGTGGTACATTCACACAACGGAATACTATGCAGCAGAAGGAAAGGAGGAGCTCCTACCCTCTGTGACAGCGTGGGTGGACCTGGAGAGCATTACGCTAAGTGAGATAAGCCAGTGGGTAAAAGACAAACACCCTATGATCTCACCTATAAGAGGAATCTAATGAACAAAATAACATAAGGAACAAAACACGGCACAGGCATGGAAACATGGGGCAGACTGACAGTTACGGGGGTGGGGTGGGAAGGGGACAGTGGCGGAAAGAAGGGGAAGGGCCTAGACAAAGAACATGTGTGAATGACCCAGACATGGACAGCAGAGCGGGAACTGACCGTGGGAGTGGAGGGTGGGATGGGAGGAGGAAAGCAAAGGGGGAAAACTGGGACAACTGTAATAGAGCAACAATAGAAATATGATTTAATAATGAAAAAGAAAACGCGGCTGGACGGATGGCGATGACGACGATGACGCCGATGACGCCAGCCGGAACGCTCAGCACCATGTGCACGTCGCTCTTCCAGTCCTTACAGCTCCACGACGGGGTGTTAATTACCACCCCGCTGTGCAGAGGCAGCAGCGGGGCAGCGAGGGAGGGAGGCACCTGCCCTGGTCGCGCTGGGAAGCGGTAAAGCTGAGACAAGGGCAGGCGGCTGGTGCCAGAGCCCGCGTCCTCGCCCAGCACCCAGGCTGCCTCCCCTGGGGAGCTGTGACGCCAGCGCTCACTACTTGGCAGCCACGAAATGAGTTTATGAAGAGTCCACAAATGATGGAAAAGCAGGATAGAACTATCTACAAAATAATCATTATGCTCAAAAAGAGAAAACCTCCACATGGAAACCCAGCGCCTGGAGCTCAGGCAGACAGGAAAGCTAACAGGGACTGACCCTGCCCCAGACGCACAGCGACGCGGGTCTCAGTCTCCCGCCTTCACGTCAGGACGTCGCAAGTCCTAATGAATGTGTATCACTTTTTAAAAAGGAAACACAGAGCACGCATACTTTCAAATTAAATACGCACAGTGGGGAAACAGACGTCTGGAAAACACCTGTCTGAAAGAGTAACAGTGATAAATGTTGCACAAAATAAATACAGCCACAAAGGGCCCCGCTCCTCTGTGCCACTGCTGATAACAACGCAGGGACCCCGCAGTGCAAGGGACTCTGCAGGGACTCCGATCCAGTGGGGGCTGCTTCGCTGTTTGTGACCTAAAGTCACCAGTATGTGGAAATCTGGGGAATGACTGCAGAAACAGACACCATACACTGTCAAGACACAAATGACAAAAATGAAGAGAGGCAGCACTTCTGGGTTCCCAATGGAACTTCAGGAATCACAGGTGTAACTCCCCACGTCACTGCCCTGTGGGCGGCTGGGAGAATCTTAGGAGTCAACATGAGAAGGACCATGATGAAAAACTGAATTGCCTATGGGATTCTTCTGACAAAACAGCCAGATAAATTTAGCTATAACCTTGATACTATCCTCATAAAAAATTTCAGGACCTTTCTCTGTGAGAATGGGTCTTCAGTTTTCTCATGGGCGCTAATCAGAATTCCTCAGGTAGGATTCTGCTTTATAGCCAAGTAATGTAGACTGTATCTTGTCTCTACCTACTTATATTGTCTAGTTATCACATTTACAAAAAAAGTCACATGATACCATTTTTCTCCCACTTGCCTAACCTAGGACATTCCTACTTACAATATACAGAACACATGCCTAGAAATAAAAAGAAACATTTAGCTCTCATTACAATAAAGCTTTAGAGTTCTAAATGATAGTGTTCCAATTTAAATACCTTAAAACATTCTCTTTTCAGCGAGTTACCTGTTACTCTCATTACTGGAATCCTGAATCAAAACTGAACTCCCGTTTCCGAGACCCTGCTCTCTGAACGTCTTCCCTGTGTCCTCCTCGGGAATGGCGGCCCAGCGCTCCGCGCCGGCGGGCTCAGGCTTGTTGGTGAAGACGGCACCGACCGGAATTGCTAAGGCTGTGAATACACTGCCTACTTCTGCGTTAGCTGGAAAGACATGCGGAGACTCTGTCAACTGACGACACCCTTCACTGCTTGTTGCTAGATGCAGAACATTCAAAAGCAGAGGTTCACAGTCACTGCCAGTTGGGATCTGGATTCCGCCAACCTGCAAAAACATCAGGACAACCATTAGTATAGTTTATATTGCCAAAATAAAGTCAACATAATAACATAGTAAAAGACTACTCTTGCAGAGTAGTTCTCATTTTATTGATTATGCTGTCACAGTTGTCAGACTCCACACAGCTCGATTATCTGATGGTTCCAGGTGACAGCTGTTTTGTACTCTAGTTGTAATTTTTGCTGTGGTTGTGTGAGGAGGTGAGCCTTGCTTACCCACGCCTCCATCTTGACCAGAAGTCTCCTTTTTTTCCTTTTCAAGTGAAATAAAGTTTCACAATGTCTTTTAAGTGTCAGGAAAACAACTTTAGATTTTTCTTTTGAAACTTTCTCTTAGCCATTTTTTTTCTTGTAGGAGAGAAATGAGGAGTCGGGACAGATGCGTGCATCCTCAGAAATGCATGAGACGGGCCAGGGACAGCTCACTGTTCCTCGCCCCTTTCCTGACTTAGAAAATTCACTCTCCTCCTCCAAGGCGCTTCCACTCCCTCACTCTGGGTAGCCAGTCACCGGCGCTGGGTTCCCACAGGGCGCACGCCCAGCCCCTAGAGCGCGCACGTCAGTGCAGTCACACCACGAAGCCTCACCTTTACATCCAGCTTCCGACGCGCTCCCTGGCACAGTGGAGGTGCTCAATAGATGTCTTGCTCACATGTAATTACTACTGACTGTGCCTAAAATTTGTTAAATATTTCAGCGGTTTTCTGATATCTAATATGCTGTCGCATATGCTGAATAAAATTTCATTGTAATGACTTAAAAAAACCAAAACTATCACAGGTATTTCTTCAATACTCTTTTACCTCCACTCCATTCCACACAAAGATGTCTTCCTCGTCAGCGACTCCCAGCTCACACAGGGTCAGGTCATCTCCTGGGAAGACGAGAGCAGGCTGTCGTGAGACCGCTCACCAGGACTGTTCCAAACGTGGCTGAAGAAGGAGCTGGGACACTTAAATATTTTTTTTGAAAAAGCATCCCCATTAAGGAAAATTAAGAAAAGGCAGGAATTATGCTTATTATGTTGTTATTATTTTAATCTTCCTTCCTTCTGCCACATTCTTTAGCTGCGTCTTTAATTTTTGGGAGCGTTTCCCCATGTCGCATATGCTCCGAGGGCGCGCTGACAGGGAAAGCGTTTACTACAGAGGTCGACCGCACCGGCGCTGTGAACGGGAGGAAGGCGCAGGTGTCAGGTGGTCGCAGCTCTGCCACCAATCAGTTGTTCACAGTCAAACGGGTAGTTTACATAAAACACTCATCTCAGTATTTGGTTCAGTGAAGTCCAAAATAGGTTTTACCACTGTGACTGCTATTATTAGTTTTGTTTTTATTTAAAGGGAGTAAATACTTTTAAGCTCTTGAAGTACATTTGTTTAGCTACAGAAGTACATTTGTTTGTGAAGCTAAGAGTTGGGTAAAAAAAATCAAACTATATAAATAAGACTTAAATGGTTTCAAATCATTTTGCTTAAAAATTTGTGGTAATATAAAAAGAAATTCCAAAGCCTTTTAGAAAATTAATTTAGCAGAGAGGCAGACTTAATTTGAGAAAATATAACATTTCCATGTTAGCAAAATTTCACGTTACATAAATGGACACATTATAAATTGGATAAATTAAACAGGTAAGAAAGCAGTAGGTGGGGAAAGACTGGCCAAGAGCAGAAAATCACAGATGAGCTCCACAAAGATACAAACATATAAAACGAGTTGCTGTGTCTTAATACTTATCTTACCGTCAAGTGTCTCATAGACGTGAAGTCCTGCTGGTAGAAACTTGGCCACACTAAGAACCATGTCTCCTTCCCAAGATTCTAACAGCTACAGAATATTTATGGAAGAAAAGAGAACAAGGAAAAGCAATATATATCACATTTTTCCAAGTTAAGTAAGACAAGCAATGTTCAATTTACATGTGGAGGATACAGACAGCAAGCAAATGAATACTTCCATGCCCCCCCCCCACGATAGTGAGGAAAGACGGTTCATCTCCTCCCCCAGCAACGGGGAAATCTTGGCATAGACAAGGAGCACTATGCCCATCTAAACCATTCTGCATAATGAACAGGAAGGCCACTTTAACCAGAGGCACACTGCTCAGCATGCTGGCCCAGGAATCTGTCCGGAAGAGCAAAAATTGTTTAATCAGTGCTGTTCAGGAAAAAGCAGCATGAGTCTACCGCACACTAACATCTCGTTACCTGAAAGGGATGCTTCCCGCTGTAAATTAAAAAGTGTAACAGATTACCAGGGGTTTTTGTTAAGTTTCTAGATCCAAGACTCTGGGGACTCTGGAAACCTCGCCCAAACAATATCCCCATAAAGGTGAGTCCTGTTTAGCGCCCCCACAATGCACAAGGCAGTTCTCTGAAAAAGGAATTCCACGTTTACAAGCGGTCAGTTAGCTGTGTCAATCTCACGGCGTCTTGCCAGTGGCTCGCTTCCGAGATAACAGAGATGGACACTTAAAGGTCTTTTCCATCTGTCACCAAATGTCACCCTAGACAGGGTCAGACCCCCACCCTCACCTGTATATCAACACTGCCAGGACTGGCTCATAAGAGAACTTTTAATGTAAAAGTTCAGAAATACTAGACAATTTTAGAAATCCTGATGCTGATCCATTTAAATATCATTCAAATCATCTAAAGTTAAAAAAGATATTGGCCTACTTTTCTTTGCACAAGATGAAAATCAAAAGAGAGCTAGTAATTTTAGTAATTGATACAATTTTTCAGAAAATTCGCTAATTTCTGGGGGAAAAAAACCCAAACCATTCTTTTTAATTTCTCTTTTCCTAGATCAGAAAGCAGTGTGGGGTGAAGGCACGTGTTAAAAGGAAAGAAAGAGCAGGAAGCCCAGGACTGGATTAAATCACCATTTCTTCCTCTTTGAGGGCGTTAGTGAGCGTGTCTGCGAGAGGTTCAAGAACCCAAAGCCGTCATTACGATGAAGGCACTGGGAGTAGGAAAAAGAGCGCTGCTGTCACTGTCGTTGAAACACAGTTGGGTAAGTTATTTGGAAACAATGATTATGATGGTGTTTGCTTTTACTAAAACCAGTAGATATTTTCCTTCATTTGGCAATCTTAGTAGTAAATGCTATTGTGTACTGAAAGGTAGAAAAGTTAGCTGCTTTTATTTGTTTAGCAGTTCTTGGTTTTAGACAGCATGCTTATCTTTGTTTCTTCATTCCCTTTAAAAATAATTCTCTTACATTTGTTTTTCAAACAAAAAGAGGCCACCTTGCACTCTTTCTCTCCCCCAAATAAAAGATCCCCGGCTGCACCTGCCCCTGAAGAAGGCCGGCAGGGCCGCGCCTCGCCTGGGCCGAGGAGCCCCTCCAGGCTTCCCAGTGAGGGGCCGGCAGCGGGGCCGCCCCCTGTGGGACCGGGAACGGCAGGATTCTCCTAAGAAGCTTTGAAATATAAATAGTTTCATTTTAAGTAGGATTTTTGTACAGAAGAACCCAGCTTGAGATGGACCCTAATGTCTGAATTAGAGGAAGTGCAGCTAAATTACCTGAAATATTGATTGTCGAAGATCTCCTAAAGTTCTCCTTTTATCAAAGCATAAATCCCGCGCGCTTTCTGTCTGAGAGCCTACTGGGTGCAGGGCCCCATTGAAGAAATGATAATGAGAGCCCAGGTGGAGATGTAATTCCAAATTATTGTTCGTAGAATCACATTCTGCCCTTTAGAGAGGCATAAAAAATACATAAATGCTATGTTTTTTTTTTATCACAAACAAGGTTTCATCTCAAGCCCAAAGTATTTGATTTGCAATGTAAATAAGCTCTCCATTCCACCTATGTAATTATCATTAACACCATTTTCTTCCAAGCTCCAAAACAACTCCTTTCAGGGTCTCAGCAAATAGCAAAGCTTCAGCTCCGCCACTGCGAATTCCAAGGACGAGTATTAAGGGACACTGTGCAATGCTACCCTGAACGCTGAGAGTTGCAATCCTCGAACCCTAGACTGTAGCTGTGAACAAAATGCTCCAGACCTGCTTCTCGTAACTGGGTGAAGTGTCAGATTTGCTAGCTTCTAATCCGTCCTCGCCCCCTGCGAGATGTGCACTCTGCCCTGGCACGTCTGAGTCCCCCCTGGCCCTCCTGAGCCTCCTCCCCGCAGGCCCCGGGCCTCGGCGGCAGCCCCAGCCCACACTGTCGCACACCTGACACCAGCAGTCGAGTGACACAGTCTACGAATGTGGTCAAAGACAGCTTTAGCTTTTTCGATGCCCGCATGGTTAAAATCTCTTTGGGTGTTTTTGTTTTGTTTTTATTTAAATACCAACTGCTAAGCCACACTACTCACGCAGGCTCTTTTTCATGCTTAAGATATTTTACCCTTTTATGTTTTTATATTTTTAGTGTCCTGATTTTTGTTGACATTTCCTTTACTCTTGGTTTGCCATCCTATCTACCTGCCATTTTTCTCCAGCTCCACGTCAATGACAAAAGTGTGGAACACGTCCCTGCTACCTAGCTAGCTTCTTGGGTCCATGGGAAGACCATGCAACATCCATTTCTCTAGCCCAGGACCCCACCAACTGTGCCAGAGAGCAAACAAAGAGCCAGCTCTTCGGGGTCCGAGGTTAGACCTCAGAGGAGAATGCTGAGTTGACCAAGTGCTCCCAAAGCACGCCTTTAATAATCCATTACGGGCGTCTGCCTGACGGACACCGAGCCCAGCAGCTGGCGGGGTGCGCATCTCCCCCCGCCCCCGCCCACCTCTTCCGCTGGCACGCCAGCACCCCACAGCTACCTCAGCGTGAGGGGTGGTTTCCAGAGCGGGTCTCTTTGTACCAAGGGAGTACTGGACAGGCCAGGACACAATTCATATTGTCCCACTATGTGCGCACAGATTTCTCTAGTCTTCTTAGGCTTCCGTTCCTACCTTGCAATGGCCTTTTATATGTCATTATTTCACTCACTTTCACAGATAAGGACAATTTCAAAGTAAAAGATCCTCTCACTATAAAAATTCAGCCACTAAACAGATACTGCATTAACTAGGTTGACTATTTTCCTTTTTAAATTTCATTATTGTATACTTAAGACCTAAATCAGATCCTCTTTCTCCAGCGAAACCACTCAATCTCTAAAAGTTAGTTAAAGTTACCTTTTTGTTTGAAGTTCAGTGTTGGCTGCATCCATCTCATTCAGTAAATGACGCGGAACCTTGTATCTGGGATTAGCTCGAGCTGCGAACAACACTTTTCATTACCTCGCGCTGACTAGATGAAATCTGGTTGCTGAAAAGGCAGCAGGGAAAACTAAAAAGGACTGTGCTGGAAGCTACAAAAGCTCTGACCATCTGTGTGAACACTCATGTTCTCTGGATCTCAGTTTTCCGTTTGAAAAGTAAAAACATGAGAACAAATGGAAAGTAAACAGTTCTTTAAGCCAAGCTACAAGAATTCCATTTCTTCAGCTCTCTTTAAATATACTTTTTAAAAAAGAATACTATTTTCTTCCTAAAAACTGTAATAATTTGTTCCTGTAAAAATTCTAAAAATTATTTTTAAAAAATGTAACAGAAATTGATAGTACCTATAATCTCTCTCTCTAGAGATACTGCTAAAATTTGGTATATATACTCCTGGTCTTTCTTTTCCTATACTACACAATATGTCTTGTGTACACACACACACACACACACACACACACATGCACACTCTTATTTAAAGCACTTAAATTTGTTTCAAAATGGAACTGCATTCAACAAATTTGTACCTTGCTTTTTCATTGCATATATTATTATTTTTCCAAAGTTTTAAATGCTTGCATAGTAGTCCATTCTTTAAATAGCACAGTCAATCTAATCAGTCTTTTTCTGTTAGACATTTAAGTGATGTCCATCAGTTATTATTATAAAATAATGGGGGCAACAAACATCTTTGCCCATAAATATTTATACACAGCTCTGATTATTTCAAGAAAAATTTATAGGAGTAGCATTAATTTAATGGTTTTAAACACATACAACCGAACTGGCTGTACTCCTTTATATGTCTACCAGCTACGGAGGAACTGCCAACTTTTTGTTGAGCACCAGAGTCTTAGAAATATTTGACTTGGTAGGAAAAGTGTCATCTCAATGCTGTTCTGATTCACATTTTTGATTGTGGATTAGGATGAAAATTATTTTCACAATTTACTGGTTGTTCCCACTTCTTTTTCTGCGTATTGCTTATTTATATCCCTTTCCCAATTTACTACTGAGGACAATGGAATATATGTAACAGCACTCTACAGATAGGGGAAATATATTTGTCATATATTTTGCTGTTTTCCACTTGCTTATCATTTGTTTCCTAATATTAAGGTTTATATCACTTTTCCATAAATTGTTTCTTTCTTTGCTTTTAAGATAGGTCTTTTCTATCTTAAGATCAGAAAAGTATTTACATATTTTAAGGTTTTTTAATACATAAACATTAAAAGAGCTACAATTTCATTCGAATAGTATAATTTTAAATAGTAATTAGTATAATAATAGCTTTATAAGTTATAAAACATACTTTATAAGTATGTTTTTATTGAGAGCAAGTTTTCCTTCAGTAGTCCCTTCTTCAGTTCTCATTAATTTATCTCTCTACATAAATTTCAGAATCACTTTGTCAAGTTCCATTCCTTCATTCCCCCAAAAAGTCCATCAAAATCTTGGCTGGACCTTTATTCAGTTCCTAAGCTAATTAGAAAACTGTCATTTAGTACATATTCCAATTATGTACATACTAAAATTCAACTTAGTGAAAAAAAACAATACTCCATCTGAAGACACTGTTTTTTCCGTTACTATATACTTTTGTAATTGTGAATGCTACTCCACAATATATTTATCAGGACGATTACCGTATCTTTTTTCCCCTTTAGAAAAATATAAAGTCCTTTCTGGTTAACACAGTTATGCAACTGCTTCAGATCCAGAAAGTTAATCTCCTTTGATGGACATGCACATTATTAACTACTTTATTCTTATTCTTTATAAAAATGATCACTATTCTTGCTCTCTAACAACAGTATCTTCATTTCTAATCACAGATATGTCTCAATCTACGAGTTTTCCTAGTCAGGAATTTTTACTTTTGAGTAGACCTTGGGAAGTGATCAAAGTCTTAAAGACCGATTCATGTCAGTGGCTTCAGTTAAAAAGTGTATTATTGTCAGTCTCAATGTTTAACTTCCTTGGTATGAGCTCTCTTAGAAGGTTCAACAAAGAGTATTTCAAAGCTATTTCAATTGCTCATAGAAAACATTACCTGGAGAGAAAGGAAATCAGAAATGAAAATAAAAGGGACAACATAAAAATAAGGCCAAGGCCGCTTACAACTCAAAGGTAATACATGACCAAATGACAGAGCCACGCCTGAGGACGGGCACTTACCCTCAGATCTGCCTGCACAATAAGATCCATTGGCCCACAGTATGTGATCCGAGAAAATCCAATTTTCAAAATCTGACTACGGCCTCATATTATTAGAGGAAAAAAAATTAAATAGAAATACATGATCTTAAAAATGACAGATTGTTGGATTTCTTTTGCGATCATGTATTTCTTACTGTTGAGCATAAAAATATTTTAAATCTTCCAAGAGTAAACCTCCTTTTAAAAAGGTAACAATGCAAATAGTATTTAATATTTATCTTCTAAAGTCATCAACTTAAACAAACAGGAACATTTTTCTTTCCATACCTTCAGCAGGTCTCTGCAACTGGGATTTCCGATAAAACAGCATGTAGGCACTCTCTTTGCCCTGAAATTGCTGTTCAATATCTTTTTCCTCAATGGGCTGGACCTTGGAATCATTTATGTCGAACCAGTGCGGAGAAGAGTTTCTATCACTTAATCCTGCAGATTCTGAAGTAAGTGTCTTGAAAATTTGTTGGTCCTTCCTTTGGAAATCAGACTCAGCCTCCAGAGAACAGTTCTTCAATAGACTAACTGTACTTCCATCTGAACTGAGTAGAAATACCTGAGAATGCAGCTTTAAGAACTAGACAGAAACAAAAAACAAATACTATGTGAACAAAATTTTTTTTAAATTAGACATAATTTTAAAAATCCCTTCATCTTCCTTTCTGTTATATTTTAGCTTCACCTTTATTTTTGGCCTCTCCAGCTAGAAGGGAAAAAATCCATTCGGGCCATAATACCACATTTAATAAAAATCAGAGTTCTCTGTGAAATGATCTAATAGTTATACCAAAAAAGTAAGTTATCATGCCATAATCAAAAGAACATTTTCTTTACACCCTAATAACACTGTTTTACAAAGTATTTACAGAGATTAGGTAGAACAAAGTTTTGAAAATTTTAAAGTAATCTAAACACAAAACAAAGCACATATCACACAGTGAAGTATTAGAGAAGGTAATTTCAAAAGAAGTGACTCAGACAAATTCTGCTGGGATAAAGCAGTAATTATAAGCCTAAATTACTGTTTTACATTGACTAAATTGCATGTTTTCTGTCCTGGAAGCTGACAGGCTAGGCCAGGAAATCCAAGCACAGAAAGGCGTAAGTCCTGATCCCCACGGCCACCCCTCTGGTTCTTCTCCTAAAGGACTGGGGAGAAGAGCCGAGCTCTCCGCCCCTGCCTCTCCCACCCCTCTTTCCTCCCCCCGCCCACCTCCTCTCCTCATTCCATCGTCTCTGTGTAGTCTTGCACCTCCTCCCTCTTCTCAGCACAAAGTCACTTTACACAGGAAATCACTTGATAGATCCATGTGACATTCGCTGAGCTCATCATTCATTATGGAAAGGTGAACATTTCTCTTGGAAAGAAATAATCTGTGGTAATGCCAGCTCTCTAATCTGAAGTAGGATTCTATCACAAATGGAAGGGCATAGGGCATATGGCATGACGCCAACCTTGTTAACCCTGTGTGTAACAGATGGTAAAATAGTTCTGTAGCTAACTTGTTTTAGGTACAATAAAATACCAACAACTGGAAAACGTTGAGTAATGCACTTTCTGTAGAGCTGATTTTTTCTGGGTTCGATAGCTGGGGATTAGCTCTTTCAAGCCTCAAACTCTTGCACTGTCTGCTCCCAGCAGTGGCAGAGAACTTTCCTGAACTCGCCCTCCTAGTAACAATGATAAACTCTAGACAACATAATGAGAACCACTGTTTGCAGAGGAGCCCAACGCAGGCATAACATGGAGGAAACAGTCCTTCAAAACAGAGAAGCAACCTGGGTGAGTTCTACATTAACACACCGCTTTGCAGTTTGTATCAGTGTATGGGAGAGGGGAGTTCAAGGAAAGTCTCAATAAATTCAAAAGCACTAAAATCATAAAGAGCATGTTCTCAAAGAACAAAGGAATTAATTAGAAATCAACTTACAGATATAATAAAAAATAACTAGACATCTCCCAAATATTTGGAAATTAAGCAACACTTCAAATATTCATGGGTCAAGGAAAGAATCACAAGGAAATTACAAAATATTTTGAACTAAATGACAATGAAAACCTCAAATTTAGCTGCAGCTAAATTAGCTGCAGGTAATTTAAAGCTTCAAAGACATGTGCTGAGCCACAAAACCCCACTGTTCTAAAGGCTGAGTTGAGAGGTAGGACTGCAAGTGAAGCCTACTTTTCTTAAGGACATAATGCTCTATTCTTCAAGGTGTTTTCCCCAACACCAGAGGCCTCAATTTAATTTGTGAGTGAAGCCCAGCAATGAAGACAGGTTTTAACGCACTGCACTTGATGGATGACTAGGGAGTCTGTGTATTCATTTAGCGTCTCACGGTCTCTACAGAGCATCACATAATGCGTCACACAAGGGCGGTAACTAAGTAAGTGCCAGATGCGGAGACCCAGCTTACTGGCTTCTCGCCCACAGCACTATTTCTGTCTGCCCCCACTTGGCGCCACCTGCTCTTCCTAAGCACCGATCAAGAATACAAGTTTCACAAAAATTTTACCAGCACACTTTAATGAAAATAAGAATTATTGTGGTAAATGCAGTAGTAACATTTACATCGCATTTTATTTTAAGTATTCTATATTGTGTAATATTTGAGAAAATCAATAAACATTTCTTTGCACACATCAAAAAGCATGTGTTAAAAGGTTTTTAAACAAGCCCTAGCCAGTGTGGCTCAGCTGGTTGGGCACTGTGCCTCAAACCAAAAAGTAGCTGGTTTGATTCCCAGTCAGAACACACACCTGAGCTGCAGGGTTGGTTTGCTGGGGCGCAGAGAGAAGGCCCACCATTGATGTTTCTCTCTCACGGTGATGTTTGTTGGCTCTATCTTTCTCCCTCCCTCCCTTCCTCCCCCTCTATAAAATTAAAAAAATAAAATAAAATAAAGGTTTAAAAACAACTGAGATGCCAACCCAAGAAGTTAGAAAAAAAAGATGATCAAGTTAAATCCCAAAGGTCAAAGGAAGGAAATAATTAAAGAGCAGAAATCAATGAAACAGAAAATAGATGTGCAATAGTGAAAATCAAAGGCAAAAGTTTGTTTTTGGAAAAGTTTAATACACTTGATAAGACCATAGCAACTCTGATTTTTTAAAAAAATGAGAAAACACAAATTATTAATATTAGGAACAAAAAAGAGGAAGCAAACTCAAGTCCTACAGGCACTGAAAAGTAACATGGGATGTTTTGAACAATTTTATGCTAATAAATTTGAAAGCATAAGTAAAAGGACAAATTCCTTTAAAAATATATAATGTGATAAGTAATAAAAAACCTAAATAACTCTGCAATCAAGGAAACGAACATGTAATTTAAAAATCCAAACAAAAATGTCCCAAGTCTAAACAGCTTCACCAAACAGTTAAGTCTTAGATAAATTCTTTTCAAGAATATGAAAAGGAATATTTTCCAACTTGTTTTATGAGTCCTGCATAAATCTGATGCTAAAATCTAAAAAGAAAGAAAGAAAGAAAATTAAAGATGGATATGTCTTATAAACATAAATACAAAAGTCCTTAATATGAGCCAAATGACTACAGGAACACATAAACTATATCATGACCCAGAAATGTAAGATCTGATTAACATTAAGAAGATCAGTTAATAGAATTCACCATATTAACAGAAGAGAGAAAACCTATGTGATCATATTAACAGATGTAAAACAAACAGCATTTGATAAAAATTCAACTGTAAGATGAAATTATCAGTCAAGTATGAATAAAAGCTAATTTACTCAAACTTATAAATGGCATTTATAGTTTTTTAAAAAAAAAATTGTACAGCTAATATACTTAAAAATAAATACTGAAACACCAACCCAAAACCTTAAAACCTTCTATGAACTAACATTCATTTATGAACTGTGATCTAATTAGAAGTTGTGCTTAAACGCTTACTGAAATAATATCCGCTCTTTGCTCCTATGAGAAACAGCTCCAAAATATGTACTGTGTTCTGGTGCTTTGCTTGTTTTCATTCAAGTTAATCTCTTATTTCTCATTGTACCAGTTTCATAGAATTGTGTGTAAAAGAAAGATCAAGGGAAATTTGGGTGAGTATCTGAAGACATTTCTAAAAGTAAAATGGTAAGTTTTAGGGTAGGAACTTTGTGACTTTTTTTTGCTGTTGTAATTAAAGGCCTCTTCCCTCTTCTTCTGCTTATTTCTTGATTCTATGATAAATTACTTAACTGAATTCTGACCATTAAACAAAAATATTGATCTTATTTTTATGTAATTTAAATTTCCTTGTGCAAAGGAATTCACATTGCTGAGATCATAATAAAATTTTCTGGGAAAAGGGTTTTCTATAAGAATGTCATTGCCCTGGTTCGTGTGGCTCAGTGGCTGGAGCATCGTCCAGTACATCGAAAGGTCATGGGTTCAATTCCTGGTCAGGGCATATGCCTAGGTTGTGGGTTTGGTCCCCAGTTGGGGTGTGTACTCGAGGCAACCAATTAATGTTTCCCTCTTACGTCGATGTTTCTCTCTCTTACTCCCTCAACAATGAACATGGGTGAGGATTTAAAATAAAAAAGAATGTCACGTATTACCTTTCGCAGTGGTCCATACTGTTTTCTGTACATCTTGTTCCAAGATATTCCTATCTTTTTCAAAAGTTTCTGGCCAAGCTGATCAACAGGAATTAGATTATCCTCCTCCTTATAAAAGAAACACAAAGTCATTTAGGAAAATCTGATAAGATATAACAGCAATACCAGTAAATTCAAAGGGACCAACAGGATTATGTCTAAGAAAGGTGCCTTTAACAGCAAACATGTAAGTGGATTAACTCTAATTACTTCAGAATAAAAAGTATTTTAAAAGGCAAATTAAGCATCAGTTTAAAGAACTTGAATTTTGCTACTTTCCATGTGCCAAAGTTTAAACATTCAAAGAAGCAGCAAAGAGTATTCTGAGGTACAGTAACTTTCTGGCATTATGTGGGATTTTTAGAAGAAATACCTAAGTGCAAAAAAGGATTATTGTCCTTTCTGAACGTTTCAGTGTATGAACGAGTTCTGACACGGAGTAAGAAGTGACTATGACAGCAGCGGTCCCCAATCCTTCTGGCACCAGGGACTGGTGTTTCACAGAAGATAACTTTCCCAGACAGTCTGGGGGTGGGACAGGAGACAGTCTGAGGGTGAAGCTAGCAAAGCTTCGCCGCTCACCTCCTGCTGTGCAGCCAGGCCCCTAACAGGCCGCAGACCGGTCCTCTGCCTGGGGACTGGGGGTGCCTGCATTACAGGATAAAAAGTGACCCTCCTACCAAAACCGCTATGTTGAATTCCTAGCCCTCAAGACGTCACCTGTGACAGTGTTTGGATAGAGCCTTTAAAGAAGTCATTATGAGGCCATGAAGATGGGCCCTGAGCCAACCTGACGGGTGTCCTAAGAGGCCATCTGGACACAGAGAGACACCGGGGACCAACGTGCACGGAGGGAAGGCCTGGGAGGACAGAGAGCTGGCGGCCCTCTGCCGGCCACGGAGCGAGGCCCCCCCAGGAACCCGCCGGCCAGCACCCTGGTCTCGGACCCCCAGCCTCCAGAGCTGGGAGAAACAGATTTGCTGCTTTACGCCACCCAGTCTGCGGTATGTCGTTATGACAACGCTAGTAGACTGACACAGGGACCACAGACCGATGTTACTGTAGTTAGCGGAGTCAGCCTAGGTCCCCCAGTAAAGAATTATAAAAAAACTATTAACAACGAATGAATAAAGAAAAGACCAATCATCATTACACCAGGGTACTAAGCAAACGTTAAGAGTCATCTAGATGAGGTATTACCAATATTAGGAATAAAAAAGGGGGCATAACTTCAGGTCCTACAAACATTAAAGGACAATATAGGGAACAGTAGATTCTAAAATTGTAAAGTAAATCCCAATTCTACTTAGGATGACAATAACAATATCAAAGGAATCCATAACCCAATCCAAATACATATGCACAAACAGAAAGAAAACAGAAGGCAAATATGTGAAAGTGTTAACAATGACTTGAGCATTTGGTTTATTTACATTTTTTATTTCTTTATATACTTTCTAGTTCTTTTCTCTCCCAAGCTTCTATCATGTATATGTATTTCTTTAGAACCAGCAAGTTTCCAATTTAAAAAAAAAGTTTAAAAATAGACATAATGTCCAAAGGAAAAAGACAGTATCAGATCTACTAAATCAATCTCACTTATATATCTGATATACATACACACAAAAATATAAACACACTCTGTACCTGTGATAAGACTGCTTTTAGAATCATCAGTGGATCATCAATCTCTTCTTCATTCTGAAGATCTTTCAAATTCATACCTGGTTTTTTTTCCTTCTAGGAAAGAAAACAACGAAGTTTCTATCATGGAGGGAACACTTTGTAAAGTATGTGACTGCTAAGCACAATGTTGTACCACTGAAACTAATATTAAATGTAAAAGGCAATTGAAAAAAAAAGTTTAAAAACTTTCTATCACCAATCCCTTAAAAGGTAATTAACAAAATAGAAATGTTTATGCTATGGAGGCTTCAAGATGGAGAAATAACGATAAAAACGACACGATCTGCACGTGGCTTTGAGGGCCGAGTAATGCGGGGCAAGCTGCTGTGATTTCCCCAGCCCTGTCTGTGAGTGAGGGCTGCGAGGAGAGCACAGCTGCCAGCGCAAGACGCGGCGAGCCACAGCATTTGCCCGCTCGGCGCCGCTTCGGCTGCGCTCTACAAAGTCGGGTACGTTGTGCTTTCACTATCATTTAGTTTGAAATATCTTCTGGTCTTCATCCGATTTAACCTCTTGTGGTGGCCTAATAAAAATCCTACCCATCTTTGCAAGATCAGCATAAACACTCCCTTCTATTTCCTGATTGTCCAAGTTTTCACCCCAGTCCATAAAGTTATTTGGGAACATGGCTAAATTCCTAGTATGGTATTTTTACTGATTTATTTTTTCATACATGTCATCTTGTAAAAGTATTTTAAATGGGCTTAAAACTATATATTGAAATAGACCTAAAAAATTAACATGAGACAAAAATAATGGGTGAATAGTTGAAGAATATGGCAGACTAAAACTATCCTGCTGTGAAATCACTAAAAATGCTAAAGTAAAACATAAAAAAAAAAGTAAAAAAAAAAAAAATCTCTTTAAACATATGCTGAGCTGGCAAAAGATCCAGAAAACCCTCGGTGAACACGTAGAACTGGAATGCAGGGAGGAAGTCCAGAGCCGAGGCCTCAGTGGCCCCCCCTGGCCAGCACGGGACATGCCCCCCACCCCCGCCCCCGCTGCCCCCACAGGACAGGGCTGGGGGACGAAGCCTAAGGGCCTACTCAGGGCAAGAGGCTGAAGGGCTGGCTTTCCAAACAGCCAATTCTCCCAATTCTCTGACACCACCTGGGTGTCCTACCGTTCAGTTCAGTTCTGACACAAACTTTGCCAAGTTTCATGAGACCGCACCCACCTATCAGTCATGAGTGGGGTCCCCAGGCTACCTGCACTTCTGCCCCGCTGATTACAAATTCTAGGGTTCCCAGGACCCCAACTGCAGGTTCGGTAATTTCCCGGGGCAGCTCCCAGGACTCAGGGACTTACACTCCGGACTATGCGAGGGAAGTGTTGTGCGTCCGCCACTCACCTGCTGCTGTGCAGCCCCGGCCCTAGCAGGCCATGGACCAGTCTACTGTACAGGGTACGAATAGACACTGAGAGAAATAAGTCCCTGGGGGAGGTGGAGAAGGACCCTGTGTGCAGGAGTCTCTGTCCCCATGGAGTCGGGGTGGCCACCCTCTCTGCACACGTTCACCTACCCAGCAGCTCCCTTATCTCCTTGTCTCAGAGTTTTTATTCAAGTTTCACTACGTAAACGTGACTGACTGCACCACTGGCTCTTGATGATGGACTCTCCAGCCCCCTCCTCTCCCAGGTCAGGGGTGGGACTGAAAGCTCCAACCTGCTCACCCCGTGCTGGACTCCTCTGGTGAGCAGCCCTCACCCTGAAGGTATCTAGGTGCCTACCAAGAGTCACCTCATGAGCACAAACTCAGGTATGGTTGCAAAGGGTTCATGATGAACAGCAAAAAACATGGCTATCACTCAGGAAATTACAAGGCGCTCCATGCCAGACACCTGGGACAGAATCAAAATATCTATTTTTATTATACCGCAGAGAGAGGCTCCAGCAAAAAGCTGAAAACCTGAAAGGGCCACGTTCCCAAAAAAAACCATGATCTGAAAAAAAAAATCCACTCCACAATTAAGGACAACAAGGAACTGGCTTGCTTTGACCATGACACCAGTTAAAGGCAGAAAATCATTTTCTCTAATAATTTACTATCACAAGTAGGTGCCCATGTGGGCTCGGGGCCCAAAGTCACACTAGCTGTAAGGATCTAAAACCACTAAGTCAAGACACTATTTTAAGGTTGTGAAGGTTGGAAGTGGTAGTCATGTAGAAGAGACAAACATGTATCTTTCCTGGAGGAAAACACTCTCAACGAAGGCCTCAAATTACTCCTATAAAGAGTGTTCTTAAAAATATCAAGCAACCAACCAAGCAAGCCTATAGGCTAAAATTACAAAATCACAAAGAAACACAATCAGGAGATATACAAATGAGACACACAGTCTTTAGATGCTGCAGTTATCAGACAAAGAATATAATAAAATAATATTTAATATGTTTAAAGACATTTATGACTAAGGAACAGGAATGTTCCTTAAAAATGGTAGCAAGGGGGAGGAAGGCGGGCGTCGCTCAGTATTTGACACGCTGGTGCAAATGACCCACAGGTTGGGCCCAGTCCTCCTCCAACCTTGGCCTTGTGGTGACAGGCTGGTGCAGCAGTGAAGCCTTCCCCGTCCCACCTCCTCGATGTACAAGATGGTACTAGAAGTGAGGCCAACCATCAGTGAAGGAAGTGGAAGGCACAGGTCAGGCTCTCAGAGAGACCGAAATGCCGACCTCGGCCGGGGGAAATTACGTGAGGCTGGCCATTGGTTATTCCTTGCAGACGGCACCTACTAGAGAACTCCATGAATGCAGGAAACAGCCCCTTGACAGGGAAGAAAGGATCACCAAACTATGACCAGAGAGAACAATACCTGGCTATGACAAGAACATGTGGAATCATTTGTCTCCGGGCACAGAGATCTCTCAGGATTCTGGCAGTAAAGGGACAAGCAGTGTCTAGCCGCACTAATCACTGTTTGAACACCACGAAGCTCTGGGTGAAAAGCTACTGATTCTTAATGAACAGAATAAGGAAAAAGTTAACAAATGGGATGTCTGCTCAGAAGGCCTAAATAAGGAAATACACTAAACACAAAGGGAAAGCAATCTTCTGTTCTTTGAGGCTTGAGGAAGGAATGAAGCTTCAAGAACAGAAAAGCAGCGCCGAGAGCAGAACCCAGCACAGGCACACCCGCGTGCCCTCCGAGTGCCGTAACAGAGCCAGGAGGAGAGCCGGGCCCAGCTGGAGAAGAGCTCCTCGAGTCTGAAGGTGGCAACACCGAATCGCAGAGGTGTCCAAGCCGGCAGCCCAGGGGAAGACATGACTCTTGAGACACGCTGCCTCATCACAGTATGAAGATACCTCTTTGCCTGACCTCAACGGAAAGCTTGAAAATGAAACTGCAAATACATATTTTATGCATCAAAAGACTGAGGATCAATCCCACTGCCTAGAAAAGCGCCCGAGTGTGACCCTGGCCGAAGACAGGCTGCAGCGGGCGCAGAGGGAAGCAGGCACATGCCCCGGGGGGGAGGCTGCACTGGCAGAGCGGGGGACACTCTCTAAGACTGGGGACATGGCACCACTGGAAAAATGGCGAGAGCAGGTGGAGACATAAACACGGTGGGCACGACAGAGAGAATGACAAACATCGGACCTGTTCACCAGCTGCTTCAACTTCATCTTTTAGACAGAACGAAGCAAAGCTCACAGAATTGAAAGGGTGGGAGAGCATGCCATGCAGAGGAAGAGCACTCTGCTATGGGACCCTGGAAATGTAAGAAAGCAGAGGGGAAAAGATGCAAGATCAGATCAGCTCAGCTAAGCGTGCGGACACTGAGGGCCACGTTAGGCCAGAGCGGGGTGAGTGCTGCCCTCCACCTGATGGGGAATGTGCTCGACATGCCGGCGTCTCGGCAGATGCCATACACACCTTTGAGAGTGATGCTTGCATGGCTTCCTTAACCCAGAACTGGAGTTCCGGCAATAAAAGAGATGGAGGGTAAAGGACCAAAAGAGGTGAAACAATACTGTCTTTTTCCAAAGATCTCTGCAACATAAGAGGGTTTAGCAAGCTGCCTGGTGATCAAATCAGTATGCTACAGATAACTGCATTTCAATACACAAACAGATCCAGTCTGTGTCTGAAAAACACAAAGTACAGACCCAGTCATAGAGAACATCGCCCTGGTAAACATTTTCCTGGTAGAACAGTTTAGCTTTTTAAATATCCAAAAAATATAAAATTTATACATCTCTCAATACATTCCAAGAACTGACAGAGCATCAGAAATACACAGACGTTCTGAAAAGCAAACTGAATATCAACAAAAGGAACGTGCATCTTGAAGATGGTTGGTACCAAGAGAAGTCAAATTACTACATGTGCAGCAACTATGCATCAACAACACTATTAACTGTTTGATAATCAGGAAGATATGTTTTAATTATTCTGCATCCTAACATAATGGTTCGTATCTTACATTTTGACATTTTACTATGTTTTAGTTACATTTAAAAAACTGATTGAGAGTTTAAGGTTGGTGGGTAATACATTACAATTTTTCTCATTGCAAATAACTGGATCTAGATTCTCAGTTCAGGCTTTTCCTCAGAACATCTGCAAGATCTTGACAATATTATAAGACTTTCTTATAAACCGTTTCAAAAAGCTTTAAAAAAATAAAGATGTATTTTTTCATGTGTAGATTAAAAACCACACCAAGCATGCATGAAAGTGAGAACACTGACAAGCTGATTCTAGAAAGGCTCCCCGAAGCCTGCAAGGGCAGAAGGACCACACACAGGGAGGCCCTGACCTGCCGGCCTCCGTGGCTCACAGCTACAGAGGCTCGGTAACACTGCCGCGCCTGCCTGGGGAGAGAGAAAAAGAACGACGCAGCTGAACGGGGAGCCCCGAAACAGGTGCCCACACAAATAAACAACTGCCGTGACAGGACTGGCATGGCAGGCTGGGGGTAATAAGTGGATTATTCAATAAACGGTGATGGGCAGTCGGGTGCTCAAATAGGGAAAAAAACATTTCACACCATCCACAGGAAACCACTCTAGGAAGAGTGAAGTTTTAAGTGAAAAAGAAACTTTTAACATGGGGTGGTAACACACGACACAATATACAGATAATGTATTATAGAATTGTACACCTGAGACCTAGATAATTTTATTAACCAGTATTACCCTAATAGATTAAAAAAATAAAAATTAAAACAAAACAAAACAAAACACCCCATCCCCCCTTCATCACCACCATCACCAAACTTTTAGAGGTAACGCAGGAAGAAAATCTTCATTGTTTTTGGTTGGTGCCATGGAAGACAACAGAAAAATTAAGGAAAGATTATTTATTAAAGGAGGCTTAAGTGATAAGCTAACTAAATGTAATGCAGATCCATACTAGAGTGAGGAAGAAGATGCTATAAAGGATTTGGACCAGACAACTGGTGAAATAGATACAAATATTACATCAATGTTGAAGTTCCTGATTTTGAGCTCCACTGATACAAGATTTTGAGCTCCACTGATACAAGATTTTGAGCTCCACTGATATAAGGGAATGTCCCTGTTTTCATGAGATAAGCACTGAAGTATTTAGGGATAAACTTAATTTCAAGTGGTTCAGCACTAATAATGATAAAGTTAACTCTGTGTGTGTGTGCGTGTGTGTGTGTGTGTGTGTGTGTGTTTACAAAAAGTGTGTACTTGCCCAAATGTGGCAAAATGTTAACAACTGGAGAATCTAGGGGGAGAATATACAGGAGGTGTCTGTACTATGTTGGTCATGTTTCTCTAAGTGTGAAAATATTTAGAAATAAAAATTTTAAACTTTTATCTATACTAACTTTCAGTGCCTATAAAAATATTCTACAGAGTGAACATATAATAAATGGTGAAAGATTATCCTCACCAAATAATAGGAGGAGAAAAGGAAAAAAAATTCAAAGATACTTCTAATGTCTATGCTTACTTGAAATTGCCAATTTCCCAAATGATCGACATCTTTAATATACACATGGTAATGTCCTCCATAGCAACCACCTTTGTGTATAATGACTGAGAAGAGGTCATACATATATTCCAAGTCATCCAGTTTACTCTACAAGAGAAAAGAACACAAACATTGATATAGTTTACACATACTGGGAAGTTTACACCTAACCAAATGGTTAAAAATAATTTTAACTACTGAAATAAATAAAAATCTCAGTTTATTATTATTTAAGGGTAAATTAAGATAAATTTGAATTGACTTCACATTTTAAAGTTCTTAATTCTTAGGTAGAAAATTATCTATCATTGGTCCAGTACCAAGCACACTATACCAACCAAATGCTGCGTCATGGTTAAACATGAAAACATACACCCAAACAAGATGTTATTTGTATGTACTTTGGCGAGATCATGTAAGCCAATGTGATAACAAAACACACTACCCTATCAGTGAGTCTGTAAGTTTTAACGTACCTCTCTTTGTGTGATACTTGTTTTGCTGCTTTATAAATGTCCTCTTTAGCTGTTGAATTTTTCCTGTATTTCAACTAGATTTGTCATATGCCTCAAAGGCTAAGCCACACCTACTATCTGTCACAGTTCCCGATACGTTAGTCCTCTATATATTAGAGGAATTTAGCATTCATGAATACTAGCTGGTTTTGTTTAGAAGCAGTTTGGTGAAGTGAAAGATTTTTTTCTTGATTTCTTAATTCTATGATCAAACTTTTTTTATAATTAGTGTGCTCTATAATTATGACTGACCCAACAGATGAACACCTATACTGGCATTTTAAATCTACTTTAGGTTAAGATGCTACTTGAAGGGGTGCCAATTAATTAAAGAATTTATTTGCTTAAAAAATTATATTTTTAAAGTAAGCAGCATTTTTTAAAATGTCTGGTTCAAGTGAAAGACAAGAGAGAGATAAACAAAGATGTGAAATGATAAATTTTTCCATTAATAGAGATATCAAAAAAAAATACTGTGATTTCTTAGATAAGTGCTCAATGTTTCACTTATTTCGGTTTCGTTATTTCACAGTTTGTTAAAGCCATTTGACTAACTACTTTTTATAAAAGAACAAAAATCTTCTGCGTGAGACGATGGACGTTAATGGAACCTACTGTGGCAATCACTTCACAATACATGGGAAGCGAGCCACTGTGCTGGTCACCTTACACTGACGCAGTGATGTGTGTCAATTATTTCTCTGGAAAAAAATTTTTCAGGCAGGGAGGACTGACTGACTCTGGAAAAACTGTTTATTCCATTTGTGCCAATAACAAGCTCAGGGCCCACACAAAAATACAACCTTTGAATAGTAATCAATATAATAAAACAAAATACAAAATCCTCAGTAATTAGGTTTGAAGTAGAGGAAGGCCCATGAAAATTTAAGGTTATCTTTAAAAAGAGTACTTTTACACATAGATATTCAATAGCTAGCTGATAAATGTCCTGATCTTAATAAAAACAGAATGAATGATTTATAGTAAGAAAAACATCAGTCTCATCATTGTCATCCTGGCATGTGTGGCAATTATATAGAAAATATTTTTAAATGGCTTGTAAAGTAGGTTGAATATGTAATTAATTTGTTTTCAAGCTTGTTCTTGCCCGTGTCTGAAGTATTACAAATTCCAGAGTAGTGAAGCACCAATAATCTGTTCATTTTCTAGATGTGTAATTCATTATTGTATCTCAAGTAAACCTAATCCAAATAACAAAGTATCAATTAATGGTAATTTTTCCTAATGCACGGTCATTTCTAATTTTGCTCTTAAATTTTCATTACAAAGATTTTTTCAAGGAGAACATTTAATAAAAAGAACCAAAGACAAATCCATACTTTGGAAACTCAAGACGACTGTAAAAAAACCAGTGGTTCTCAATTAGGAGTGACTTTACCCACTCCCCTTCCGCCAGGAGACATGGACATTTGCCCAGGTCTGAGAACATTTTTGTCACCACTGGGGAGGAGGGGGAGGATGCTACTGTCATCCAGCAGGCAGAAGCCAGGAGAGCTGCTTCGCATCCTCCAATGCACAAGACAGCATAGTGCCAAGGCCAAGATTCTGCAATAAGCCAACTGAAAACCAGGTCAATTAAGGATTCAATCTTGAGAGTGGAAAAACAAAGAATTTCAAGATGAAAAGAGTTCAAACCTGTTCACAAAAAGGCTTGAGATTGATCCGGAGAGGGAATGTATAACGGCTAATTTCCTTGTATCGTTCACACTTCACAAAATCAAAATTAAATCTTAGTAATGAGACAGTAAGAAAGGGAGGCAGCTTATGCAATTTGGCCGACTGTTAAAAGAAAAATTTTAGAAGTGTTTAAAAAGCAATTATATAAAAGAATACATAATGTTTCTTAACATGTTAAAAAGCAAATTATGACAACTTTAGGAGCCACAAACTCATCACGGTGGATGCACACAGCCCTTGATATAAACTCATCTCTCATACAGGACGGAAGGGGACACTACCCAGTCCTACGCTGTCAGTGTTCACACCCTAAAATCAAAGCTGTCTGACGAGCACGTTGTAACCGCGTGCCCCTCTCTCTAATGATGTTTCTTTCTGGCCTGAGAACGGACCCATCACCTTTTTCCTTTTACTCACTGAAGAACTGGGACCTCTGGACCTGTTTCAATGGATCTGGACCCTTGAAATTCTACGAAAACATGTGTATGTATTTTTCTGAGAAGATCCACGGCTTTCAAAGACTTCAGATCCACTGATTGGGGTTTTACAGTTAAAGCAGGCAAGAAGATGTGTTTCGTTTTAATTCCTTACTTTAAAACAAAACACAAAATTAAGCTGCTTTTTATTTAAGTCATTATCTTTTCCCAACCCCCCACCCGCACTAATGGCATGTCAAGGGGGACAAAAAAAATCCTTCCCATATATAAAATTTTCCAAAACCATGAATACCTAACTGTCCTAAAAATATACTTAAAACAATAATCCTACAAATCGAGTGGATAATAAAAAGAAGTTAAATGATAAAACAGCAATTTAACTACACAGCAAATTTTCAAACAAGCTAAAAAAATACATCGAAAAACCTGAGTAACTCAACTACAATGTAGCTGAGAAAAAGACTGCTTAGGACAAGATAATTTGCATTAATTTAGGTAGTACAACTAAACCTAAATTTAGAATGCAATAAATCGAATGCAACTAGAATATAGTGTAATTTTTTTTTTTAATCCTCACCTGAGGATGTGTTCATTGAATTTAGAAGGGAAGGGGAGAGGGAGGGAGAAGGGGGAGAAGAAACATGGATGTGAGAGAGAAATATATTGATTGGTTGGCTCCTGTACATGCCTCAATCAGGGATCTATCCCACAACCTAGGTATGTGCCCTGACCTGGGATCGAACCCACAACCTTTCAGTGTACAGGAAGATGCTCCAACCAACTGAACCACCCAGCCAGGGCTGGAATGTAATTTTAAAAGTATCAAGATCAAACATTTCCACTGGGGAAAAAAATTGAACCAATGATATAAAAGGCTCATAAAAGAACTGCTTTTGTTTTGCAAAAGATTGTTTTACTGATGTGCAAACTTGGTTTAACTAAGAATGTATTTAAGTATTTTCTAAGAGTTTTTAATCCTCTGAATTTTATACATTGTAGTTGTTAACACCAAAAGTGAGCCATAAACTAAATAAGCAAAAAACGAACCCCTTTATCTGGGTTTCATAAAGGGGCAAAGGCTGGATGGAACTATGGACTAAACAATGTAACATTTACCCTGGTTTCTAATCCTGCCGTGGAAGTTACAGGCATGGGGTTCACTGTTTTCATTAAGTTTCCCCTACAATCTCCCAGGTCCAAATCGGTATCACATGCCGTCTAGACCATCCCTTACTTCCTCTGTTAGAAACTCAGGAAGTGCCAGCTATAGGAATAGTGTTGTTTCTCTGTCACAGCAGAGGGACTGCAGAGATATGACTTCTACGGTAGTTCAAGTGCTCAGTAACCACCAACTGAATTGAGCTCGGGTCTGTCAAGCTAGGAGGAGCCGAGGGTGCCGCCCGCCAGCAGCGGGACAGCGGCCCCTGCAGACGAGAGTGACGGCGGCAGGGCTGAGGCCGTACTGCAGAAAAAACTGGCTTCCATCATGCCCTCCTTTCATCCTGAATTTTGCTCTCCTGTACAAAGGAAACCCAGAAGCGCTCTGTCAAGCCCTTTGATCAGCAAGTTAAGTATCGCTGGCCCCAGCTGCGGGGAGAAGAAAGGGCACACGGCCTCTGTGAGAATCCGGGAGGGGACACACGCACCGCTCCAGACTGTGAAACAGCTGCATGTGCAGAAAACGAGGGAAGCCATTATCTTCAGAGCAGTGGGCAAGGAAAGGAAAGCTCAGCAAACTTCTTGGTTGGTGGAAGTAAAAACATACTGCCTCCGTAGTGGTAATTTGCAAAAAGCAGGGATGGTGGGGAGTTTGTCAACAAAAGGTATATTTAAGAAACATTAAGGTACAAATAAATTTTTCCAGGGAAAGAAGGAAGTTGACAGAACTATTGGGTTAAAAGCTTAAAAAAATTCTTCACTATAAAAAATTAAAATACAGGTACATAGAATGTAAATTTGTTTTTGATCCTTAGTATTAACGAAGGGCTCCATGTGCGAGGGGCATCCCCTCGCAGTGCAGGCTTCCCCCACGAGGTGAGTGTTCCGGGAACCCACGGCACCGTGGGCCGACAGGCGTCGCTGGGAGGGGCTGCGTTCAGCTTCAGTGTGTTGTTCTGAAGACTCTTTCAACACGGTTGCCCATTTCCTGATGGATGATTTAGGAGCGCACCCGCCCACACCGCGCTGAGTGTTCAGCAGTTTTGGACCAAAAATGTCATGGACCTCCATGCCCCACCCTCCCTATTCACCCAATCTCTTCCCAAGTGACTTTTTGTTTTTGTTTGTTTTCCTGGATGAAAAAGTCATCAAAGGGAAACGTTTTGCTGATGTGGAAGAGGTAAAACAAAAAATGGCAGAAGCACTAAAAGGCATCAAAATCTATGAGTTCAAAAACCGTTTTGGGCAGCGAAAAAAAGTCTCGATAAGTGTACTGCATCAAATGGAGAGCATTTTGAAGGTGACTGAAGTTTACATGCAAGAATAAATACACAATTTTTTATACATAAATGCTGAGATTTTGGTCGTCCCCTGCCCTCCCCTCCCCCCGTACACCTTGTGTCAGGCTCTTTCAAACAAGCTGACTGCACTAGCAGACCTTGCCGCGCCCCTAGGACCAAGCAGGCTCCGCAAGGGAAGGCAGAGGGCCCGTCTTTACCTTTGCTGCCTTCACCGGCCTGTCACAAGTGCCGCAGCGGTACAAGTTGTCGGAGTCAAAAACCTCCTCTTCTACATACATGTTCCAGAGTGCCTCTTCCAAACCTGACATGTTTTTGACCGCTACTGTTAGATCTAAGAAGTCTTCCTGAAATGCACATGAATATAATTCTAAAAAACAATTTCAGAGGTTCACATGACATCACCAACTCATCTAGTATTGGGAATAAGCAGATACACTTTTCCTGAAACGCTGTACCTACAAAAGTATAGATCTGATCAGATACTGCAACATTCATAACACCAAACGACCTTTTCCAAAACAAGGTGTAACTGAGCTTGAACTATGTCAGGAGCTAGTTCATGAGTCCCCTGTTGATACACTAAACCCTGGACACACACGTGAACTCAGAGGCATGTCGGGCAGGGCTCCTCCCTGCAGTCGGGTCTCTGGGCCAGGCCCGCAGGGCAGGGCTCTAATGGACACTCTCCTTCCTCTTCTGCTGCTGCCAGGACTGGTTTAAAACATGCCGAGCAAGTTGTAAGGAAAAAACCATTCTGAGCCAGGATAAGAAGGTATTCTTATGAAAATTAAGGAAGGGTATTTTGCAAAATGGGAATCTATAAATTCTACTATAACTACATTTGAATTACAACATGTTTTTAGTAATAAATACTTAAAATCGAAAAAATTTAAAGAATATTTAATTTTAATATCATTAAAGGGATTATGGGACTGTAAAATGACAGTACTAATCAGTTTATGGTGGAAATCTAAAGTAATAAAAGTAACATTTATATATAGTTTTATAATATATGTAGGTGAAAGTTCATGTCTGTAACTTATCACATGCCTTAATATACAATATTGTTTGAAATTATCTTGTGAATTATTATTATAGTTAAATCAATCATACAGTAATTCAAAGATACAAATCATCTTAATATTTCCACATTAGGCTAGCCAAACCTATTAGTACAGGTAATAAAGTACAAAAAGTATCCTTTATCCCCAATGCTCATGAAAAATAGAGATAAAAATATATATTCCAAAAAAGCAGTTAATGCGACATTTAGAAAATCACATTTAATTTTTTACTCATACGGTACAGACGCTTTCTGTAACTCTTACCATAACAGGGAGATTTTTATTAAAGGACAACTGTTCTAAGGAAATCATCTGCTATCTAAGACTGGGAGAGAAGGTGAAGATTGTTATAGCAAATTTCCAAGTTCTAATTTCCAATTAGAGTAAATGGGCAATCTGTGTCATGACAAAGAACTCCACTATAATGGCTTTATATATATATATATGTATTTTTTATATATAATAAACATTTATATATGTATAATATTTAGACATAAGCACACAGATACAAATGAACTTTCTCAAAGTTATTAATAAACTAAATCCAGTATTTAATTACAGACGTTTGTCAGTTCTCTACATTTTTATGAGTTCCCTAATTAACTTTACAATATTCCAACCACCAACCGGATAAAGTCGTTTTTCTGGGAAGGCCACAGACCTCTACTTGTAACATCCCCCAACTTATTTTTTAAATATTAGAGTGCTGAATAAAACATCAAAGCTATGTTTTAAGATATTTGCTTCTTTCAATTTATGTGGAGAAATCTGGATTATAAACTTATGATTTAAGTACAGCTAGAGTTTTAAAAAACCAATAAAGTGATTTCTAATAATAAACACTTTACTCATGTGGTACTCTAGGTCATAGGTTTAATGACATGAATTTTACTTAACACTATAACTTATTACTAGGATACTCTTACATATTCACCTGCTTTTCACTGACATTCTTACATTCTTTACAAACAATCTGGTTAACAATGGTTCCATGATAGAGGCGATTGATGAGGTCATGGCCGGAGGTCCCGACTAAAGAAGTTTCCAAAGCACTAAAGAGAATTCGATTCAGTTCCTGCACATCATGTTGCCTCATTTCCTATAAAACAGATAACTTTTAAAATGTGATTTTGTGCTTCAGCTGTTTTAAAACAGATTTTTAAAGTGCTATTAGTCAAATAAACACGAGATTTCTCAAGAAAGCCAAAGGTAAGCCTCGATCAAATACAAGAATGACTAAATGAGCTGAGAACAGGTTAACAGATCACCACCTATTTTTATTTTTATTACAAAATGAAAATAGAGCAGGCGGTGTTCAGTATGTGCACGGAACTCAACTTGAAAACAGGACAGCGCGTCTATTCTTGTGGGAAACTGTGTGCGTGGCCCCAGCCGGGAGGAGGAAGGGAGGGGACGTGCGCAGAGAGCTCTCCTCGGAACCTCGCTCAGGTCACAGGGACTGGGGAATGCACCCAGTATCAGCATTTGGGAAGAACTGGAATTTACTGCTTTGACATGCAGACCAACTAGAACAACACTAACACAGGGTTACTGAGAAAATTCCTCTGGAACTTGCTTTACTCTGCTGGAAGTCACATCACTGTGTAGGAACAGACTGCACTGCTCCCTCAGGACAATTTATGAACCAAAGCCAACACTTAAAGTGGAGGAGAGGAAGAACAGCGGCAGGAGGGAGCACCCAAGAACCGAGAACCGGACCGCAGCAGCCGTGCTGTGCGGGGAGCGGGGAGGGCTACCGCGGGCCCACTGGGAGCAGCCGAGTGTCTCCTGGGCCTGGCATGTGCATGTCATGAGAGACTCTGACAAGGAAGGTAGAAAGGAGGCGGAGGGACAAGGGGAAGGTGCAGCAGTAGAGGTAGTGAAGGAAGACAACTTTAAAGGTTAGGTTCGTGTGAAGAGAAGCTGACCGAGTGGCTGAAGGCTGGAGCGAGGTGTGGGCCTCGGGATCCCTCTTTCCCTCCCTCCCTTCTTTCCTTCACACACAAGACACTAGAGGTCATAGTTCTTCAGTATCACTGGCTCTGATGGGAAGGGAGCGTGTGACGTTTTCAAGCTTTGTTTCTGAACAATCCTCAGTTTGCCAAAATCGTCTGAGACCCTGTCTGACATTGCAGGTCCAGTCCTAAAGAGTTCCCTGCAAGATTTTATTCAGAAAATAATGAAGGTTTTCACAGCTTTAAGAAGTATGAAACCAGGAAATCAGTGGAAGTTCAATATCCAAAACAAAGGGAAATCCATCAACTGATGACTAGGTTAAAAAAAAAAAACACACAACAAAACCCATGTGGCATATCCATCCAATAGGCTATATTACTTGGCCATAAAAAGGAATGAAGTGCTACTCCGTACCATATGATTGCATTTCTGTGAAATGAGCAGAACAGGCAAATCCAGAGACAGAAAGCAGACTAGTGGTTGCCAGGGGCTTGGGGAAAAGGGGTTGGAGGAGGGAGACTAATGGGTATGGAGTGGGAAAAGGCTCTGAAATTGATTGTGGTGTTTGTTACACAACTCTGTAAATATAGGAAAAAACCACTGAATTGTATCCTCTAAAAGAGGAAATCTTAGGACATGTGAGTTTTAGCTCAATAAAGTGGTTATTTTTAAAAGAAGGAAAGAAAAAGGAATAAACCCCAAGCACCTGCCCTACACCAGACCTTTAAGATACTGTTCAGGGAATGTATTATTAACCCAGTTACAGCAAAGCCCCAGCCCTACCTCTTTAATCACACGGCATCACCTGCTCCTGTTAGAAGACCACAGCTCAGAGTTTATTGTTGAAGGCAACAGGACATGATTTTGATCATTGCCTCTTTAAATTCTGTGACAGTCTCCCATACCTGTGTCTTTACCAGAACACATCTATTCCATAAAAAAATCACAGACTTGGTTTTGTTCGATTTTATACAGCTAACAGCTTACTGGCAACAAACACCTTTACTTGTTGCTGACAAACATTTAGTGTTTGTATACAGTGAAACACCCTGTAGGGACGCAAACAGAAAAATGAGACCAAGTCTTACAAGAGGACACTGGCCGACAGTGAAGAGAGTCAGGAGAAAGGAGGGCGGGGAGCAAGCGAAGGCCTGCCTGGCCTGAGGCCCGTGTCCGAATCAGAAGCCCCAGAGTCAAACATAAAAAGCATGTCACAAAGGCAGACGGAATTGTTGCTCGGGAACTTTCGAGGCGTTTTGAGCAGTTTGCTCTAGAAATGGTAATTTCCATGAAATAGGTGTTAGACCTCACCCAGACCACAGGAAGGTTCTCAGGGTATACGCTGCACAGAACGGCTCTCACACTTCTCCCTGCACCCACCACCTCTCCCCGCCCGCAAACGGCAACCATTCACAAATCCTGCCAACAGAAAGTGTTCGAAAAAATATTTCTGGCTTGCAGTTATTTAAAATGAGAGAAGTAAATACTTAAAAAATATCTTGAGACCCTAAAACAAAATTGAAAAAAAGGCAGGTCACACATTACACCCATGTGTGCTGTTTGCTGCCGGCAGCGTTTCCCAGAGAGGCCGACCTCCACACCTCGTTGCGGGTCCACCCGAAGCTGTCCGTGAGGTCTGCCGTGGAGGCAGCGTCCTGGTCCAGGAGCAGGAGCTGAGCAAACAGCCGCTGCAGCTGTAGCGGTATGATCCGAACCTGCAGGAGAACAGACACGTTTCTAAACGAGTCTTTTCAGTGTCGGCTGGGGCTTTTTAAAAGAACTGCACACTAGGTTTCTTATACCTCCTAGTTCCTTTAGTTCTCCCAGAAGAAAGTTTACAAATATCTTATCACAAAGAGTGGACTAGCTATAGCTAAGATTCATTTTTCTTTGAAAATTCAATCCGAAATGTTTTAGATATCTGGAGTTCTCTACTTTGACATAGTTCAGATTGATATTAAAACCCAAAGAGGCCTTAATAAACTGCCCAACTGATTCCAGACTGATAGTAATTGTAGCCTCTAGCAGTTGCTTCTCTAAAACACCTCTGGAACAGACAGAGTTCCCTGAGGAGTTTCCGCCTGCCAAGCTTTTCCAGTGGGCGCCCAGCCTGGTCCTGCCTTATTTGGGGTGGTGAGGCAGGGCTGACGGGGAACGCTGCTCAGAGCCTGCTCTGCACCGAGTTTAAGCATCTGAAGTGACAGCGTTTAGAAAGTTTTATGGCAATCGATGTTGCCACAACATCTTTATTATATCTTACAGAAGTATGATCTGCAATACATTGGGAATTAAACTAACTCACTCTCCCCCACCCCCGCCCCCACCTTTGCGGCACAGGTGGTCTGAGACCCACCAGGCTGGATCACAAAAGGCTGACTCTTCCTAAGAAGTAGCGTTTAGCCTGAAAGCCACAAACTTCGGAACGGTGTTTAAGCAGGGGAGGAACGTGATTAGATCTGCATGTGGGATAAAGCAATTCCTCACTCAGTTTATTTCCAGAATATCAAACTGAAAGAATAATGGTCTCTATTGTTGTTACAAAGAAGTGCATGAGGCAGAGTTTTCAGTAGGCTACTGTGGACGGTTTGCAAATATTTCCTTCAGGAGAAGAAAGAATAAGCACAGTAGAGTGAGGTATGTCTATCAAGCAGCAATGATGTTACATTTGGGAAAGTAATGGTTTTTTTGAAGGAAAATCCCATTACCAGTAGGGTATAAGCCAAGTCACTTTCTGAAAATAAGAATCGTATTTGGTAATTAATAAAATTACTGATTTCTATAAGAATCTTAATTCCTTCTTAAAAAACATTCCCTCAATACTCAAAAAAACCCTCATAAATCATAAATTTAATACCTTTGCATCAGGATTATCCTTTTCCTCTAGAGAACCAAGCTCCTCTGGGCCAAGAGAAAATAAAGCTTCTAAAGAAAAGTAGAATCAGAGATGTAAAGGACATTATGTCATCTTAGAAAAACAAGACTGCCAGTAAGTGACATCAGTTACCAATTCAGAAATGCAATTGTGCCAATATCTATACCCTTACTCTACACATTTTACTTTCTGGTAACATTATTTTTAGCCACTGACTATAAAGGGCATGCTAAGGCTTCAGTATGGAAGATCTATAAAAGGAAAATTATGCCTATAAAACTAGAAACACTAGCATCAGGAATCTGTGATGGCTTCCTACTGCCTATTACGTATGAAACCACATAAAGAATATTAGGAAACGTATATAATACTGTCCCATGTTATTAATAACAAGCCACATGCGAAGCTTCCAACCATCCCTTCCTGAGAAGGACCCCTTTACCCCTGAGACCACGCCCCTCCCCTTTTGGGTATGTGAATGTCTGTCCCGGCTTGAGGGTGGTAACAGATGGTAGTGACCTCAGCTGGAAAAACACATTAGGGGCCCAGTGCCAGTCTCCAGAATTTTAACATCGAGCTGCACCACCCAATGGAGAGACGCCTGAATCTTCTGGGAAGTCTATATTCAAGCCTGGACAGGCACTCCCGCTGGGGAACTCTGATATACTCCAGGGAGAGAAGGCAGGGCGGCTGTTGCCCGGTGACTACTGTCACGAACGCTCCACCCCTCCCGCATCCCTGGGAGGAACTGGGAACCACACGCGTCACGGTGGAAGCAAAAACACCACGAGGACGTTCCCGGTCATTTCCCACCACTCTCAGCCACGCCGACCTGCGAGGACCGCGGAACCCGACCCGCCCTCCTCCGTAATGTGACTGCAGAAGAGCGCCATCACTTTCCTCCCCCAGGTCTTACTCTTTCCAAATTACAAGCATCAGGGCTCACGCTAAGCCTCACCAGTGGATAATCCACACTTAGACGTTGACCCACGGCTGGCCTGTCATCCCCTTTGCTGGGGAAGGCGTCCTGGGACTCTCAGCCCTATTCTTGCTTAGTGGTATTCTCCATGACCGGCCCCAACCCAAACACCTGCCGCAGTCTCTTTTTAAGGCAGCTTTTCTACTTCAAGTTGCCCTTAAACTTCAATTGCATTAAAACTTGTTAAAGTACTAACCACACACCTCGTCAGGAATCCTCTATTCATGCAAAAAAATTCTAATGGTGGAATTACCGAATGCTGTCAGGGAGATACTTCTCTAGAGGGGATGGAGTCGAGGACAAAAGGCCCCACTCTCAAGCCCCACCTGCAGCCCAAGGCATTAGAATGGCCCTGGGAAGGGGAGAATGGTAAATATTTACTAAATCTCTGGAGGCGGGAAGTCTTTCTAAGCTTAAAAACAACAGCAAACGTCACAAGTCACAAAGACGAGGTAAGTGTGCGGTGGCGGGAAGGGGGACACGGCAAAGCCCACACAGGACGAACCAGGCTGTCCGTGCGGAAGGGAGGCACTGTGGAGAGCCAAGCTGCAGAGCCCGGCAGAGCGGGGGCCCAGCAGGGCCACGCGAGGCCCAGCAACGTTCACAACGAAACGCAGGCAACACGGAGGGTAAGACAGAGATGGGAGTGGGACAAACGTAGAGAACTGGGCAAGAAATTGAGGGTCCAGTAAGGCCATCTCTGGGAGTCCCCTATATGTTGACAATACATCCCTGTTTAAGTTGAGCAAATTTGAGCAGGCTTCTGCTCCTTGTACACAATCGCTTTGTCTAACTTCTTGGGTCTTTGGAATTCACTATTTCCAAATTTTAGAAAGGTACTGTGAGGAGAGGGATTAACATTACCACCCCCCCCCCCCAGGGTCTGGGACAAAGAGCTTTGGCTAATAAAGGAGACTGTAACCTTACTGGGGCAAACGAAAGAATATTCACCCAAATGAGATAACCAGGCTATAAAAGGCCTCACCTCACAGCAGGTTCCGACTCCAAACAAGTTCAGGTCAGAGGGGATTGTCCGAGTTTTCTGAGCCTCAGAGTTGCCGATAAACGGCAGGGACCGTGGAAACATGGTGACACCCCTCCCCATTCCAACAGGCAGGGTGGAACCGCTCAGCCCAACTCTGCCCTAGGTGCTAATTACTCTAGAGAAATTTTAAAGCTTGAAAATGCAAAGAGTGCAACAATAACGAGGGCCGGCACTTACAACATTGCCTCTATGCTGCCCTTTCAATTAGAACTAGAAAAGACAAGCTGACTTCCTTTCTTACTTTGTTCCTAAACGTTACTGCGATTACACACAGAATATGCTTAAGATCATTTAAGTTTCACATTATCCACTTCGTGTGTTATAGTAACAATAAACGCAGGCTACAGAATACGCCCTTAAGACATTCTGTCCTGCTTTTGTCTTCCTGCTCTTGCACAATTAATTACGTGTACAGAGGAGGGTACACATTCCTGGCCGAACGCACGTGACGTCGCATACCTCGGAACTCAGGCGTGAAATGGAGAGTCTGAAGGAGAGAATTGAGGTAACAGGTTCCGCCCTGATTCCTGATTCCGCTTAAATTGGTGAACGCCCGAGGAGCAGGCGGCTCCCCAGCTTCGGCCTTTAATTTCTTCCCTTTTCCATACCGATTATTTGATACACTGGAATGATCCTCTTCAAATAGGTTCCCAAACATTGCGAAACTAAATGCGACCCGTGAAAAAATAGGACATGTTATAAAACGCGTTTATTTTTAGAGCACACTTTTCCCGTGGCTCCCTATTGTCTACCGGGGAGTTGGCTTTTGAGCCACTCCTTGGAAAGTGCGTAGGTCTTTTGGGCTTTGGATTTTTTCATCGGGACCTGGGTTTTTTCACCCCCGCTGCACGCGACCTCCCAGGCAGTGGGCTGGCCACCACACCCAGGGGCCTTGTCCGAGAAACGGCCCCTTAAACACTCAAAGGCCAAAAGAAAGGCACTTAGCGCCGTGGGTCTTGCCCGCAGTAAAGGCCGCTCTTCTTCAAAAGGCTCAATGTCGGCGCCAGTAAGGAAAAAAGAGACAACCCATCGCCACACCTAGGCTGCAGGGGTAGCAAAGGCGATCCTAGATCCTGGGCGCTGACGAGGGCGCGGGGACCACCCATCGCCTCCTACAGTCTCTGCTTCTCACTCCTCGTACCAGATCACGGCACTGAGACGAATTACACGGAAGAAATGGATCTTTACAGCAGCTCGGTGCCGGGCCCCGAGGCTGGTGGGCCGCGAGGAGGTTTGCAGGCGTGGGGGGGGGGGGGCGGGGAAGGCTGCCGTTAAAATTGCGGAGCAAAACGCCCTCTCGCCATCTCTCCGCAGCGACGCTGGCGTGAGCGCCCGGGACCTAGGCCACCCGCTCGGGCGGCGCCAGTCCCCTCGGAGCGGAGGCACGCGAAGCTCCCAGCAGTTCCTCAGGGGCAGGAAACGCTGGAATGCGACTGTTTTCCTCTCCAACCCTTTCCTCGGAAGCAACGCACACAAAACGAACTCGCAAAAGTGCCCTCGTGGTCTGGAGGCCTCTCTCTCCCACTCCCAGCCGAGGCCAGGCCCTCAAGCACTACAAGTAACCGCAGGCCCAGGGGCGCGAGGGGGCGGACCTCCGACCGAGACGCCCGAACTCCGGGGCGGCCCTGCGTCTCCCCCTCCTCTGGCCGTGCCGCCCACAGTCCCTTAGGCCTCCCACATCCCTCCCTTGAAACCCGGCCGCTAGCTTCACTTACTGCCTAAAGCCCAGACCCCCGCCCCGGCCAAAACTCGAAGCGGACGGACGCCCCCCACATAAGCGCCACCACCAACTGGGCGCAGGCGTGTCTCCCGCAGCCCCCGAGAGTGAGGGAGGGATTTCTGGAACGCTTCGACTACTCCTCCCAGGATGCCTCGCGGGAGCGCCGCCTGTCGCGCGCGGCCTTCTGGGCAATGTAGTTCTTTTGCCGGGAGAATTCGGGAGTCGAGGTGGGAGGGCAGCGCTTGCTTCCCCGTCAGCTCGCGGGTTCGCGGGTCCGTGGGTCCTTTAGGTCAGCTGACCACGCATTCAGTCGCATTTAAAGTTTATATTTATTGCTGTTTGCAGCCCATACTAGTTGCAGTAGAGTACACAAAGATCACTTGTGTTTTGTAATGGCTAATTCCGAAGGTACCGTAACATTGGCAACATTTGTGTAAGGGCTTCAACTTTGCCGTGCACTTTCAAAGACATTTTCCAGTTATCTCCAGTGATACATGTCCCACGTAACCTTGACTCTTTATAATATCTTCAATGTTTATTTTGTCTGCACAGACTCTAAGTAGCATGCACAAGAGTACACTAAAAGTGCATCAAAATTATCCCCTCTTGCAGACTTAAATACCTTTGGTGGACTGTTTCAATAGTTTATGTGAGTAGGCTCTGCTTCTGGCATCTCTCCCACCCAATCCAGCCTCTGCCCCAGAATGAATGAGGGAGACACGGAGAGAAGATCCTTTGGAGTTGAGCTGAAGGATGGAGAGATTGGGAGCAGCTGCCAGACAGGAGTCCACGTGAATACCTGCCCAAGGGATTTGCAGCCGCATACTTGAGGGAGACTCCTGTGCCTGGAACGCTCAGAAACTGTTCACAGGGCAAGAACCACTGGCAGTGGACCAGCTGATAGAGGAAAGTTCTAGAGGACCAGTCAGCAGTGGAAGCAGCCAGTCTTCAGTTCTCAGCAGCCTTCACTGGGCCACATCATCCCTTGGCAGCCTCCTCTTCGTGACTCTGCTCCCTGGCTCCATGGCATTCTCTCTTGCCGCTTCTCTGTCTGCCCTTTGCTTCTCCATTGCCAGTTGTGCTTCATTCCCCTCTTCAAAATAGTAGATATTCCTCAAACTTCCATTCCCTGATCAGAAATGAGCACTGGAAGGTTGGCTGCACCAGGACACAGGCTGTTCAAACCAGAACAAATGTTGGTATGGAGGCTGAGACGTCTCCAAACTGAGTGCGTCAGCCCTGGAAATCCCAGAGCATGACCAAGACAGGGATTATCAGATGCCAAAGAGATCAGCGAGTGATATAAAACCTGCTCTGTAGAAGAAAAAGACCCAGAGAAGGGCTGGATCAGTTACCCAGGCTGAGGTTCAGTCATTTCTTGGCTAGGAGCGATGAGTTGCTTTTTATTTTTTTCGTTTATGTATTCATTCATTCTTTAACAAATATTTAGTAAACATCTGTATTCATTAATAAGCATCTCCTAAGTGGCAGACATAGAGCTGGATGCTTGAGATTCAGTATTAATCTGACTAACATGGGTCCCTAAGTTCATGGCGCTTGCTTCCTAGTGGAGGAAGCTGAGATAAAGCCAGATGATAGCGACAGCCTTAAGTAACTTGAGGGAAATAACAGAGGAATGTGACAGTAAATGGCAAGGATGGGGGCAGGGCTGTCTCTGATGGTGGCCTCAGAGCGGACTTCTTAGAGGATAATTAACCAATGAGGAGACACTTAAAGAGGCCAGGAAAGACCCTTTCGGGCTGGGAGAACAGCAGATACAAAGGTCCTGAAATGGGAAAGAAACTGTCCTATACCAGCTGCAGGAGGGAGGCCCTCAATGAGTGGAAAAAGCAAACGAAGGCTAGCTACAGACGTGGATGGAAGCTGGACTCACCCACCTTTCGGCCAAGGTGAGGGTATTTTCTAATTGCAGTGGGAAGTCATTCAATGGTCTTATGCAAAAGGCAGCAAAGTAGTTGGTGTTTGAACAGATCCCTCTGACTTCTGTCTGCAGGGCAAGAGTAAGAGCAGGAGGACCAGTTTAAGAGGTTGTTCTTGGAGATCAAGCAAGAGACAAGGGAGGAATGATGCCGGTGGCAGTAGAAAGAGGGGCAGACTTGAGATCTGTTGGGGAGATGGGAAAGGACTTGGTCATGTGGTAGCTTTCTAATGTGTCAACTGGGCTAAGCTGAACTTTGTTTCCCATATTTTCCTCCCCTGGATGTTTCTAATTAGGGTTAGTCACCAAGACATTTTTTTGCCTGAAATTGCAGGAGCCATTCTTGTTTTCTTACACGTAGAAGTTTGGGACCGGCACTTTTGTAGCTCACACACGCTGTAACCTATCTGCAGACTCACCTCACTGGCACAAAGCAGCAGTGGGACCTTCCTTTCCCTGGCTCTTCCTTCAGCTCCGCCCACACCTGGGACTGGTGTGTGTTTAGCTCCGTGAGGAAGAGCACCAAATTCTCCTGCCCGACCACCACATCCTCGAGGTTGGAGGCAGTGAGAACACTCCAAGATTCTAATCCCTTCTTGTGGATCCCAGTTCATCCTTGTGGGTCCAAGCTTGTCTGCCTCTTCCCTACAGCGCACCCAGAAGACCCTCGCTGCTCTCCTGAAGCTCTAGCATCAGAGGCAAAGGCTGTCTGCAGAGATCCCTTCAACCAGCTCCCACATGGGTCAAATCCCTAGGACAAATCCCCGACTATTTGTATCTTTGGAACTTCTGCTTCTCCGATTGAACCGTGACTGATATAGCTCAAATGGAGGGGCTGTGGGAAAGTGAGAGCTTGTACATTTTTACCTAAAACTCCAGGTAGATGAACACAGCATTTACTGTGGGAAAGGGAAAAGAGCTCAGGTAGGGAAGTCAAGAGTTGTGTTTCGCATTTGTTAAATGTTAGAAACTAGTGAAGTAACATTTGAATGCTACTAGAGTATAATCCGTATGGTCAGAACAAATAAATTAGTACTAGCGGAGCAGTTTCGGAATTGTTATTATAAGAAAGAGCTACCCCAAAGTCAGGGATATCTGCAGATGAAAGAGGTTGCTTCAAAAGAACAGCCATTTTGGCAAGAGGGGAGGTCCAAGAGATGAATGGGGTACAAAACCATACTTAATTTTAGGTAGTCTCCTACAAATTGTATTCTCTATCAGTTTATATAGTTGTGAACTCAGTGGAACAATGCCATGCCTTCAGCCCACCCCCTCTGGAAATTCCACAGCGATCCCCTAGGTGTCCTTGGGCTCCAACCCTCCAAGCAGTAATAATTTGGGCCCAGCTCTTTCAGTGCTCCTGATTACTTTGGCAAAACATTGGGATTTTGACCCAAGTGTTTGGTGTAAGGTAAAAAACCATGACTCTGGCCTGAAAACCTTGCAAATTCATTGGTATTTTTGTTTCCTTATCAATGCTGTGTTACTTAATGTGTTTGTTATTGAATCTGTACCCACTGCTATAAACAGAACCCTTCAAGCTGGAAGTCATGTCTTATTAGCAGGTTAACAAATTAATTGAGAGGGGGAGTAATCAGCATTTAAAAAGAGAGAGAGAATAGAAGGGGAAAGAATGACAATAAAGTAGAATTGGATTAAAAATCCGAGTACTGAGGATGAAGGTAGTTATGTGGAAATTTTGTTTCAAAAATATATATCCCCACATGTGCACTGAATTTCCATGTTGTAGGTAAACGAAGGGAAAAAAAACTGGGAGACTTAAAAACCCAGAACGCTCCTACCATCTCACAGCTCCGGGGCAGAAGTCTGCCATCAAGGGCCAGGTAGGGCCACACTCCATCTGAGCACTGAGGGCAGAATTGTTCCTGCCTCTTCCTACTTCTGGCAGTTCCTGGTCTTCCTCTGCTTCCAGTGTCTCTATCGCGTGGCCTTTGTGTGCTCCTGCCTTCATGTGGCTGTCTTCCAGGAAGGATGTGGCTCACATTGGAATGGGGGCCCGCCCTACACCAGTATGGGCTGGTCCTAACTACTTATATCTGCAATGACCTTATTTCCAAGTAAGATCATACCCTGAGGTACGAGGGGTTAGGACTTCAACATACCTTTTTTATGGGGGGAGAGAGGGACACAATATACCCCATGATGCTGAGAATTCTGTATATATTTTAGACATAATAGATGCACCACAAATATTTTCTCCTAGTCTCTGGATTGTTTTTAAATAAAAATTTAGCCCTGGCTGATGTAGCTCAGTGGATTGAGCACCGACCTGGCTGAACCAAAGAGTGGCTGTGCAGATTTCCAGTCCGGGCACCTGCTTTCGTTGCAGGCCAGGTAACCAGTAAAGGGAGCGCAAGAGGCAACCACACTTAGATGTTTCCCTCCCTCTCTTCCTCTACCTCTCCCCCTATCCAAAAATAAATAAATAAAATCTTTTAAATAAAAAAATAAATATTTTAATTTTAGAATAGATTCAGATTTATAACAAAATTGCAAACAACAGTTCAAAATTTTTTCCACAAAACCAAAAAGTCGGGTTGCCCATCCCGTCTCAGCTATTAGGAGGCCTTGGAGGGGTCAGAAATGGACTGGGACGAGCCACAGGCCGGCACCACAAAGCCCCCTGTGCCACGCGGCTCCGCTGCCAGTGTGGAATCAGTGGCCGGGGTGTCCCATCTTTTCTTGGACCCACAGCTCGATCTCTCTCTGGGTAAAGAGACTTTGGTATTCTGAAGAAAACCTCGAAACTTTCCTTTGGGCCATGCTCCAAAAACCCCAGCTTTATAGAACCTTAGTTTTCTTTTTGACCTCTCTGAGTACTCAGGGTCCAAAAATCATTGCTTAGTAATGCTCTTTGCAAACTGGCATTGCAGCATCTGCGCAATCTCTGCCCAGGCAAAGATAAGACTATTCTTATCTGAGAAGGAGGTCAGAAGGTACCTTGTAAATGCTATCATTTAATATATTCTGTTGATAAACCGTGGCAATGACTGTGTGTATTTATTAATAAATGAACACGCGCTTTCCCCTGGGGCAGGTTTGGTGCCTGTGCTGCTTCTGCCGACTGTTTCTGTCACACGAGCTTTGAATCCAGGCAGCTGAGGGGCTCTGGGCGGCTGCTGTCCAATGGCTCCTGTGGCGTTGACGGGCCTGCTTCCTCTGTGTGTGTGTCTCCTGCTGGCCCCTGGCTGTGCCCGGGCAGGCAAGCTGCTGGTGGTGCCCATGGATGGGAGCCACTGGCTTACCATGCGCATGGTTGTGGAGAAACTCGCCCTCAGAGGCCATGAGGTGGTCGTGGTGAGGTCCGAGGGACATTGGCTCCGGGAAGACTCTCCCAGCTATACAGTGAAGACTTACTCCATGCCATTCACTCTGGAGGACGTGAATCGTCAATTCAAGATTTTCTCTGATGCCCAATGGAACACTCGGGCACACAGTTTATCTTCTATACTAATGAGTTCATCCAACGATATTTTTTACTATTTTTTTTCACGTTGCCGGAGTTTGTTTAATGACAAAAAACTAGTGAAATACATAGAAGATAGTTCTTTTGACGCAGTGTTTCTGGATCCTTTTGATATGTGTGGCTTAATTGTGGCCAAGTATTTCTCACTGCCATCTGTGGCCTTCTCCAGGGCGCTGTTCTGCCACTATCTTGAGGAAGGCGCGCAGTGCCCCGGTCCCCTCTCCTATGTCCCGAGAGGCCTCCTAGGGTTCTCGGACACCATGACCTTCAGGGAGAGAGTGCGGAATCATATCACGCATGTGGAGGAGCGTCTATTTTGTGGCCATTTTATTAAAACAGGCCTAGAAGTTGCCTCTGAGATTCTCCAGACGACGGTCACAATGTATGACCTTGTGAGCCAAGTATCCATTTGGTTGTTACGAACTGACTTTGTTTTGGACTATCCCAGACCTGTGATGCCCAGCATGATCTTCATCGGGGGCATCAACTGCCTCCCAGGAAAGCCACTGCCGCAGGTGAGTCGCCTGCCCTTGAGCCCGCTCCCAGTCATCTCGCTGGGACCTGTAATCGAAATGGATTCCTTATCGAGCTGTCTTAGTACTTACTTATTTTGAGTCAATTCATTTCCTTGTGTTAGTGAATTTTATAAGCTGTCCCCTTTGATATTCACTTGTGTACAATTAAGAAAATTGTGTAAAATTTCTAGGCTGCGTTTTTAAAGGCCATTTTGGAAAAAAATTTTGAAAAACTCAATAAGTAATGAAACTTTTGTTAGTCTCGTGCTAACCCTATAGGAAAACACTCAGCAGTTTCATGTACATCTCTTCTAATTTTTATGAAATTATTTTACGTATGTGTGTATACAGCTAATGGAACTCCTCCCACTCAATTTATGACAATGAAACCTACTATCAGGCCGGACATATGGTCCTTTACCTTCCTTTTCTCACTTGCCGATAATTCATGGACTTTCGAGGGCCACATATGCAAGTGTGTAATTTCTTTTTAAGAGTTGCTTAAAATTCTTCATTTTGGAGTCACTGTAGTTTGTTCAACTAACTAATATGGACAGGTCGTTAATCATTTAAAAATGTTTTATAAGACTGTATTAATTGTTTTCAAATAAGCTCTTTACATTCCTGCATTTCCATATTCTTGCTCTTGGTGTAGAGGACCTGAGTCTTCAGGATAGGCACGCCTAGCGCTATGTAGGTATCACATTCGAGAGTTCTAGTTTTTCCATGCCGTCTCGAGCTTCAGATGTGGCCAAACTTTAGAAATTTTGGCAAAAAGAAAATTCTGCATAGATGTTTCAGTTTATAGAGATTATTGGCCATTTGCATTTCACTGTCTGAGATATGTATTCACATTCTTTAGTAATGTTCTGTGGGACCTTTTATTTTCGTCTAGCTAATTTCTATGTCTCTTGAGGATTAGGAATATTAACACTTAGCTTTTCATTTATGCTGCGAATCTTTTCTCCAGGCTATTCTTCCTTTTTGTCATACAGGATTTCATTTTTGTGTAGTTAATCTGGTTTACTTTTTCTTTAATGGTTTCTGACTTTTAGCTGGTTTAGGTTTATCCAAGCATGGGATATATAAACATATTTTCCATACTGTGTCTTAGTGTATTGAATTCCTCTGATATGAATAGTTTTACTTTTTACATGAGGTTTACTTACCTTTATTATTTTTCTAAATGGAGAGCCCACTGTCCTATCACAGTTCAATAAAAAATCCTTTGGATTGAAATGCATTTTTATCATATTTGAACTTCCATATTTATTTGCATCTGCTGTTGAGCTTATAGTTGTGTTCCACTGATGTATGTCTACATAATCACCAGTATCATATTTATAGTTATAGTTAATTTTGCTACTTTTGTCTTTTGACCTTTGTAGTAGTTTTTAAATGGCTGATGTTTTGTGTTTATTGAATATTTGTCTTAATGTCAGACTTTTTTCTTTTACATATTGTCTTATTTCTTTTATCTTTTTTTTATTGTTCAAATACATTTGTCTCCATTTTCCAGCCAATGCTCTACCCTGCCCCACCCACCCTCACCTCCCCGCCTCAATCCTTCCCCACTTTGGCTTTGTCCGTGGCCCTTTACACATGTTCCTTGATTTGACCCTTCCCTTTCTTTTGCCCCTCATACCCCTCTCTCCTCCCTCTTCCTACTGTCTGTTTGTTCTTTCAAGTGTTGCTGGTTATATTTTTCTTGCTTGTTTGTTTTGTTGATTAGATTCCACTTAGAGGTGAGATCATATGGTATTTGTCTTTCACCCCCTGGCTTACTGCGCTTAGCCTAATGCTCTCCAGTTCAGTCCATGTTCTCATGAAGGGTAGTAGCTTTCTTTTGTTCTGTTGCGTAGCGTTCCGTTGCGTAATGTACCATAGTTTTTCGAGCCACTCATTTATTGCTGGGCATTTAGGTTGCTTCCAGCACTTGGCTATTGTGAATTGTGCTGCTATGAACATGGGGAGCATAGGTTCTTCTGAATTGGTGTTCTGGGATTCTTAGGGTATAAGCACAGCAGTGGCATGGCCGTGTCAAAAGGCAGGTCCATTTTTAGCTTTTTGAAGAAATTCCAAACTGTTTTGCACAGTGGCTGCACCAGTCTACATATTGTCTTCTTTCTGATTACGGCTTTTTCTTTTTTGCTTCCCGAAGACCTTTCAGCATTTGTTGTAAAGCTGGCTTACTGCTGATGAACTCCTTTAGTTTTTGGTCAGGTGAGGAACTCCTTATTTGTCCTTCAACTCTGCATTATAACCTTGCTGAGTAGAATACTCTAGGTTGTCCAGTCTTTGTAGCTCTCTAAATATGTCTTACTACTCCTCTGCGGTGGGAAAGTGGGTGCTGCAAGATGAGCTGATACCGCCGTGGGGCTCTCCTCGATGGTATGTGACTAGTGGTTTTACTCTTTCTACCATCAAGGTTACCTCTTCATCTTTAACTTTTGTCATTTGAATTGCAATATGTCTTACAATGTGTGGGTCTCAGGGTTCATCTTGGTTGGAACTTTCTGTGATTCTTAGACCTGCATGCCTATTTCCTTTCCCAGCTTAGGAAAGTTTCTGGCAACTATTTCCTGAAATCAACTTTCCACATTTCTCTCTTCTTCTTCTCAGATCCAGATCATGGGAATGTTGGTGTGCTTGATGTTGTCCCGCAGGTGCCTTAAACTGTCTCCATTTTTTCAAAGTTCTTTTTTTGTTGGTGTTGTTCTAATTGGTTGGTTGCCACTTACTTGTCTTCTAGTGGTGGATTCATTTTCTTAGGTTATCTAATCTGCTGTTTCTTCCTTCTAGTGTATTTTTAATTTTTGTTCCTATGTTCTTCTGCTCTGGTTGGCGCCTTACGATAGTTTCTAGTTCCCAGTGGAAGTTCTCCCTGAATCACTTCATTCTACTCTCGCGTTAGGTGGGCATCCCTACGACCATTTGTTCGAATTCTTTATCAAGCAAATGACTTACTCTGTTTTGTTCTTTGGTGGGACTTTTTCTTATTCCTTCATTTGAGACATATTCCTCAGTGTTCTCATTTTGTGTGACTTTCTACGCTCGTCTATATGAAACAGACAAAGCATGGCCCTCTCTCTCAGTCTTGAGAACATGGCCTTTTGTAGAAGAGACCTCTGTGTGGGCTGTGTGTGCCGGGGGGTTTAGCAGGGTGCTGGGAGCTGGGCCTACGCTTGTGGCAGTTTGGGTGTTGGCGTGCTAGGCTGGAGTGGCTTGGGCAGGGAGGCCAGGCGCATGCGATGCTGCGCTGTTGATTCTGCTTCCGTCCTCCGTTCAGCACCAAAAAAAGGGCTCTGGACTGTGTAGCTGGGAAAATGCTGCAGCTACTGTGCAGGCAGCCCGGATGATACGGACACAGCTTCCACCTCCCTGTAGATCCCAGCGAATCCCCGCGTGTTCTGGAGAATTCCTGCACATGCAGTTCCCCAGGCCTGCGTCCGTGGTCAGTCTCCATTTGTTCCGCAGCAACTCTTCAGTCAATCCTCGGTTGTTTCTCAGGAAAATTGCCTTATGTGTAGGTGTATATTTCAGTGTGCTCTTAGGAAAAGGTGAGTTCCGGATCCTGCCATGCAGCAGCCATCCTGGAACTCGGTCTTGCGTTTTTAAACGTGGCCACTGGTAAGTTTTAAAGGAATATGGCTTGTATTCTATGTTCTCAGGGGCAGCACTGAGAAAGACGGTTGTGCCCAGGCCTTTCCATGGACATTGCTGATCGGGCAACTGGCCTGAGCCGTAATGGCTGTTATCAGGCAGAGGACAGAGAGGAGATAGGACGGAGCGTGGGTGCTAGGGGCACGAGGAGTTTTAGTCAATGGACCGTCGTGTTAGTTGACCTGAAAGCCCAACCTCCAGCTCGCCCATTATGGCCTGAGGGGAAGTCTGTCTTCTGACTCCCGCCTCAGTCTCAGTGTTTGCCCCTGACTCTGGGGCAGGGCCTTCTGCTCACAGAAGAGCGATACCCATCTGCAGGACCACTGCAGGCGGAACTTCCGCGGGGATTCCACAGGGTCTGGGGGGCCACTTCTGCAACCAGTAATGATTTGGGGGCAACTCCTTTCAGGCTCATGATTTTTTTTGTGTGTGTGTGAAAAAAAATTTTTTTTTTTGTGAAAATTGTTTACCCCAATGGTTGGCGTAGTGCAAAACTCATGACCCTATCCTGAAAAGCTTGCATTCTATGGGGTATTTATTGTTTCCTCATCTGTGGTGTGTCACTGAATCTATTTGTTACACAGTCTGTACCCAATGCTATAAAAACACCTTTCAAACCAGAGTGGGCTATCATATTTATTGTGAGCATCATTTAAGGTCACAGAGAGTATAATGCAAAAGGAAGAGAACTGCATCAACTTGGATAAAAAATATGTCAGTACTCAGCACAGAGGTAGTTGTGTGGAGCTTTTGTTTTAGACGTACAGACCCACACTCGTGTACCGAGCTTTCACGTTACACATGAATTATTGCTGTGGGTCCCGAACCCGGTGATTGGAAAGCCGCTGTCCTCAACCGCATAAGGACCTTGCGCCAGCCTGCGCAACACACTTAAGCAAACTTTATGGAGTGTGACCAACAGTCACCAGTGTGGGCAGGACAAGACAGCATCTTCAAATCTAGAATAAAAGAATAGAACCCGCATGGTATGTGTTACTTAACGGAAGTGTAGCAGCCCTCTGGAGATCCGCTGCACAAGACAAAGGGCATGTACAGGACTCACAGAGTTCCTTCAGTTTTTATCTGAGTGACCTCCGGTGACATCATTGCTGCGGCCCAGGTCATGATCGCTCCTGTCTAAATTTCCTGGGCTGCTCTGACCAAGGATGGCAAGAGGGGGAGCTGACATACCCAGAACGCTACTACCGTCTCCCAGCGTGGAGCCAGAAGCCTGACTGCAAGGGGCGGCCAGGGTCTCGCTCCCTCTGAGCCCTGAGTGGAGAATGCATCCTGCCTCTTCCCAGCTTCTGGTGGTTCTGAGGCTCGCGCCACTCCCTGCTCGCGTGACCGGCTGCTGCGCGCTCTTGCCTTCTGCGGCTTGAAACGGGTGACCGTCACACCCTTCTCATTGCTGGGATGGTTTACGTAAGTGGGGT